GCCAATATGGTGAAACCCCATCTCTACTAAAAATGCAAAATTACCCAGGCGTGGTGGCAAGTGCCTGTAACCCCAGCTATCCAGAGGCTGAGGCATAAGAATCACTTGAACCCAGGATCGAGAATCTGTCTCAAAAAAAAAAAAAATGCTTACTAAGTGGCAGTAGTAGCTGTGATGCTATAGATGCTTCCTATTCCTAGCCCATCTCCTGCTAAATAGGGGGACCCAAGATTCTGTAGCTTCTGGCCCAATCCTTCATGGCCCCAGAGCGCTGCTGGGCCTCCTGACCCTCTGTCTCCCCAGACAGCACCCAAGAAAACCTCATTTGGCTCGCTGAAGGATGAAGACCGGATATTCACCAACCTATATGGCCGTCATGACTGGAGGTGAGACAGTGCCCTTAGCCTGCTGGGTTCCAGAGCAAGGCGTCCCCTTCACTGCCTTCCCTACTCTGTCCAGGCTGAAAGGTGCCCTGAGTCGAGGTGACTGGTACAAGACAAAGGAGATCCTGCTGAAGGGGCCTGACTGGATCCTGGGCGAGATCAAGACGTCGGGTTTGCGGGGCCGTGGAGGTGCTGGCTTCCCCACGGGCCTCAAGTGGAGCTTCATGAATAAGCCCTCAGATGGCAGGTGTGGGGGCAGGCGGGGCAGATGTGGCTGTGGGAGAGACCTTGGGGGTGGCTGAGGCTTCCCTGGGCCTTTGGGCTCTTTCCTTAGAGACATAGCATGAATGAGGTAGGCACATGTTCCCCAGGCCTCACGTGGATGGGACTTACTCTGTGGACTTCCACAGGGGAGACTTATGCAGCAGAGTCCATACATGATACTGACTCGGGCAGACTTAGTTCAAATCCTAGTTCTGCCTCCTAAACATAGAGCTTTGGGCAATTTCCCGGCCTTTGTGAACCTTAGGTTCCTTTTTGTAAATAGCACAGTAATATCATTCAAGAATGAAAGAGATATTGTTCATACAGCTTTTGGCCTATATGCTGGTTGGCACACAAAGCAAATGATAAACGTCACCTGCTTTACCTCCTTTTGGTGGTGGAGCTTGAGGAATTCTCTTTGTCACCAAGAGCAGATTCTGGCTCTCAGGGGCAGACACTAGGAGAGATTTTTGAATGAGCTGAAAGAAGACCTTTCTTGTGGTCGTAGCTGCCCAAAGAGAGAATAGGCAGTGAGCTCCTTGTCATTGGTGGTGAGCAAGCAGAGCCCTGGGACATGTTGGGAGGGCAGCGAGGGATTGGCTGTCAGAGGAGACATCTTTGAGGCCTCCCTGGGTGGAGTGGGGTGGCATGGAGTTGAAGACTCAGTGCTCGTGGCCCTGTATCCTGTCTGACCTGTGGACCCTGCAGGCCCAAGTATCTGGTGGTGAACGCAGATGAGGGGGAGCCGGGCACCTGCAAGGACCGGGAGATAATGCGCCATGATCCTCACAAGCTGGTGGAAGGCTGCCTGGTGGGGGGCCGGGCCATGGGCGCCCGCGCCGCCTATATCTATATCCGAGGGGAGTTCTACAATGAGGCCTCCAATCTGCAGGTGAGAAGGGAGAGAGGTGGACAGATAAGGTGCTCAGTGTGCACTCACACCCCTCACCCGGCACAGTTGTTCTTAGGTGTTAGCACCTGGTCTCTCAATGGTTGAACTGGGGGGTGGCCAGTCCTGCATGCATCCCAGATGGGAACTTGGCTCCCAAAGCCTCTTCCAGGGCTCCTAATGCTGCTGGTATAAAAAAAAAATTTTTGTTTTGCATCAAAAAATACAGTATTTATTATAACAAGTAGCAAGAAGAAAGAAACTAAACGGAACTATATGTTTAGGAAGAGCGCTGAATAATTATGAATATGAACAATTGCTGTTTGGGGAAAATACATTATGTTCATCGCTTGGAACCGTGAATAATATATCTGTAGGAAACACAGAAAAATATAATAGGTTAAGACAATAAGGATATAGGCAATTACTTTTTTTTTTTTGAGACAGAGTCTCACTCTGCTGCCCACGCTGGAATGCGATCACGTGATCTCAGCTTACTGCAACCTCCACCTCCTGGGTTCAAGTGATTCTTTGCCTCAGTTTCCTGAGTAGCTGGGATTACAGGGATCTCCCTGTGGGAGATCAGCAAGCAGATTGAAGGCCACGCCCGGCTAATTTTGCATTTTTAGTAGAGATGGGTTTTCACCAATGTTGGCCAGGCTGGTTTCAAACTCCTGACCTTAGGTGATCCACCTGCCTTGGCCTCCCAAAGCGCTGGGATTATAGGAGTGAGCCGCCGCACCTGGCCTACATTTTTAATTTTATAAAGACTTATTTTCCTTACAAACTGGGCTGGTTAGGAGACCTGATGATACCTACTTGGCTTGTATTTTCTTGGCATCGAAGCATCTTGCTTACGTGTTCCTTCCTACTTGTCTGTTTCAGGTCATAGTCAAGTTTTTCATTTTGTTTTACTTTTCATAGCAGGAGCATTAGGAGCCTCACCGTGGGAGGCCTTCAAGGGCTTCATGACTCCTGAAGTTATAGGCTGACTCCTGGGCTGGGGTGGTCTGGGGAACTCACACCTTTGTCCCGCAGGTGGCCATCCGAGAGGCCTATGAGGCAGGTCTGATTGGCAAGAATGCCTGTGGCTCTGGCTATGATTTTGACGTGTTTGTGGTGCGAGGGGCTGGGGCCTACATCTGTGGAGAGGAGACGGCGCTCATCGAGTCCATCGAGGGCAAGCAGGGCAAGCCCCGCCTGAAGCCCCCCTTCCCCGCAGACGTGGGTAAGGCCCGGCATGATCCTGGGTCACACTGTGTCCTGTGACACCCAGGATGTGGGTAGGCTCCCCATGGGTTGTTCTTCAGGGATTCCTGAGTGCCTTCCAGGCGGAGGCCAGATAGAGAGTAGGCTGGCAACAACACAGGCTCCCCCAGGGCTGCCTGCAGTCCCTCCTGCCTCAGCACTGTCCGTGCTGCTCTGTGGCTCCACCTCCACAGTGCCTGTTCTGGGGCTAAGGGCGTGGTGGTGAATGAGGCAATGCGGCATCTCTGGAGTGTGGGGTCCAGCAGGGATAAGAATGACAAGGAGATATTAGAACAGGGCTCTGCCATGGGAGCAGGACCCTGGGACACACCTCCCTGCCAGGAAATCTGTACCACCCCCAGCAGCCACCAGTTATCTTCCCACTTCCCCGAAGGAGTGTTTGGCTGCCCCACAACTGTGGCCAATGTGGAGACAGTGGCAGTGTCTCCCACCATCTGCCGCCGTGGGGGTACCTGGTTTGCTGGCTTTGGCAGAGAGCGCAACTCGGGCACCAAACTATTCAACATCTCTGGCCACGTCAACCACCCTTGCACTGTGGAGGAGGAGATGTCGGTGCCCCTGAAGGAACTGATTGAGAAGCATGCTGGTAAGGCCTAGGGCCAGTGAGGTGTGTGTGGGGGGCAGGGGAGTGCAGGTGTCCAGGAAGAGAGCCTGGGCGGGAGGGCTCAGGAGACGGGGCTGGGTCTAGGGGCTGACAAAGGGACTGGGCTCAGGACAAGGCAGGTGTGCCGGCTCCAGCGCTGACCCTGTATCCCTTTGGGGACTGACTTGGGGCACCAGGGGGTGTCACTGGTGGCTGGGACAACCTCCTTGCTGTGATCCCTGGTGGCTCGTCTACCCCACTGATCCCCAAGTCTGTGTGTGAGACTGTGCTGATGGACTTCGACGCACTGGTGCAGGCACAGACAGGCCTGGGCACAGCCGCAGTGATCGTCATGGACCGCTCGGTAAGGGCTCACACACCAGCCTGGTCCTTGCCACATACCCTCCCTGGGCCTCCCAGAAAACCCTCTTGCCAGCACTCAGGCCTCAGTTCCTGTAGGCTGAGATAGAAGCAAGGTGGGAGAGGAGGGAAGAAGGCCGCTCTGGGGAGAATGCCCCAGAGCCCGGGCAGCACAGGGGGCCCAGGGAGGCTAGAGGAGGCCAGACGCTAGGTGGGCTGGGAAGAGTTTCTGGATCTGGGGGAGGGGCTGCTGCTAGGGGGCTGAGGCGCAGGCTTCTGTCTGGTCTTGGGTGCCTGCTAATTGCCCTTCGTCACCCAGACGGACATCGTGAAAGCCATCGCCCGCCTCATTGAGTTCTATAAGCACGAGAGCTGTGGCCAGTGCACCCCATGCCGCGAGGGTGAGCATCGGGCAGGTTGGGGGTTTGCTTGCTGTGGCCTCACTTAACCTCCACCCCACCACGTGGCCCTCACCCCTCAAGTGCCGCCCCACATCCTGGCTGGGGAAACCATCAGGCCCTCTCTTGTGGCTGTGGCTGCAGGTGTGGACTGGATGAACAAGGTGATGGCTCGTTTTGTGAGGGGGGACGCCCAGCCAGCTGAGATCGACTCCCTGTGGGAGATCAGCAAGCAGATTGAAGGCCACACCATCTGCGCCCTGGGGGACGGGGCTGCCTGGCCTGTGCAGGTACTCACTGCTCTTCTGCACAGCACGGAGGGTGGATGGCGCCAGGTGCCCAGGGTGTTGGGGGATTTTTGGACTCTTGTTTCACTGTCTCCCCCCACTGACCCCAGGGTCTGATCCGCCACTTTCGGCCGGAGCTCGAGGAGCGGATGCAGCGGTTTGCCCAACAGCACCAGGCCCGACAGACTGCCTCTTAGCCACCACCCTGGCCTGCTGTCCTGTGTCTGTCCGTCTGGAATGCTGGACAATAAATCGAGTGCTGCCCACCCTCTGCTGCAGCTGCAGTGACTGTGCTCTTCACCCTTTACCCAGCACAGGCTCCTCAAGGGTGGTAGGGGAGAACAGGGCCCAGTCTGGCTCATGGCCAGAGAAGGGACAGGCTCTTGTCCAGCTTGAAAGAGATGTTTATTTCGGCTCCATGATTCGGGTGGGGTGAATGTGAAAGTGGGGAGAGAGGAAACAGCCTCTGACTGGGGGTTGGGCATGGTGGGCAAGGCAGCCCCAGGCTCCACCATTTTTGTGGGGATGTTTCAGGCAGCCGTAGTGGAGGGCGGTAGGCGGGGCCCATCGGCTAGTTGCTGAGCTGGACAGGCCTGCTGTCCAGCAGATGCCACAGCTCTAGGCGGTGGTCGCTGTGGCCCAGGCACTCAAGCCAGTGCTGCAGGCGCTCCCCACTGGCATGACTGCCCAGCTGCACCCCGCCTGCCATGGGGATGGGTCAGAAACTGCCAGGAGCCTACCAGGCCCCCACCCCAGCGCCTCACATTCCCACTCACCAATGAAGTCGTCAGCTGTGCCCAGATCATAGTCCCACACAGACACCAGCAGCGTCTTCTGGGCCAGCTCTTCCCGTGGGCCTGAGTAGAAGAATTCCTGCAGGGTGAAGGGCAGAGAGGCGGGAGGGAGGTGGCCTTGGTTCTCTCACGGCTTAAGAATCAGGCCCCAGCAGGGGAGTGGGTCAGCATGTCAAGGCCAGGGTTGGCTGGAACCTGCCTGGCATGGGATTACCTCATTGAACTCTGGGTTCAGGGTCTTTCTGCGAACACTGGTCTTGAATTTAGATTTCTTCCCTGTATTTGGATGCAGGAAACTGATCGGGAGGATTGGTGGGTTAGGTGTGGCCCTGGAGAGGTGAGGAGCCACAGCCTCACCCTTACCTCCCGCCTGCACACCCCGTTCACACTCACAGGCGCACACTCACAGGGGTCTGAGTAACCGTTGGCATCCATGGGGGCTAGGTGGGCGCAGCGCAGCACCCCCACCAGCAGGCCGCCCCGCTGAGAGCTGTAGCACAGCGACAGCAGGACGCGCCCACGTTCCTCCCCGGCCACCTCTGTCTCCACCTCCTGCAGGTGTAGGCTGAGGTCAGCCCCCATCCAGCCCAGAGCCCGCCCCCTTGAGCCTCTGCGCTGGACAGGAAAGCTCAACCTGGCCCCAAAGAAATCAGGAGCCAATGACTTCATTTCCCAATGCAGCCACTCGCCCTAGCGCTCTGGAATCTGTACCATCCAGGGCCTGATCAAAAGCGGGGCTTGCTGACCGTGTGACCAGTGAGCTCAGCATGTCTGTCATGGAGGGGCAGGGAACTGGATGACTTGCCAGTAGCTCCCTAAGTGGCCTCCTCTCTGGTGCCATAGCCACCCCTGCAGGCCCACAGCTCTGGGAGGATGTTCACCTCCCAAGGAGAAGCAGATCTCAATTCCCAAACCCCACCCATTTCACCCCATACTGCCCTGGGGACCAGAGCTGGGTGTCCTTTGCCGCACTCTGAGCCCTGGTGCTTCTGAAGAGGCTCAGGGAGGAAGCCTGGGGAAGACGCACTGCTGTCACTCAGGGGTGGGTTTCCATTTGCAGAGAGCCCCCCAACCTTGCTCACAGGCGGCTCTCAGGAACGCAGGAGTGCTCAGTGAGCACTCACCATGCTCCGGGCACTCTTGTGCTTGGGATCGGGGTGGAGGTGGGGCTGGTGCTAGGTGGAGTGGCCCATTCCGGCCACCTTGGTGGGCCTCAGCCACTTGGGCTTAGCTAATCAACAGCTACAGCAACTTGTGGTTCCACCAGGGGGCAGGCGCCCGGCACTTTGGAGAGGAGCTGGTAGGGGCCCTGCTCTCAGCTTCCCAGCTACCCCTCCCCTACCAAGCCATAGGAATTCTGGCCAGGTCTTTCCGCTCCAGTGATATCAAAGAAAGCCCTGCAGTCACCCTCACTGCCTCCAGACAAGGGCCTGTCTAGGGCAGCCTGCCCCAGGAGTGAGCCCCACACTGCCCCTAGGGCCAGACCCTAGCCAGGGAGCCCCACCCATCTGTCCTCTCTTGCACCTTGCCCAGCCTCCCATCTCGGGCCGTGGACAAATGCCACCAGTTTCAGCCTCAAGGTTGCCTGGGTCTCTCTGCCCAACTGTGCCCCTGAGGCCTCTGCTTGTCCCAGTGCCCCATAGCTCCTCTGGGCCGCCCTGGCAAGGGAGTCACCCTCACTTTGCCACTGGGGGCCTGGGTGTCCCCTGGGGCAATGAGGGCTCACAGGGCCTGTGAGAGCTGACCTCAGGTTCCTCCAAGCCCCTATTCCCCTGCCACCCCAGGCCTGCGCCCTCATCCCGGCTCAGCCCAGCTGTCCTACCCACCTGATAGAGGGACATGCCATGGGCTGTGTCCAGGCTCTTGGACCTCTTGGTCTGAAAGGGCAGAGAGCCCAGTCATCGTGGCCAGATGCTGCCCAGGTCCCCCTCTCTGCTCCTCCCCTCCAGATCCCCCATCACAAGGTTCCTGGCCCCTGCAGCCCCACCCTGTGCTCCAGCCCCACTCACCAGCCTCCACTTCTCCAGACAGATGTCGAAGCTCCTGGCTTGGTTGGGCACCAGCTTCCTCAGGGGTACCCGCAGTTCCCCGAGGGAAGGTGCCCACCGCCGTCGCCGAAACCATGGGTCCTCACACACACATAGCCTGGTGGCCACCCAGGTCAGACAGCCCTATCCCTCTGCCCCACCCCCAGGTGGCCCAGGCTGGATCCTCACCTAAGGGTCTTGCCTGCAGCATCCTGGCGGGTAAAGCCGTGGTAGGTGAGTGTCTCCTCCCAGACAGTTACCTTTGTGGCCCGAACGGTGCGTGTCCGAAGCTGGCTGGCCTAGGACCCAAGCAGGGGGGTCAGGGCCTCTTAGGGCCAACACTGTCCTCCAACCCCCAACCCTGCCTCCCTGATAGGACCCCCTATTTGCACATCACAGCAACTGGGACCCAGGCCTTGGGGTCAGGAGCCAAGTGGAGCCAGGTGGGTGCCCCAGGCTGGCCCTTCGGCCAGAGGGCAGCAGTGGGGGTCTGGGGCTTGCCCTCACTTTGCTGGCCCCTGGCAGCGGATTGGCTTTGACATAGGTGTCCATGGAGCCTGAGGCCAATGGCTTGAGGCCCTGGGAACAGACAGTGGGTATGAGACAGGTCCGTGGCCCAGCCCTGTCCCAGGGATGCCCACTCCCATCCTCACCTTGGCACGATGAGCTGTGCAGTGCAGGGCACTGTTGTCCGCATCAAAAAGAAGTGTGAACTCCAGGGTGCCCAGGGCAGCTAAGGGCAGGTGGCAGGCAGGGTCATCTACCTCAGCTCAATCTGCCTCTGCCCATGGCACGTACCTCCTGCCTTGCCCTTCCATGGCCAGATGCCAGTGACACCACAATCCCCAGCCTGGCTGGGCTGAGCTCAGGGTGTCCCCCTCCTCCCACCCCTACTCACTGCTGTCATCTGAGTCTCCCTCTGGCTCTGGGTCGGGTTGTGGCTGGGGTGCAGAGCGAATGGCAGATGCCGCTGTGGAACAAGGGTCCGAAGGGTGCAGGACGGGCTCCGCAAAAGGGTAGAAGTGGGGGAAGTAGTGGGAGATGAGGCGGATGGGCCGGATGGGGCCAGGGCTCACGTCGATGGCCATGTGCTCCTGCATGCTCACCCGGGGAGGCCGCCCAACTTCTGCCACAGTACCTGCCATGGGGGCCTGGATGGGGGTTGGAGGTGCAGGGACTCAGACAAATGTCTGAGGACTGGGGCTAGGGGAACACACCCAGCCTCAGAGACCTGAGGACAGATGGAGGGTTGGGGGAGGGGCTGGGGGAGTCCCCAGCCTGGAGGGTCGTGGCAGACTTTGGAGGGGATCCGGTGTGCAGGAAGTCATCCAGCTCCCAGTCCTTACCGCTCTTGGGGCTACTTCACCCGGTGTGGGTCGCTGCTGCTGGCGCTGGGTGTGTACTTTTGGGGGCAGAGCCAGTGATTGCCGTGTCCCCAGTGAGCGAGTGTGACCCAGAGCTCAGAACCCACCCAGAGCTCCTTCCTAGCACTGAGGCCCAGCTTTCCTCCTTCCTCTGCCCCCTTCACACTTTGTCAAAGGGAGTTATTTTTACCACCATCATGTGGCCCTGCGCCACATGAGGAGGCTGGAGGGCTGGAGGTGACAGAGGGCTGTGGGGGTGATGAGGACTTTGTGGGAAGGAGGGAGCATGTGGGGAGGAGGGGAAGGGGCACATGGGAAGGTGGGAGGGGAGGGAGGTCTGGAGAGGAGAGGAGGGGAGGCACAGGAAGGTGGCCCTGTGATCCTGCCCTGCGGTGGTGGCCAGCTTACACTCTGAAACATGAACCAGATCATCCCGCCTCCACCCTTGCTTGGAATAAAATCTGAACCCTTTGGTGAGGCACGGCCCCTTTTCACCTCACCAAGGAGTGTCCCCTGGCATCTCACAGTGAGGGCTGCTCCCCTCCCATACTGGGCCACCCTCCAGCCTTTGACCTGGCCACTCCTGCTGACCTTTGCTTTCTGGGTCAACCCCTGCAGGGGATCTTGGCTGGTTTTAACCATCCAGCATTCCCGCTCCGCTCTTCTCCCCAGTTACTCTTTAAATTTTTAATCCACATAACCGTAGATATTTATGGGGTACAATATGTTCTGATGTGATAGTGTAGAAATGTGATTTCTACAATATGCATTGTAGAAAGATTCAGACAGGCTAGAAAAAAAAAAAAAAAACAACACTTGGCCAGGTGTGGTGGCTCACGCCTGTAATCCCACCACTTTGGGAGGCTGAGGCTGGTGGATTAGAGGTCAAGGTGTTCGAGACCATCCTAGCTAACACGGTGAAACCCCGTCTCTACAAAAAATACAAAAAATTAGCTGGGCGTGGTGGTGCACACCTGTAATCCCAGCTACTCGGGAGGCTGAGGCAGGAGAATTGCTTGAACCCAGGAGGCGGAGGTTGCAGTGAGCTGAGATTGCCCCATTGCACTCTAGCCTGGGCGACAGAGCGAGACTCCATCTCAAAAAAAATAAATCATAACACTTAAAATATACTCTTAAAGCGACTGAGATACACGAGGTTATCATCAGGGATGTTTGCCATGCTGTGCAGCAGGACCTTCGCTCACTCTTCCTCACTGGAATTCTGTACCCTAAGAGCGACGTCTGCCCTCTCCGGCCCTTCGTAACCACTATTCTCTCTACTTCTAGTTCAACTTTTTCAGATTCCACATAAACATGAGACCATCTGGTAACTGTCTTTCTGTGCCTAGCTTATTTCGCTTAGCATATCGTCCTGGGTTCATCCCTGGTGGAATGTGTGTTGTCACAAATGGCAGAATGTCCCTCTTTGTTAAGGCTGGACAGTGTAGACAGACCATCTACCCATCCGTCTGATGCTGGGCGGTTGGGCTGCTGCCGTGTCTTAGCCATTGTGAATGGCACTGCAGTGAACATGGATGCAGACACCTCTTTAGCATGCTGACTTCAACTCCTGTGGATACTACCCACAAGTGGGGTTGCTGCGTCACATGGTCGTTCTATTTTTAGTGTTCTAAGGGACTGCCATACAATTTTCCAAAATGGCTGCGCCCAGTTACCTTCCCACTAACAGCACATAAGGCTTCCCTCTCTCCACATCCTCACGAGCACTTACCTCTGCTGGATTTGGTAATAGCCTTTCTAACAGGGGTGAGGGGGTGTCTCATTGAGATTTTAGCTTGCATTTCCTGCATGATTAGTGATGCTGAGCATTTTTTAATGTCTTCTTTTGGGAAATGTGCGTTCAGGCCCTTTGCCCGTGTTTAAATTGGGGTATTTGTTTCTTGTTATTGACTTGAATTCCTTATTTTGGATGTTAGCCCCTTATCAGGTATATGATCTGCAAATATTTTCTCCCATCCCATAGGCTCTCTCTTCACTTTGTTACTTGTTTCTTTTGCTGTGTAGACGCTTTTTAGTCGGGTGCCACGCCATTTGTCTATTTTTGGTTTTGATGCCTTTGCTTTTGGGGTTCTATCCAAGAATCATTGCCCAGACCAATTTCTAGAACTTTCCCATGTTTCCTCCAAGTAGTGTAGCCATTCCAGGGTTTGGTTTTTTAATTTACTACAGGATCTCACTCTGTCACCCAGGCTGGAGTGCAGTGGCACAATCTCAGCTCACTGCAACTTCTGCCTCCTGGGCTAAGCGATCCTCCCACCTCAGTTTTTTTTTTTTTTTTGAGATGGAGTTTCGCTTCAGGCATGCACCACCATGCTTGGCTAATTTTTTTTTTTTTGTATTTTTGTAGAGATGGGGTTTCACTACGTTGCCCAGGCTGGTCTTGAACTCCTGAAGTCACGGTGACCCGGCTTGGCTTCCCAAAGTGCTGGGAGTACAGGCATGAGCCACGGTGTCCAGCTCACTTCCGGTTACATAGCCCATTTAGGGCCGATTTTTGTATAACGTGTGAACCTCAATTGTTCTTTGGGCACCACTGTTTCTCAGTCCAGGGAGTTTCCCCTCCTACCCAGGCAAGCATCCCAGACTATAAATCAATGTATTGTAAACCTAACTGGCCATGCGATAGGCTCAGGGAAGTACATGTGGCTCAAGGCAGGCCAGTGAGGAGCAGTTCTGGGTTAGGCTGGCTGGGAAGGAGCAGCCATGTTTTCTGTTGATGGATGCTGCGGCCCCCTTCTCACCTCTCACACACTGCACTAGAGACAACCCCCCAGGGCTGAGGCCAGCACAGCAAGAGGAGAGCCCTGAGCTTCTGGATCCAGCCCTACCTGAAGCTCACCGTGGCAAGTTCAGATCACCCACTCCCTCAACTCTTTCACAGACCCTGGTTTACCTAGTTAATGTATAATTCCACTACTATCTGTGATTAAATAATGTGGAATCACATAATTATCTGTGTTACCTGGTCTGAGGTCTACCCCAGACTGAGCACCCCCTCTGGAGGGCAGGTCAGCATCTGGCTGGTCCACAGCTGTGGCACACACAGCAACTGGCACACACAGGGGCTCTGCATGTTAGAGCTCCACAGAAACACGCAGGGGCATGGGTGCGCCTACTCCTCCTGGGATCGTGGAGCCCAGCACAAGGTCAGCCAAGCACAGCAGAGAGGACAGGAGCCGCAGGCTGAGATATGGGCAGTGCAATTTCTCAGTTCTAATCCCAGTCTGGGGACCCTTGAGCAAGATGTCTGTCCTCCCTGAATGCGGTCTCAGCAGCCAGAGATAGTGTTGGCCCCACCTCACAGGCTGTTGTGAGGGTGAAATGAATTGACTTCAAGTACTTGGCACCCAGGAAGTGTCCACTGCTGTGGAGAATGGCCTGACTGGCAGGAAGAGCCCAGCCAGCAGCCTGGAGTGGTCTGCCCAAGGTCAAGGCCCAGTGCAGCAGAAGCAGGAGCTCTAGAGCTGTCAAAGGCCTTTATTCAGTCCTGGGGTGGAGCTGGCCTGGCAGGGTGAAGCCAGGGACTCCTTAGGGTGGGCCAGGCCCTCAGAACCCCTGGGTTGCCCAGGGCCGGCCAGGCGGGGCTGGTAGGTACCAGGTGCCAGCAGTTGCAGGGCAAACTCAGTGATGACAGCCGTGAGGCCCCAGACCCGGTGTGGTCCATGCAGGAAGACGGGTAGCGTGTAGCGGAAGTGGCCGCCCTGGCAGAAGTGGGTATAGCCCTGATTCTGTGTCTGCAGCAGGTGGGCCAGCGGCAGTGCGAACACCTCATCCACCTGCAGGCAGGAGGCAGAGGTGGTAGACAGAGAACTGGAACCACCCAGCCACATTCCCCAGCTCACCTCCTCAGAGTTGGGCCTGAGGCTCTGGGGATCCAGTGGGCCCACACCGGCAAGCACTGGCACCACAGTGGCCTTTTGCTGGGGAAGAGGGCAGGTAGTCAGAGAAGCATGGCTTCAGCTGAGTTTGAAGGTTGGTGAGGGGCGTGTAAGAGGAAGAACCTCTTTGCCAAGCACAGGCCTATGTTCGGGTCCGCCCGTGTCCTCCAGCCATGTTGACTGACCCGGGTCCCCTCAAATGCACTAGACCTGTTCCCTCTGCATAGGACAATCTCCCACCTGGCATTCAAGCCTTGATTCAATCCCTGCCCACTCCACAAAGCTTCCCTGACTCTAAACCACCAAGCTGGGTGGAGCTGGCACACCCCATCACCCTGGGCCATCTCTACTCAGGACACCAGAGCCTCCCAATCCCTTCCCGAGGGGGTCTGTGGGGTGGCGCATGTGACCAGGCAGGTTTGGGGCACCCCTCCACACTACACCTGTAGGGGGTCCATGATCATTCCGGTCTCTGGGGGCCCAGCTCCAGGGCAGCCACAGAGTGAGTGAGTGGGGTGGGGTGGCCTCAGCCAGGTGGCTCACCCGATCATACACAGGCCGCAGCAGGCCCCACACGTGCTCCTGGGGCACTGCCAGGCCCAGCTCCTCCTGGGTTTCCCGCAAGGCCGTGTGCACCACGTCTTGGTCAGCTGGGTCGCACTTGCCGCCTGGGAAACTAAACAGACACAGGGAGTCTGGTCCTTGGACTCTTGGGGCCACGGAGAGGTCGGGGTGTCCGCAGTGCAGGGGGGCCAGTGGCTCACCAAGGCATCGCCTGCCTCTGTCCCTAGTTTGCTGGGAGGCTCCAGGCAAGCCGCCCGACCTCTGGAGACCAGTTTACCTCCCTGAGCAGCAATGGGGATAAGGGAGAGAGACCCGGGGCAGCACAGGATAGGAGGGTCTGCAGCAGGTGCAAGAAGATCTTGGGGCTCAGATAACCAAATTCGGCCTATGGTGGTCCCCGTAGCGGGGCCCGAACCTCTCCGTAGTCGCCGGCAGGGGGCGGCGTTCTCCTTAGCAGAAAACAGCTCCGAGGGGTGTCCCGGGCCGAGGCCGGCGCGCTGGGAGGCGCGTGAGGGGCGCCCGCGCCACAGCAGGTGCACGGGAGCCGAGGGACGAGGATCGCTGACCCCTTGCCGCAGCCCGTGGGCGGAGGGGCTCTCCCCAGACCCATTTTACGGAGGTGCAAACCGAGGCTCGAAGGAACTAAGTGCCCTGCCCGAGGTCCCTGACAACCCCGGGCTCCGGCGGCCTCTGGCAGAAGGGCGGGGAGTTCCCGGCCACTCTACCTGACGTCGCCCTGGTGTCTCCCGATCAGGCGGCTGGACCGCAGAGTGTACAGCAGCGCCGGGACCCCGCGCACTGAGCAGAGCGGCACGAGCACCGCGGCCGACGCAGGCCGCGTGCGGAGCCGGGCCGTGGCCGTCGCCAGCAGCCGGCGGCAGCGCATCTCGCCCTCGGCCGACAGCCAGTCCGGCAGCATGTCGAGTCCTGCGCGGCCTGGACACCTAGAGCGCGGGGTCGGGCGAGGACCGCTGAGGGACTGGGCGGGGCGAGGGGCGGGGCGGGGAGGGGCGGGGCGAGGGAAGGGGCGGGGCGGGGCGGGGCGAGGGAAGGGGCGGGGCGAGGGAAGGGGCTCGGGGGTCGCGCTCAGCCCGGGTTGCTGGGCAGCAGGATGGGGAGCCCACTCAAAGCGTCCCGCCCTGGGGTGCTGAGCACCTCTGGCGGCGTGGGCGGGGCCTCGGCAGGACGGAGCCTGTGGGCGAGGCCTGCCCGGAGGCGTGGATGGGGGGAGTCTGTCCGGGAGCGGGGCCTGTTTAAAGGCGGGCCTCGGTGGGACGCGTTGAAGCCCCTAGATGGGAGGGAGGGCGGCGGGGCGGGGCCTGCGCGGGAGCCGGATCGGGAAGTTACTGCGAGACGGCGGCCGGGCCTTATAGGCAGTCGAGGCTTGGGCGGGCTGGGGGGCTCGAGAGGGGTGGGGCCTAGGGGGCGTGGCCGGAAAGGCGTGACCAGGCGGACTAAACTTCCGGCAGGGATGGACCGGGGGCGTGGTCTCCGGGGGACGGTGGGCGCGGGCTGGGAGGACCTGTCGGGTGTGTCCTCCGAGCTCCTGGAAGAGCTAGAAGCGTGAAGCGCCCGGCGACCGGCCTCGCCCTCCCCTGCCCCTTGGGTCCTGGCGTTGGGTGTCTGCCGTTGAGGCTCCGCGGCCTCCGCGAGTCCGTCCCTCCTCTAGGGGCTCCAGGACGTACGGAGCCGGGATCCCACGGGGACGCCGCTCCAAGAGCCCGAGGTCGATGGGGCGCGGGAGGAGCGTCCGGCCCGACCTTCCCTCCTGTCCTTCTTCTGGGAGGAGACAAGCTCCTCGCGCCGCCCCTAGTCTTGTCTTCCCTCAGGCTCCGTAGGACTCCAGCCCCAGGCCTTTGACCTCCTTGTCCCACCATCCTCAGCTCTTCTCCCTTCCTGCCTTGAGTCTTGATCAGATTCTCAAATCCCTCTCTCGTCCCCACCTTGGCCCCTGTGGTCATATGACTACGTGGTTCTGCACTCTTCTGCCAGACCCCGGCTTGGGGACCAGATGACCCCGGCCTTGCACACAGCATTCAAACGCGGGATGGAGGGTGTCAGCCATGCTCTGCTGCGTGACCTTGAGCAGGTCATGCGCCCTTCTGAGCTGCAGTTTCGATCCTCATCTGGGCCAGCGCAGCCCTGCCACTGGGCTGGAGTCACCACTTTTAACATCCCAGGGAAGCGGACAGCACTGGGTAGAGCTTCAGGATGCCTGCAGGGCTGATGAGGGCACTGTGTGGGTCTGGGAGTTCCTGAGGCCCCCACCCTGACCACGAGAACGGAAGTGCTCCATCCACTCATGCCGGATAGTTTAATGTTGGGGGGAAGGGAGAGGTAAAGCAGGGTTCTCAAGGGTTACCCCCAAAGCAAGAGGGCACAGGATTCAGGCTGCTGGGGTTGGGAGGTAGAAGGCCCAGCCTTGCTGTGACCCTGGGCAGGTAGCCTTCTTCTCTAGATTTTCACCTGCACTGCTCTCCTTGAGACAGTGGTGGGGCTGGAGGAGGTAAGGCCTCTGGCTGATTCCCACACTAGGTGTGAGGTCCAGGGTAGCAAGGCTTCCCCACAGGGCCTCTGCCATCACTGGGAGTCCTGGCCAGGCCCTAGGCACACTGCAGTGGGGGACAGGAGCCCCAGCCCAGTTGGCAGAGGCAGGCCTCCTTGATCCCTATCGGCCCGGATGTTGGGGAGGCGGTATGGTGCCGGTCGGGTCCTTGGAATCCTCAGGTGGCTTGGGGCTCCAGAGTACAGGCTCTGATAGGTGATGGGCCTGTAGGTGGCTGGGGCCAGCAGGGCCTCAGGTGGGGGCAGCAGCTGTTGGTGGAGCTGAACAGGGGTCTTGGAGGTGGTAGCTGAAGCTTCCTTGGGGTCTAAGGGAGGAAATGGTCTGAGTGGACCCTGGGCCCCACATCATATCCTCAGCCCTCATCCCAGGCCGGCTCTGGTCCCTCCTGCTCCTCCTATCCCAAGTTACCTACCTCTCAGTCTTTGCCATTGTTTTTCCCTCTGCCTGGAATTTCTTTTTCACCTTCTCCCTCAGCCCAAACCCTTCCCAGTCCTCCAAAGCCCAGTTTGGGAGCCACCTCCTGCAGGAAGCCTGCCTGGCACCCCCTGCCTGTATTCTCTGCCCTGAGCCCCATATTGTCTTCCCCTCTGAGTGTCCACACGGGGGCCCTGTGGGTTTGCTGAGCTGCTGAAGCCGATTCCTGGAGGTCCTGTCCCTTTGCCTCCTGCCCCTTGTGTCCGCCTTAGTCTCACTGTGTCTGCAGGCCTAGGGCCTTACCTTTCTCCCTCTCTGTGGCACCCTTCAGCAAACAGGGACTGAGGCTGCTGTGACTCCAAGCTGGGACACTGAGCAGGGGCCGTGGGGCCACAGGCCTGAAGATGGGGCAAACAGGAATGGGAGGAGGGGGTCAAGGGGAAGAACCTGGGCCAGGGATTATGGCCAGATTGAGAGGGTGGGGGCTCAGGATGAGTCAGAGGGTGTGACCCTAGAACAAGAGTCAGGAGCCAAGGCCTTAGGCTATGCCTGGGGGTGGGGTCAAGGGGCTAGGGTCAGGGTCAGACAGTACCAGGAGTCCAGGTCACTCTCTCTAAAGCCCTTGGCAAAAGGATTGCTGGCGATTTTCAGCTGGGTGATCTGCAGGAAAGAAAGCGCAGTTGTGGGCTGGCCCTGCGCTGTGTGGGGTGGCTCAGCCACCGTGTCCTCCCAGGACTCCTCAGTTGGGAGGCCCTGGCACCCGGACCCCTTGGGGGGCTGATAGGAGTGCGGGCGGGGCCTTGACTGAGGGCAGATGCTCAGGGTGCCTGGGGAGGGCAGGAGTCTGTGCCTGTGAGGGCTGCGAGCCTCAGGGCTTAGTCTCCCAACTTGTGAAATGGGCCTGCAACAGGTGCCCCCGCACCAGCCCACCCACCCTGTGGTTCTGGTACGCCGTCACAGCTGTGAACTGGGTCTCCGTGAAGATGAAGGACTTGAAGTTCTCCTGGGCATAGCGCTCACTGTCCTTGCGTGGGTCCACGAAGACCACGTGGAAACGGGGCTGGTAGCGGTGCATGGAGTTGAGAATGATCTGTGGAAGGGACGGAGGAGGAGTGCAGGGGTGAGGTGGGCCGCAGCAGACTCCCTGAGGCTGGAGTCCTTCCCTCCAAGCCGGGAGCCTGCCCTGGGCCTGCTACCCTGTTGGTTTGGTGGCGGTGCAGGGTCTGAGCTGGAGAGGCCGCAGTTCTGTGTCAAAGGTCCCTGATGTCTGAGGATCCTTGTGGCCGTGTCCTCTCACACCCCACATCCCAGCTGCCACCCGCTGCCTGCACGCCAGCCCGCCACAGTCCTGCTCACCCGCTTCCTCCGTTGCCTCCTGGCCGGTCCCGTGTCCCTGCCTTACCCCACTGTTCCGTCTCCACACAGCTGCCTAGGAAGCCACATCACATAGCCCCCGCTCCTGGCCTTCCAGTGACTTCCACCCCATGCAGTAAAAGCCACAGCCCCCAGCAGTCAGCCCCAGCCCGTGGGTAAGCCCCCATGTGGGCACCGAGGAAGGAGAGCTGTGCAAACCCCAGGCACAATTAGTGCCTGAAGAATATCTTAGTTTATAGTGTTATTACTCAGCTGTTTCCTTTATACAATCCTTCATTATAATCATGTATTAGTTTATAGAATTAGTACCTGAAGCATAACTTTGCTTACATATATCTAGTTTATATAATAGTACTTAATGCTTATATCTAGCGTACTTAGTTCTATATAATCTTTCTATATAATCATATAGGTGCTGCAGTCGGAGCTGTACCGACACATTTAGTGCTGATTTACAGAATCCTTCCATATAACCACATGGTAGTTTGTAGTAAGAGGAATGCCTAGAGCGTCACAGAACAGGAGCAGTACATGGGAAAACAGCCAGACCAGGACGAGAACCAAAGACCCAGGCGGTGGCGTCCCTGCCTGAAAGGGCACACGCTGTATGCAGGCTTGGAGCAAGAGCCTCTCCTCATGATAAAGGAGCTGTAGCACCTGCATCCAGCTCCTGTGGAAAGTCGGCCTCAGGCCTGAGATCCTGGAAGTAACCGAGGGAGAAGAACCCCTCTGGTGTGACCAGTCACGGCGGCTGTACACCCGTCAGTCTCTTCTCACTTCTGTGCTGGCTCAAATCTTCCTCCCATAAATATCTTAGAGAAGAGCACAAGTCTGTCAGCTCCCACTGCACTGGCTTACAGTATCCTTCTATTAGAAACCCTTTGAAGCCTCCAGCCCCCAGATAAGAAGTGTTGCCCACGACACCTGCTGCACACAGCCCACCTCCTTGCCTCGGTGACCTAATGGGGGTGGACCCCTTTTCTATACACGGCCCCCTACTGCGCACGGCTCAATGTAGGACTGTTGGTCCCACAGGGTCGTGGGGTGTCCCTTATGCTGTGGTGAGGTGCCAGATCCAAGAAGTAAAGAGACAGGACACTGAAGAACTGGAGAAGAGCAGATGGATTCAGGGGCCACGCCACCTACAAGCGGAGACAGGCGAGGCCCCAAACGTCCAGAAGCGTTTGTATTTATTAGGTACAAGCAGGGGACGGGGTCGTGAGTGAGGTCATCATCTATACGCTTAGTGATAGGGCAGACATAATCACCTGAGTCACAATCGAGGGGGCCACCCATTATGTCACCTGGGCAGAGAGGTGGGCTGTGCGCAGTAGGGGGCCGTGCCGTGCACAGTAGGGGGCCATGTGCAGAAAAGGGGTCCACCCCCATTAGGTCACCGAGGCAAGGAGGTGGGCTGTGTGCAGCAGGTGTCGCGCGTAACACTTCTTATCTGGGGGCTGGAGGCTTCAAAGGGTTTCTAATAGAAGGATACTGTAAGCCAGTGCAGTGGGAGCTGACAGACTTGTGCTCTTCTCTAAGATGTTTATGGGAGGAAGATTTGAGCCAGCACAGAAGTGAGAAGAGACTGACAGGGTGTACAGCCGCCGTGACTGGTCACACCAGAGGGGTTCTTCTCCCTCGGTTACTTCCAGGATCTCAGGCCTGAGGCCGACTTTCCACAGGAGCTGGATGCAGGTGCTACAGCTTCTTTATCATGAGGAGAGGCTCTTGCTCCAAGCCTGCATACAGCGTGTGCCCTTTCAGGCAGGGACGCCACCACCTGGGTCTTTGGTTCTCGTCCTGGTCTGGCTGTTTTCCCATGTACTGCTCCTGTTCTGTGATGCTCTAGGCATTCCTCCTACTACAAACTACCATGTGGTTATATGGAAGGATTCTGTAAATCAGCACTAAATGTGTCGGTACAGCTCCGACTGCAGCACCTATATGATTATATAGAAAGATTATATAGAACTAAGTATGCTAGATATAAGCATTAAGTACTATTATATAAACTAGATATATGTAAGCAGTAAGTTATACTCAGGCACTAATTCTATAAACTAATATATGATTATATATGAAGGATTATATAAAGGAAATAGCTGAGTAATAACACTATAAACTAAGATATTCTTCAGGCACTAATTGTGCCTGGGGTTTGCACAGCTCTCCTTTCTCAGTGTCCATGTGGGGGGTTACCCACAGCCCACCTTTCTGCCCAGATGACATAATGGGGTGGCCCCCTCGCTTGTGACTCATGTGATTATGTCTGCCCTATCCCTAATCCTATAGATGAAACCTCACTCACGACCCTGCCCCTCTGCCTTGTACCCAACAAATACAGATGCTTCTGGACGTTCGGGGCCTCGCCTATCTCCGCTCACAGGGGGCGTGTCCCCCGAGTCCAGCTGCTCTTCTCCAGTTCTTCAGTGTCCTGCCTCTTGACTTCTCGGATCTGGTGCCTCAGCACAGCATAAGGGATACCCCCACCCTGTGGGGCTCGTAGCCCTACACTGGCCCCCCAGGCATCCGCCGCCTTGGCGTCCCCTCCAGTCTCCACTCCAGCACCATGGGAGCCTCTTGCAGTTCTGCGGACCCAGGATTCTCCGGCCTCAGGGCCTTTGCACCTGCCGCCCCCTCTGACTGGCATGAGCCCTCCTTTCCCACCTCCTTCAAGTCTTCAGCTCCCTGCGCCCTCTGAGAGCAGCAGGGCCCTCTCTCCACTCCGCTTCTGTAACTCTGCTTTCTCTTTGTCAGTTGTCCCTATCTGAGACGCTGGACACAGTGTCTTCTGGACCCTGTCCCTACCCCAGGAAGTGACCTCTGTGAGGGCAGAGATCATTGGCTGTTTCACCAAGTGTCAATGGTATTATGTCCGGCACTTACAGCAGGCCAGCCTAGGCTGGGCATTCCCTATCTTGTCCTCCCTCTCCTTGGGGGGACAACGTGGGCTGGAACATTCCCCCGCCCCCACCCGATTCCAGCTGCCTGGTCAGCCCTCTCTGCTGTGCCACCCCCAGCCAGGTGAGTTCACTGACTCCCCCACCCCGCCTTGGCCATCAGCAGCAGGCAGAGGTGCTGGGCATCAACCATTGGGCACCAAAGGCCCTGCCAGCCCTGGCCCCAGGCCCCTCTGTCCCCGCTGTCACCCGGGCCTCACGTGGCCGTTGTCATCCAGCAGGTTGTTGGTCAGCTTGAGTTTGTCGAAGGACACAATCTGGCGCATCCACTGGGCACCTTTGGCTGGCGAGTCAGGATGGAAGTGCACGCGGCCAGGTGTGGCCGGGTCTGCCTTGCCCGCCACCAGCCAGGCCGAGCTATGGAAGGCGTACCTGGGGAGCACAGCGAGATAGTGAGGGCTGCCCCAACCAGCATCAAGACTAAGCAATATGGGCAGGGTGAAAGGCTGCTGCTGACTCCAGCACTGCCCACCCTGCCTCGTGGGGACCTTGCTGAGGAACCCAAGGCTCAAAGAATCCTGTTGGGACCAGAGCTCCCTTTGACTGCACCTGGCTGCTGCCTTGGGCTAGACCTCTCTGCCTGCCTTAGGCTAGCCCACTGCCCATGGAAAGCTGCCTGCCTGAGGCTAGCCCACTGTCCATGGAAAGCTGCCTGCCTGAGGCTAGCCCACTGTCCATGGAAAGCTGCCTGCCTGAGGCTAGCCCACTGTCCATGGAAAGCTGCCTGCCTGAGGCTAGCCCACCACCCATGGAACGTTGTCTGTTTGAGGCTAGCCCACTGTCCTGGAAAGCTACCTGCCTGAGGCTAGCCCACTGCCCATGGAAAGCTGCCTGCCTGAGGCTAGCCCACTGTCCATGGAAAGCTGCCTGCCTGAGGCTAGCCCACCACCCATGGAACGTTGTCTGTTTGAGGCTAGCCCACTGTCCTGGAAAGCTGCCTGCCTGAGGCTAGCCCACTGCCCATGGAAAGCTGCCTACCTGAGGCTAGCTGAGTGCCCATGGAAGGCTGCCTACCTGAGGCTAGCTGAGTGCCCATGGAAGGCTGCCTGCCTGAGGCTAGCCCACTGCCCATGGAAAGCTGCCTACCCGAGGCTAGGCCAGTGCCCATGGAAGGCTGTCTGCCCGAGGCTAGCCTACCTCCGATGGAAGTCTACAGGCTACCCTGAGCTGGGCTCCCTCTCGCCCTCAGGCTGTTGTTGGCTATTGTCCTGCCCTTAGGCTGGGCCTCCCTGGCATTTCCTGGACAGGCTCCTGCCTCACCCTGGAGTGTAGGAGGGGTCTGATTCTTGGCTTCAGCCCCCGAGACCTGAGTCTGCATCCCAGGCTGTTCCCCACACCTGTATCTCTTGTCGTCCAGGGGGATGAAGTCCATGACCAAGGCGTAGTCAGCCAGGGAGTCCATGCCCAGGATCTTCACCTGGAAGGGCGGGAACATCCTCCTGCAGGACGGAAGCGCTCAGCAGCCGGATGTGGCCCCGGCCCCAGCCCCACCCTACCCCCACTGCTCACACCTGCCTGCCTTGGTGACAATCATCTCTGTGCCCAGCTGGTTGAATTCCTCCCACAGAGGCTTCATCTCCAGCTGAACCATCACACTGGACACACGCGGGTTCTTGGGGCCTTGCCCAGTGGGCTCTGCCCTAGCTTGGGCCCCAGTAGAGCTGGTGCAAGGGACTGATGGGAATGGGGACCCCAGCCGAGGCTCCCAACCAGAGCTGGTTGTGGGTAGGGGGTAAGTCTCTGAAGATGCAAGTATGCCAAGGCCAGCAGACAGGAAGGCTGTGGAGAGAGGACAGGCATCACCAAGCCAGTCTTATCCTTCAGGTGGCACCTACATGCCTCTTCCTCCAGGAGGCCCTCCCTGACTGCCAGGCCTGTATTCTCACAAGATCCCCCACTCAGCATCACTCTTTGAGGTTAATGCTCATTTAGAGTCTTTTTTGCCAGCAAGCTCCTTGAGGGTAGCGTCAGGGCCTGTCTTGCTCCCCAGAGAATTTTTTGGCCATCTTGTCTCTGTGTAGCCTCAAGCAAATTGTTTCACCTCCTGGAGCCTCAATTTCCACATTTGTCAGAAGAGGTTCTCAATACCTGCGTCAGCCGGGCACAGTGGCTCATGACTGTAATCCCAGCATTTTGGGAGGCCGAGGCGGGCAGATCACTTGAGGTCAGGAGTTCGAGACCAGCCTGACTGACATGGTGAAACCCTGTCTCTACTAAAAATACAAAAATTAGCCAGGCATAATGGCAGGTGCCTGTAATTCCAGCTACTCAGAATGCTGAGACAGGAGAATTGTTTGAACCCAGGAGGTGGAGGTTACAGTGAGCCAAGATCGTGCCACTGCACTCCAGCCTGGGAGACAAAGCAAGACTCTGTCTCGAAGACAAGTACATACATTTTTAAAAATAAAATAAGAATACCTGCCTCCCCGGGCCGATGTGAGGATTAGTGACCACACAGGAGGCTCGTGCACAGAGCCCCTTCACAGACAGTGCCTGTTCTAGACGATTACATGTGTGGGAAGGGAGGCGGGGTCTCCCCTAGCTCCATGGGACCTGCCACCTGGTGCTGCTGAAGGAAAGCTGAGCCAAGAAGAGTCCCCCATTCAGTGCCAATTACCCATCCCTGACCCTGACAGCCCGCCCAGAGCCTGCCTCCAGAAGCCCCTCCTAACGTCTTTTTCTCTGGTCTCTGCACTCTTTCCTTTCCTTTTTTATCTTTTTTTTGAGACAAGGTCTCACTCTCACCCAGGCTGGAGTGCAGTGGCAACCTCTGCCTCCAGGGTTCAAGCGATTCTCTTGCCTCAGCCTCCCCAGCAGCTGGCGCTACGGGCACATGCCACCACACCCAGCTAATTTTTGTATTTTTATTAGAGACGGGGTTTCACTATGTTGTTCAGCCTGGTCTCAAACTCCTGTCGTCAGGTGAGTTGGCTGCCTCAGCTTCCCAAAGTGCTGGGGTTACAGGCGTGAGCCCGACGCCCAGCCTGGAATTACCATATGATCCAGCAATTCCACTTCTGGGTCTATACCAGAAAGAACTGAAGGAAGGAACTCACACAAATATTTGCACACTCATGTTGGTCTCAGCATTATTCCCAACAGCTAAGAAGCAGAAGCACCCGAAGTCCGTCAGAGGATGAATGGATAAACAAAATGGGGTCCTCTATGCAAGGGAGTGGTGTCCAGCCTTGACAGGGGAGAGCGTTCTGACACAGGCCACGGCATGGCCGAGCCTGCAGACACCGCTAAGTGAGGTGAGCCGGACACAAGAGAAATACCGTATGATTCCATTCATAGGCGGAAGCTGATGGGGCCAGATTCACGGAAACAGAAAATAGAGTGGTGGCGGCCGGGGCTGGGAGGGAGGATGTGGGGCGCTGCTGTTTCATGAGGACAGAGTATCAGCTTTGCAAGATGCCAAAGTTCTCAAGGTGGACGCTATTGACGGGTGCACAACAATGTGAACGTCCTTAATGCCACAAAACTGTGCATTTAAACAGGGTTAAGATGGGCAGGGCGTGGTGGCTCACGCCTGTAATCCCAGCACTTTGGGAGGCCAACACGGGCGGGTCACTTGAGGTCAGGAGTTTGAGAGCAGCCTGACCAACATGGTGAAACCCCATCTCTACTAAAAATATAAAAATTAGCCAGGAATGCTGGCAGGTGCCTGTAATCCTAGCTACTCAGGAGGCTGAGACATGAGAGTCGCTTGAACCTGGGTCGGGGGGTGGAGGCTGCAGTGAGCTGAGACCCGTTGGGATCTCAGTCCTTAGCCTGGGGTGCCCCTGCCCCACCCTCTTGCCCAGGGCCTGGGTTCAGCAGGGCTGCCTTGGTTCCCATCCTGCCCACCCACTCTGGAGCCTGACCCCAACCCAGGAGCCCACCTCTGCTTCACGTAGCCTACCTGCCATGGAGACAGAACAGCTGTCCGGCTCCTGGAGAAACACTGCTTGGCTGCGGCTGGGCTGTGGCTGCCACCCAAGGGGACCCTGCCTGCCAGGAGGGGTGGTCACCACCCAGCACCTCAGCTCAGCCCTCTGGTGCTCACGCAGGCGGTGGTCTCTCAGCAGGACTGTCCTTGCCTCCCTGATCCCCTTCGCCCACGTCCCGAGGTTGTGGTCTTCCCACTGGAGCTGGAGACCTGGTCTCCGAAGGTGAGATTCGGGCTCTGGGGCACGCAGAGGCCCTTCTCCAACCCACTCAGGCTGTGCTGTCAGGCTGTGTGGGAGGAGGGCAGGCGGGAAGGTTCTGACGTGGCCACGTCCCCCTCCCTCCTTGTCCTCCCTTTTCAGGTCCATCCCTTCCCCAGCTAAGAGCCCCCCAGCCATTCCTGATCAATGGTCCCAGGCGTGGCAGGGGTGAGGCGGTAGGAGGGTGGTTCTTGAGGACAGCTGGGCGTCTGCAGGAGCCGAGGCCTGGCTGACTGGAGGGGCTGAGGCCAACAGGGCCCAGGGAGTTGGGAGGCAGAGTGGCAGCAGCAGATCCCAGGCTGAATGGCAGAGGAGGTGCCCTCCCACCAAGACCCAGACCCCTGACCTGAGGCTGGCCCCAGCCGGCCGGCAGATATGCAGCTGTCAGGGGCAGTGTGAGCAGGAAACGCAAGGGGGCAGCAGCGAGTGTGTTCAGCACAGAGCCCCAGACTGGGTGGCAGGAGGCCCAGGTCCTGTGAGATGCTGACCCTCGCGCACACAGACACACGGATGAACTGGAGGAGCTGTGCAACGCTGGCAGGCCCCTCCAGCTTCCAGCCTCGGTCTCTTCAGTTGACCTAATCCCTCCTGCCTGTGACACTCTAGCCCAGCCTGGAGAGTGGTAAGCCCAACCCGCCTGGAACTGGGATGTGCCCTGACTGATGGGCAGTGTAGCCCCCATCTGGGGATGAGTGGACACGGTGAGGCTGGTCCAGGTGAGAAGTGGGTGTCCGCTCTGCCTGTGGGTCTGTCTGTTCTCTCTGGCCTGGCCGGGCACCCTCTCCAGGCTGTCTGCGGCCTGTGCTGAGCATGCAGGGGATTCAGGGGACACACGGATCACTCTGTGGGGAGGCAGAGCAGGCAGGTCCCCCTGACTGCAGCCAGTCCCTAGGTTGAGAGTGCTCTTTGGCTTTTGACTCAGTGAACAGCCCAGAGGGGCTGGTGTGGCTGGAGCACCCCTTGTCTCCTCCAGAATCCTGTCTTGGGGATGCTGGGTTGGCAGCAGCCTTGATTCCTAAGAAGGGGCGTGGAGGGGCTGTGGGGGATGGAGGGGCTGTGGGGGATGGAGGGGCTTTGGGGGATGGAGGGGCTGTGGGGGTGGCGGGGCTGTTTCTCCCTCAGTGCTACTTTCTGGGGGCTCCTCCCTGCAGCTCAGGGGTGGCTGTGGCTCAGTTCCTGTGTCCCAGATCTCAGCCTGCAGAGCTGAATGGGACCCCACACGAAGAGGCTGGGCTGGCTCTGGGGACACAGAAAGAAAGGAGGGCTGGCCCCTGCCCCAACCCCATGCCCAGCTGTGTCGGGGAAGGCTGCCAGCAAGCAGCTCTGGAGTTGCTGCCAGGCAAGATGGGGTGGTCTGTGTGAGATGGAGGGTCCCGGAGCCCCTTGGGGGTATACAACAAGGTGTGGTCATGCTGCGCTGGCCACAGCATGGTGGGTGGGAAGTGGGGAGATGATGGAGGGAGTTGGGGACCCGTTCCGGTACTGGTGGCTCCCCTTCACTGAGACACCCAGCGGAGGGCCAGGCTGGGGTTGTTGTGGCCCCTGATACGTGAGTGTGTGTGATTTTGATCTGTGATGGAAAACACCCCCCCCAAGCACACACACGAGCACACTGACATGCTAATCCACGTGCACGCAGACACGCGAATGAACTCAGAACCTGCTGACTCTCCACGCAAGTGAGCACACACACAGCTTCTGTGCTCACAAACTGACCACACAGCGTATGCAGACACAGGCATCCACATGCACACGCCACGCACAGGCACACCTCCTCCCCAGCTGGCCCGCCCTGCCTGCCCCAGGCGCCCACTGGCCCCCTGCCCCCTCATCCATCTTGCCTGCCAGCCGCTCCCTGGTGCCCTCATATCCTTCACACCTTCTCATCTCACTGCTCAATACTAGGAGGCGGCGTGGCAGCTGTGGCCGCAGGGAAATGGATGAGCTGGGTGGGGGTGTAGAGGGCTGGGGAGTGGCACCAGGAGGGGACTCTGGGCTCCAGCAGCCTCAGCTATCCAGCAAGAGCCCATTAGACTCAGGCAGGCGTGGGCAATGAGGCTGCGGCCAGGTCGCATGTAGCCTTGCCTATTTGTCCTGCCATGACACCCCAAAGGGTGCCAGCATCAGGACAGAGGGGCCCTCAGCAGCAGGCCTCGTCTGACTAGTCTGACACCAGTGTGCGGTGTCCTGGGGATGGTGGAAGTCGTGGCTCCCCAGTTAGAGCTGGGAAGTCCCTCCGCCTCAATCCAAGCCACCTCCTCCCTGTGTCCCTGCAACTGGACAGGCTGATCTGTGTGGGGACAGCCTTGTCCCGCTGTGGCCCTTCCCACAGCCCTGACTCCCCACTTAAGCCACCATGGGCACTGGGCTCATTACACACTTAGAAATGCACATCTGGCCACAGAAAGATCCCTTCAGAATGCCCAAGCTACTGAGACTCTTAGAAACACGTGTGTATGGGAAACGCACAGACACGCATGCCAAAGAGCACACAGGGCAGGCGCCATGCATGGACACACACATACGTGTGCACAGACACGGGCACAGCTCTGCTCTCCCCACACTCAGCCTCTGACCCCAGGATTGCAGGAGGGTTGGGGGCCCTTCTGGGTGTGGCCTCCTCTGGAAGCCCCTCTGCTGGCTCCAGAGCAATCCTCCTTCAGGTTCTCCTCCTATACTCTGGGATCCTCCCCCGGGCATGGATGGACAGCCGTGAGCACAGAAGCAGCCCCACTGGCCCCAAGACATTTGTATGTCCAAGGCTGTACTGGTCAGACCTGCCCAGATCCTGCGGTCAATCCTCCCCTCCTTCATCCACTTCCCCAGGCAGAGAGGAGCCGTGAGGACAGGACACAAACCAGGGACCCCTGGACATTTTCTATTTTATAGAATGGGAAACTGAGGCCAGGGGTTGGGGGACCTGGCAAGGAACATGGTGCATGGTAGGTGATAAAAGGGGCCTCGGTTCTCCGAGCTGTGCCTCAGGACCCGTTGTTCAGATGGGAAGGCTCAGGTTGGGAGGCATGGCTTGGTTTAGGAAGCTGGGCTAGGGGCAGGGGTCAGGGCGGGCATGGCAGGCACGGAGAATGTCAACTTTTCAGTCTGGACAAAGGCGACACCTTTCTCATAGTAAGCAGCCTCGTTAATGAACAGGGGGTACACCGTGGACTCCCCTTCATAGAGCAGGTCCTCTCCGCTGAACATTTGGAAGATGGGATCACCAGGCTGCAGTGGCTGGAAGTCTTGGTCCTGGGAGGAGAGCCAAAGGCCAAGGTTGCTGGGGCCACCTCTGCCCTGGCCCCAGAAGGGAACAACCCGAGGTTGGCACCCAAAAGAAGCCCCTTATTCATGACCATTGCCACCTACTCTTCCCTTCCTCAATCCATATGGCAACAGGTCTGGTGAGATACCAATTTGCTCTGTGTCTAGAAATGAAGACACAAGTCACCTTGGGGAGACCTATGCCAATGTGGAAGTGGAACCTCATAGTTATGGGCACAGGGATTGAAGCCAGAGTTCAAATCCTTGCTAGCTGTGTGACTGTGAGCAAGTCACTTAACCTCTGTTCCTCAGCTTTCTCATCTATATAATAGGGATAGCAATATCTCCTCCTATCATTCTAAAGTTTAAATCAAACCGGCTAATAGTGTTTAAAGCAGTGTCTGGCACACAGTAAGTACAATATGATACTTTATTAAATAAATTTTAAGGTCAAGCATGGTGGGTCACACCTGTAATCTCAGCATTTTGGGAGGCCAAAGTAGGCAGATCACTTGAGGTCAGGAGTTTGAGACCAGCCTGGCTGACAGGAGGAAACTCTGTCTCTATTAAAAATACAAAAATTAGCTGGGTGTGTTGGCACATGCCTGTAATCCCAGCTAATGGGGAGGCTGAGGCAGGAGAATCACTTGAACCTGGGAGGCAGAGGTCAGAGTGAGTTGAGATCACACCATTGCACTCCAGCCTAGATGATGAAGTGAGACTCCATCTCGAAAAAAATAATAATAAATAAAATAAATTCTAAAATTGTAGGAGGAGCCACCCAAATTGACTGTTATTGCTTAACATCTGCAAGTTGGCTGAACATGGCTGGGTTAAGACTCTCTAGCCATAAACATGGACAGGATGGTGCTGCCCCTATTTGTAAGAAGGTAACCCCTCAAAATGAAACTTCAGGGCACAAAAGGCCACAAGACTGCACCAGACCCTATTCAACAGCGACCCCGTGTGGCAGCAAGCAGAGCAGCAGCCAGTTGGTTCTTGTCAGCCACGCAAGGGACAGGTGTGGAAGCAGGATTGCCCGATCCTGGAACCTTCAGGAAGGGAAGGCCCGGAGAGAGATACTTGGATGACCTGCCAACAGGCATGGGGATGCTCAGGGAATCAATTGAAAATCAGAAGACAGTTCTGTATTTGCAGCTCCAAGCAGGTGAATTGGGTCATGCCTGCTCCACAGCCCCTCCTGCCTTTTACAGCCAAGGTAGGGCTGTCTCCCTCATGCTCTCCACAGGAGCTATGTGGCCTCTCGTGCTAGGGAAGTGTGGGGTTCCAGGGAAGGCAGCAGGGCCAGGGAAGTGGGACCGTGGAGCCCAGCCTCCCATCCTGCTCCTGAACCTGAGGTTCTGGTGAGCTCGTGGGAGGCTTGGCTGCACCCTCTGGGGCTCAGTTTTCCTTGACAACCCTCTTCCCTAAGGCTGTGGCCACAGCAATCACCGCCCCACAAACACACACACACCTGAAGCTGAGGATGCACGGTGCCTGCCAGGTTCCCAGCCTCTGTGCGAGGGAAGTCCATGATGCCTACAGGTCTATAGGCTTCCATCTCAAAGGTGGGAAAGGCTGTGCCTGTGTGGGAGGCTGGGTGTGTGAGCCAATCCCTCCTTCCAGGATAGGGTACAGAGTGGGCCGTGGGGGGGACATCAGGGCTGGATCCCAGCCTGCATGTGGGCCTGGATCCGCTGCTCCTGAGCCAGGCCTTCTCTTCCTGAGAGCTGTTTCCCACAAGTCCCCGGGGTCTCACCCTGGTTGAAGAGATCGATGAAGTCCAGAACTGTGGCCACCAGGGCCCTCATCCTCGAGAAAATGTCAGCCCGCAGCACACCCTGTGGCTGGGGGCCCAGCTCCAGAGCTGGAGACCAGGAAGCAAGGAATAGGACCCATGAACTCCTTGGAGAGGCCCCGCCCCCTGGTGCATGGCCCCACCCCCAGCCCTCCTGGTCCCGCCCACTTCTCAGGAGGCCCCGGCTTACCCAGTCCATTTTTGGCCACGGAGTCCAGACTGTAGCTCTCCTCCCCGGACCGCTGGTACAGGAAGACCTGGCAGGACAGCTCGGGGTACTGCAGCTGGGGGGCGAGAGAGGCAGGTTAGGGGTCCAGGCCTAGGTGGGAGGGGAAGCAGGTGGGGGGCGTGGCATGGAGGAAGCACAGGGCACCACCCTCCTTGGCCAGGTCTCCCTCTGTCCTCTGGCAGGGCAGGGGAGGGGGTGTCCGGGGCCTGCAGTGCTGGCCGGTGGCAGACCCCGAAGACTGGAACCCAGGGGACCTCAGCCCGGGGAAGAGGGACTAATCAAAGAGGTTCCGGTCTTGCCCCACCCTGCCCTCCTTCCCTCTCCCCTCTGGGGCAGTATGCTCGGCCGAGGCCACCTGCAGATGGCGGCACAGGTGCAAGGCAAAGACGTCGTGGGAGGACTCTGCGATGAAGCAGGTGCCCATGTTGGCCGTGCTGGTGTGCAGGTCAAGGACAAAGTCAAAGGCCTGGCCCGAGGCCTTGGGTCCCAGCAGCTGGTTCAGCTCTCGGGCTCTCGTCACCTCGTATGGGTCATCCGGGGTAGGCCTGGAACTGCGGGAAACGGGAATGGGGGACGCCCACCCCACAGTCTCAGTCAGTCTTCAGTGGTTTAAGTGGGGAGGGGCAAGGGCCCCGCAGGAGCCACTCTGAGCGGCTCAAGGCTTGTCCCTCTTCCGTTGTGGCTGTGCTCGCCCCTGCCCATGGCCCTCTTGGCTCTGCACTTCCCGGTCATGTCCAAGCCCTCAGTCTGGCCTGCCCTCCCGCCTGCCTCTCATGCCCTCACTCCAGCCACACTGCCCAAGCAGCATGCTGGTCTCACCCGCAGGCCTGTGTTCGTGCTGGGCCCTCCACTGGAAACTCCCTCTTACTTTCTCTTCCCCTGGCTAGTTTTACTCAGCCTTTGGGGCTTGGCTGAGATACCACTGCCTCCAGGAAGCCTTCCCTGACTGCTCTCGGCCAGGTTAGCTGTTTTGTGTAGCCCCCAGGCCTGCCTTTAGCCACCTGGGTTATGGTTGCCCAGTTCTTCCTCTGTGTCCCCATTAAGCAGGAAGCCAGTATCTTGGTCCTATTCCCCCTTCTCTCCCCTGAGCTGGCCAGAGCCTGGTCTGGAGATGGGGCTCAGTGACTATTCTTTGGAAGGAGGCACGAACAGTGGTCAGGGCACATGACAAGTAAACATGGCCTGTGGAGTGAATCTGAAGGAAGCACTGGGTCTGGGATTCCCAGAGGAGGTCCTGACACAACTTGCAGTCAGGAAGGGCTTCTTGGAAGAGGTGACATCAATCTGGGTTTCTCTACGTGTTCAGTTTGTCCCCATGGAGGAATGGGCCACACAGGTAGAGGGGAAGCAGGAGTGAAGGCAGGGAGGGCCCTGCTGGTGGCTGGAGGGGTGGTGTGCGGTGGGGACTCGCTGCCCAACTGCCTGTGCCAACCTGGTGGCAAGAGAACTCACTTGAGGAAGGTGCTGGTGAAGGTGCGGTTGAGGTCGCGGTCCACGTAGCGGCGGCAGGCCGTGGTGGCTGCGGGGTTGGCCAGTACCGGCACTGCGGAGAAGCTGGGTCTCTGCAGCTCTGCCGGGGCCAGCAGCCAGTGCCGCACCAGGTAGACGCCGGACATCTCATTGCCGTGTTTGCCCCCGGCCACCGCCACGCGGCGCAGGGGCTCCCGGGGCACGGGCAGTGAGCACATGCTGGCATGGGGCGGCACCTGGGGGTGGGCATACTCAGGAGACCCCGGCCCCAAGGCAGGGCCCCAGACTCAGAGTGGGGATGGCGGTGGGAGGGCTGAGGAGTCCCAACTCCACAGGGCAGCCACCTGCCAGGAGGTGTGGCCGGCTGGGGGTGTCTCAGCTCTGTCCCACCTGCACCCCGGTGGCCCTTTCTCTGATGAGACAATTCTCCTGCTTCTTTGGAGAGAACAAATTTCTTTTTCCTAAACTGAGAAGCGGGGCCCAGTCATTCAGGTAGACGGGTTCACCGAGGCACACTCCCTACAGGGAAAGGGCTCTGCCCCTTTTTATAGTCAGGGAAACTGAGGCTCAGTGTGGGGAGTGGAAAGAAGCGTCACCAGAGTTCACTGTCGTGTGTCTGGGTTCTAGGCAACTGCTGCCCTTCCTGCCTCTCCCATATGCTCTTCTGAGCTGGTGTGGGGGTCTTAGGGCAGGGGGCACTTACCTGCTGATGTGCAGCTGGGCTTCCCGGGGTACCCTGGCTGGTGTCTAACTGGCAGACAGGCTGGTATTTCTGGGCCTGAAGATCCACAGACGGGAAGTGTTTGTGTCAAGTCGGCAGAGAGCAGGGGGCGGATGGGACGGGCTGAGGTCCACGCAGCCAAAGGTTGGAGTGCCAGGGTCAGCTCCACAGGCACTGCCCCACCCTCCCCTCTCTGCTGCTTGGGCTGCTATGGCCCATTGAGCCCAGGCCCTGCTGGCAAGTTCCTGCCCCTGCCCTTTGTTCCTCTAACACTACTAAGAGGGGCACCTGGGTGGCCACCAGGGTGACAAGTTGTCCCTCCTTCACCACCTCGGCCCCCAGAGGGCTCTGGTCACTCCTGAGTGGCCCTTACCCACAGGTGCCATGTGGAGCCCCAGTTTTGCAGCTCTTTGTTGCTTTAAGCAAAATTTCAAAATGTCAGATTCGATAACCCAGTCATTTTCCAGGACAGCATAATTCAGAGGACTCAGTTTGCCCTGTTTTAGAAACGACCCTCAGGCTCATTTTATAGATGTGAAAACTGAGGTTCAGACGGATGCCCACAGGCACACAGAGCCGCCCTAGAGACAGGCAGGCCAGGGGCACATAGAGCCGTAGTGGCAGGCTGCTGGTGGCACTCAGAGCCCTGGAGGTGGGTTGCAGGTGGCACTCAGGGCATCCAATCTGGCTCCACCCCTCCAGCTACCTCTCAAGAGCAAGGAGGGGAAGGATGAAGGTGAGGTCCCCTGCACTCAGCCCCAGGGCTTGTCCCTCCCACCAGGCTCAGCTGTCTGCTGGGAGAAGCTGAGGCCAGTCCAGAGGTCACTGGGGCGTGAGGCAAGCCGCTTCGCCAGGGCCTGCTGTATGCCAGGCGCTGGGACCCTCAACTGGAGCCTCCCCCAGGCATCAGTCCCAGGCCTTCTTCACCACCACACGGGGTCTCCCCAGGACAGCCCAGCCCTGCTGCAGATGCCAGGCTCACCAGCCTGGGGGGTCTCTGGGTGGCTAGGACCCTCTAGGCTAACCCCTCTCGGAAGCTGCCCAGATCACACTCAACTCTGTGTGGCCTGGGCTCTCCTGCACCCACACTCGGGGCTCTGCAAGCTCAGAGCACGGGGATTGTGGGGCAGGGGACTTGTCGTCCTGGCTCCCATCAGGGCAGCTGGGTCCTTGACGAGGTGCCAAGAGGGGCAGATGGAGCGTGAGGCTGAGCACCCAGCAGGCCAGGGCTACCTAAGAGCCCCTCCAGGGGCCACCACTCCTGGCATCTGGAGCCTCAGCAAAAGGAGGGCAGAGACTGCCATTAGGGGGCCATGCCATGCCATCCACTCTGGCCCAGCCCTGGGGGCAGCTGTCACTGACTCCGTTTTCCAGGTGTGGACTGAAGAAGCTCCGGGGCTTGAGCAACTTGACTGAGTCCCTGGCAGGTGGCAGGAGAGGGAGTCAGCAGAGGAGCCTGCTGGCCTGGGTCTGGTCCCTCGTTGCTTGGGGTAGGGGGCTCATGGCACCCCCCACGCTGCTTTTTGAGTCCCAGGCCATGGTCTTTCTTGGTAGCCCCCTTTCACCCCCCCCAAAGGCTGCGATCCTGCCAACTTGGTGTGGGGCCTTTCAGGAAGGAAGGGCCTGCTCAGCAGACCTAGCTATTTTGGGGGCTACTGGGGGCCAGGGTGCTTCCTGCCAAGAGGTGCTGGTCCCCCAACTCCAGGGAGGACAGCAGGAGGGGTGCTGGAAGGTTTCACTTCCCTTAGCCGGGTTTCAGCTTCTGCTTTTCAGTGTGTGTTTATGGAACAGCACGGGGTCCAAGAGCCCCTGCAGGAGCCCTCAGAAACAGCAGCCCCAGTCCCGACAGTGTGTGTGCACGTGCGTGCACGTGCGTGCATGTGTGTGCACCTGTGTGCGCATGCATGTGCATGAGAGCATCGTGTACCTGTGTGTGCGTGCGAGCATGTGTGCACGTGTGTGAGAGCGCAGGTGTGTATGAGTGTGAGCATGTATGTGTGTGTGTGCATTCTGTGCACACTTGTGACCTGGCTCCGACCCTGCCTCCGTGACAGGCTGTGTGACCTGGAGAGATCCAGTGCCCTCTCTGGGCCTTGGCTCCTCCCTGTGAAATTCCCGGCCAAGGGCAGTTGAAAGGAATGAGGAACGAAGGGCAGGCGTAAGCTTGACAATGGGCAAATGCAGACCCCAGCACGAGTGAGGGCAGAGGATGGTGGCATCATGAGCGCAATCACTGGAGCCACTTTCCTCACTGCAGCTGGGGAAACTGAGACCCAGAGAGGGGTCAGAGCTGTGGCGTTCCCCCGCGGCAGCGTCACCTCATTGCTGGCTGCAGTCGGAGACACGCCTCATGACCTGATGCTTTTCTTTCCTGTTCTTTTCTTTTTTTTCTCTTTTTTTGAGATGGAGTCTTGCTCTGCTGAGCAGGCTGGAGTGCAGTGGTGCAATCTCAGCTCACTGCAACCTCTGCTTCCCGGGTTCAAGTGATTCTCCTGCCCCAGCCTCCTGAGTAGCTAGGATTACAGGTACCCGGGACTGCACCCACCTCCTTTTTGTATTTTTAGTAGAGACAGGGTTTCACCATCTTGGCCAGGCTGGTCTTGAACTCCTGACCTCGTGATCCCCCTGCCTTGGCCTCCCAAAGTGCTGCGATTAATAGGAGTGAGCCACCGCACCCGGCCACTGCCATGTGTGTACCTACGCAACTGTCTTGCATGCTCTGCTCATGTACCCCAAAACCTATAATCCAATAAAAAATTAAAAAAAAAAAAAAAAAAGGTGCCACAGCCCTCAGCTCGGGGACACACTGCTTCGGGAGCTGTCTCGGTGTTCTCCTTACTTGTTGCAAGAAATATAATCTCCTGCTAAATCGTCCTGAAGCAACTGAGCCCACCCGTTGTGTGGGTAACAAAACTCTGGCCATCAGATTGGGCCGACTGGGGTTCTGGTCCTAACTCCCTGAGGCTCCCTAGGGCGAAGCAGTGGGCAGTGGCACCTCCCGCAGGGGAACCCACCCACGTGGCCCCAGAGGGTGGAGGGTGACTCCCTGGGATCTGCTTGGCGCCTGGCCCGCGGGGCCATCACTCGGCACTACCCCCAAAGTGCAGAAGCGGTGGCCTGGACCTTTGGCTGGGTCGTTGCTGCTCCCTCAGGGAAGAAAGCGGACGTTGCCTGTGGGTTGACGAGGTGGGTAAATTCCCGGGCCCCGCAGTGGGATCTCTGGACTTCGGCTTGGTGCAGCTCCGGTTTTGGGTTCTGTTTCTGGCTCTTGGTGCTCTGGGGGATTGAGAGACACCTGCCAGGCCAAGGGCAGCCCGCATCTGGGTAGACAACAGTGGGACTGGCTTTGGGAATTAGTTCTTTTTAGAGAGACAGATTTTTTCACAGGAGGCTGAGCTGCGTCCTCCAGAGCCCCTTGCCACACCCCGGGTCACCAGAAGCAGGAGCTCTGCCATTTGAGGCAAAAAGTACTGTTTTCAGATGCCGTTTTTATTATAACATCACACAAAGCAGGCAAGGCTGTATACACGTGCACCTGTTTACAAATCTGCTGTCCTGGGTACAAAGGCTAGACGGAAATATGCAGAAAAATACCTGTTGAAATATCGGGGCTTTCTTCATTATTTTGTGAGATACTCTACAAAACATTACAGTGAGGTAGGACTATTTTAGCGCTAGAGAATCTGATAAAACGAATTTGTTCAAGAGCTTCTTTGTCAGCTGGGTGCCTTGGCTCACACCTGTACTCCCAACACCTTGGGAGGCCGAGGGGGACAGATCGCTTGAGCCTATGAGTTCAAGATCACCCTGGGAAACATAGGGAGACCCTGTCTCTATCAAAAAAGTAAAAAATCAGGGTGGGCGCAGTGGCTCACACCTGTAATCTCAGCACTTTGGGAGGCCGAGTCAGTGGATCACCTGAGGTCACGAATTTGAGACCAGCCTGGCCAACATAGAAAAACCCCATCTCTACTAAAAATACAAAAATTAGCCGGACCTGGTGGCACGTGCCTGTGATCCCAGCTAGTCAGGAGGCTGAGGCAGGAGAATCTCTTGATCCCAGGAGGCAGAGGTTACACTGAGCTGACCATTGCACTGCAGCGTGGGTGACATGATCAAAACTCTGTCTCAAAAACCAATGAGTTGCGTGGTGACACACACCTGTGGCCCCAGCTACTCAGCAGGCTGAGGCAGGAGGATCACCTGAGCACAGGGAGTCGGAGGTTGCAGTGAGCCATTGTCATACCGCTGCATTCCAGGCTAGACGACAGAGTGAGACCTTATCACAAAAGAAAAAAACAGAGCTGCTTTGTCAATATCCTTTTGTGGGTGTGCACATAGTTCCACAGTACGTCTTCGACCCGAGGAGATGAGTGTGTGTCAGTCTGAAGACCCGGGAGAGAATCTGCAAGGCTTGACACTGTCACTAATAACGATCTGCTTCCTTACATTATGACTGATATGACCAGCGCTGGCCTGTTCTGTCTCATTAAGGGGAGATTTGAAGACCTTATTCATGAAAACAGCATTAGCACTTTGTAGAAGAAAGCCCTGGGAACAGATGTCTGCATGAAGCACCTTTATTCTGTGAGAACTGGTATTTCTTAATGCCCATCTCCTGCAACTGGCCGAAGTCTCCATTCAGGTCCACGCCATAGTGTTCCGCTGCTAAACTCTAAGCTCGCCCCATAAAGCCTGTGCTGAGCCTGGAGTTGGCGTCAGTCCCGACCTTTCTGATTGATCAGGTGTGCATGATGATAAATGAGCTTCACTTCCGTGAGGGAGAAGCAATGAGCCATCCATCTAAAGGTTCTGTTTGGCGTGAACCACACACCACACAGCAGTTTCTGCTCATTCACCCTCCGTCACAGAATGAATCAGTAAAGTCTTCATCACGAAGGAATGCGTCAGGGTGAACGGCGGCTTCTGGCTGCTGCTGTAGTTTTGGAAGGGTTAGATGTTCTGAGGAAAGTATGGTTTCTAGAGGCAAGCAATTCTGAAGGTCTTGTGCAGTGGGGTTGTTTGGTTGGTTGGTTGTTTTTGAGACAAGGTCTGGCTCCATCACCCAGGCTGGAGTGCAGTGGCCTGATCTTGGCTCACTGCGACCTCCAACTTCCAGGTTCAGTCCAGCAGTCCTCCCGCCTCAGCCTCCCGCAGAGCCGAACTACAAGCATGCACCTGGCCAATTTTTGTATTTCCTTTTTAGAGATGGGGTCTTGCTGTGTTGTCCAGGCTGGTCTCAAACTCCTGACCTTGTACTCTGCCCACCTCCGCCTCCCAAAGTGCTGGGATTACAGGAGTGAGCCACTGCACCCAGCCAGGGAAACATATTTTTCTAACAATTAAAAAATGGATCTTCTCCATAAAAATACCAATATGGTATAGGCAATTCAGATTTTGTGTTTCCTATGTTTTTAATAAAATTGAAAGGTACCAGACAGTCACTGTGGCTCATGTAATTCCAGAACTTTGAAAAGCTGAGGCAAGAAGATATTTGAGACCTGGGCAACATGGCAAGACTATGTCCCTACATAAATATATATAAATAGATATTAACCAGGGGTGGCAGCACATACCTACCCTAGTCCCTGCTACTCAGGAGGCTGAGGTGGGAGGATCACTTGAGCCAGGGAGATTGAGGCTGCAGTGAGCCAAAATCATGCCACTGCCCTCCAGTCTAGGTGTTGGAGCAAGACCCTATTTCATCAATTTGAAACAGACCCTTTTTCCAAAAAAAGGAAACGATAATTAAAAACAAAAATTTAAGAGTAATAAGGATTTTTAAAAATCCTAATATACAAATATATATAGGAAGTTTCCAAAAGTAATGGGTACTTAATAAGAAAACAATAAGAAAGGTATAAAACATGTTCTTTATTGAGAAAAAAGTAATTTTGTGTAATTTAGAAGTTATTTAAAGGGAGTTTTTAAATACGAACTTAAGAAAGAAATAGAAAAAAGGTAAAAGGAACCATAAGTAGATGAGAGAGAGAGGTAAAGAAAGCTATGGATGTGAAGCAGTGAGAATAATTTTGTACAGGAAAGAATCCTGTATGGTCAGTGTCTGTCCTAGACTGAAACGACTGCACGTTTAAGACAGAGGAAATACCAGGCAGTCCAAGCATGTCGCAGGTGTCTGAGTAAGTCATGACAAGGCTCGTGAATGGGAACTTACGATGAAAATGTTGGGTGTCACAAGGATGTAAAGGTCCTCTTCAAAAAGAACTACAAACCACTGCTCAAGGAAATATGAGAGGACACAAACAGATGGAAAAACAGTCCATGCTCATAGTTAGGAAGGATCAATATTGTGAAAATGGCCATACTGCCCAAAGTAATTTACAGATTCAGCACTATCCCCATCCAACTACCTATGACTCTCTTCACAGAAATGGAAAAAAACCACCTTAAACTCCATGTGGAACCAAAATAGAGCCCACATAGCGAAGACAATCCTAAGCAAAAAGAACAAAGCTGGTGGCATCACGCTACCTGACTTCAAACTATACTACAAGCCTACAGTAATCAAAACAGCTTGGTACTGGTACCAAAACAGAGATGTAGACCAATGGAACAGAACAGAGGCCTCGGAAATAACACCACACATCTACAACCATCTGATCTTTGACAAACCTGACAAAAATAAGCAATGGGGGAAAGGATTCCCTGTTGAATAAATGGTGTTGGGAAAACTGGCTAGCCATGTGCAGAAGCTGAAACTAGACTCCTTCCTGACACCTTACACTAAAATTAACTCCAGATGGATTAAAGACTTAAACATAAGACCTAACACTGTAAAAACCCTAGAAGAAAACCTCTGCAAAACCATTCAGGACATAGACAGGCAAGGACTTCATGACTAAAACACCAAAAGCACTGGCAACAAAAGCCAAAATAGACAAATGGGATCTAATTAAACTGCAGAGCTTCTGTACAGCAAAAGAAACAGTCATCAGAGTGAACCCACAACCAACAGAATGGGAAAAAATTTTACAATCTACCCATCTGACAAAGGGCTAATATCCAGAATCTACAAAGAACTAAAACAGATTTACAAAAAAAAACCAAACAAGCCCATTCAAAAGTGGGCGAAGGACATGAAAAGACACTTTTCAAAAGAAGACATACATAAGGCCAACAAACATATGAAAAAATGCTCATCATCACTGGTCGTTAGAGAAATGCAAATCAAAACTACATTGAGATACCATCTCACGCCAGTTAGAACGGCGATCATTAAAAAATCTGGAGACAACAGATGCTGGAGAGGATGTGGAGAAATAGGAACACTTTTACACTGTGGGTGGGAGTGTAAATTATGGAAGACAGTGTGGCAATTCCTCAAGGACCTAGAAATAGAAATTCCATTTGACACCGCAATCCCACTACTGGGTATATATCCAAAGGATTATAAATCGTTCTATTATAAAGACACATGCACACGTATGCTCATTGCGGCACTGTTTACAATAGCAAAGACCTGGAACCAACCCAAATGCCCATTGATGATAGACTGGACAGGGAAAATGTGGCACATATACACCATGGAATACTATGCAGCCATAAAAAATGATGAGTTATTGTCCTCTGTAGGGACATGGTTGAATCTGGAAACCATCATTCTCAGCAAACTGACACAAGAACAGAAAATCAAACACCGCATATTCTCTCTCACTCATAGGTGGGTGTTGAACAATGAGAACACATGGACACAGGGAGGGGAGCATCACACACTGGGGCCTATTGCGGGGGGACTAGGGAAGCGACAGTGGGGGGTAGAGAGATTGGGGAGGAATAACAGAGGGAGAAATGCCGGTTATAGGTGATGGCGGATGGAAGCAGCAAACCACGTTGCCATGTATGTACCTACGCAACAATCCTGCATGATCTGCACATGTAACCCAGAACCTAAAATACGATAACAAATATATATTTCTTCTTTTAAAAAAGAACATGTTGGCTATAATTAGATGAAATTATTTGTAACAGGTTTTTTTGTTTGTTTGTTTTTATTTTTGTTTTTTTTTTCTTTTTTTTTGAGATGGAGTCTCACTCGTTCGCCCAGGCTGGAGTGCAGTGGTGCAATCTTGGCTCACTGCAACTTCCATCTCCAGGGTTCAAGCCATTCTCCTGCCTCAGCCTCCCGAGTAGCCGGGATTACAGGTGCGTGCCACCACACCCAGCTCATTTTTCTATTTTTGGTAGAGAAGGGATTTCACCATGTTAGTCAGACTGGTTTTGAACTCCTGATCTTGTGATCCACCCACCTCAGCCTCCCAAAGTGTTGGGATGTTGGAATTAGAAGCGTGAGCCACCGCGCCCCGGCACTGTGCCAGTGTAGATTCATTCTGTGTTCTTAGTTTTCTTAATGCGGCTGAGTTGTTTCATGTCACCAGGACTTCCTGTGGTATTACTAATGTATTCCCTGCTTACTGGCCTAGGAAACACAGGTTGCTTAGGGAGACTGAGCTTTAAAGGTTTTCCCATGCATGGAACTTTCCGTATTGCTTTTAAAGTCTTTTGTTTGTTTGTTCTGAGACGGAGTCTTGCTCTGTCGTCCAGGCTGGAGTGCAGTGGCGCTATCTCGGCTCACCGCAACCTCCGCCTCCTGGGTTCAAGCAATTCTCCTGCCTCAGCCTCCCGAGTAGCTGGGATTACAGGTGCCCGCCACCATGACCAGCTAATTTTTGTATTTTTAGTAGAGATGGGGTTTTACCATGTTGGTCCAGGCTGACCACATGATCTGCCACCTCGGCCTCCCAACGTGCTGAGATCACAGCGTGAGCCACCTCGCCCGGCCTTCCTTTTGAAGTCTTTTGATTGTCACTGTGGTTAAATGAGTAACTATTATTTAGCAGTGATCTCTGATTTGGTTGAAGAAAGTCATTCCAACTTTCTGACATCTTTAGATCGAAGGTTTTCCCAGGATCCAAATCCTAAATTAAGCCATCTGGCCTAAAATCAACTTTGAGATTCTTCCAGAAGGGCCTCCTGGAGTGCCTCAAAGTTTGTGTATCTCATCTTGTGGAGAGATTAAATGACCGGGCTTATTTGGTGAGTAACATGGGAAGCATTGCCAGACAGAAATGGTGTTTAACTTCCTGTAAGTAATGTCTGTGTAAGTGTGTCACTAAAACGTGGGCAATGGTCCGAAGTCCTCAAACTCTGGTATGCCAGGATACATCCATGACTGTGATCACCGTGTTGGGTGGTTGGATGCTGCGGAAATGCTTAAACCTCCTGTCAATCGACAGCCGTCTTCAGATCTCGGCCTGGCTGTTCCGGGCTTTGTCACTCACGGTTATTCTTCATTTTTGAGTCATGGTCTCACTCTGTCGCCCAGGCTGGAGTACAGTGGCCCCAGCTTTGAGTGGTCCAATCTTTCTGGCCCAAACCAACATATATCTTGTACGTATTGATGGATGCCTTATGTCTCCCTGAAATGTATAAATCCAAGCTGTGACCCGACCACCTTGGGCTTATGTCCTCAGGATCTCCTAAGGGCTGTGTCACGGGCCATGGTCAGATTAAATCTCTTCAAATATTGTACGGAGTCTGACTCTCTGGGTTGACATCTGCAATAACTTGACCAAGTGTCCTTTGTGAACAAAGGTGGAAGGATTCACTTTTTCTCCCTATTTGATTCCCACAAAATTCAGAAACTATTCATGAATATTCTTATTTATATAACATCAGTCAAACATTAAAATTAAAATAAATCCCCGCCCTCTGTAAGCTGGATACAATTAGAAACAGTGATTATATTAGCAAGGTTTGGACTGAAATACCGTATTTTAGAAATGTGGGCTGGGCATGGTGGCTCACGCCCGTAATCGCAGCTTGGGAGACCGAGGGAGACGCTTGAGCCAAGGGTTTGACAGCAGACTCCGCAACATCCTTCTAAATCTGAGATTTCCTTTAGGATCCAGATGTGTGGAGACCACATTCTACAAGGTAAGTTCAGCCTCAGAGAGCCAGGCTCTCCAGAACAGATGAGTTTATTTGGGAAGACCAGAGGATCGCTGGGAGCGTGAGGACGGACCCCAGCTGTACACTGGGGGCCGCAGCCACGGGGACGCCTTTAAAGCAGAAGGCCGTGTTAGCGGCTTTGAAACAAGGTTGATAGGTCACAAGCTGATCGCAGGAGTTGGCAGTGGAGACGGCCGTGCTAGGGAAGCGTCTGCAGTTCACGGGGAATGCTACAGGCTCAGGACGTGCTCTCCATATGCCCTGCGTCTCATCTAAGTGCAGGAGTGTCTTGTGAGAAATCCTGTTGCGGGCATGTGTGTGAGGGCTTCCTTGTGACCTCCCCGACTCCATTTTGTTAGCATTTGACATAAGTGACTCCATTTTGGTTCCAGCAACTTTCACATAAGGAAACTGAGGCTCAGAGAAGTCAAGGGACTTGCCACAGACCCCAGTAACGCTGCGCAGTGGAGTGAGGCCGACCTCAGCTTTCCCAGTGGACGCAGCAGCTGCAGGTGAGTGCAGGGTGCAGTGTGAGCCAGGGAGTGGTGCAGAGACCGGTGTGAGATGTGGGAGGGTCCCTGGGGGAGGCGGTGCCGGTGCGGCTGGGATGGGGCAGAGGTGGACCTGTGCGTGCCTAGAGGAGAGAACTCCACGCTCTGAACCCTTCAGCGCTGCTGCCCCTAAGAAGGCAGGGCACTGTCCTTCCCGGGGTAAAGCTATCACAGGACTGGGCCTGGCCAACCGTGACTGAGAGAGCAAAGGGCTGGAATTGGGGAGGGTGGGGTGAGTGGGGACACTTGGCACGTTTTGCGGCCTCTTGGCCTCTCTCGAACGAATGGCGTCCCCCAGATAGAAGCAGGACCTTGTTTTCAATCCCGGCAGCCAGGATGCAGTCATGTGACAGCTCCACCAACCTCAGGCTGGGGGACCCCACGGTCTGGAGGAACAATGTGAGTTGAGGGGCACAGAGCCCCTCAGGGCTAGACTCAGGTTTCTCTGTGCGACCCGTTGGAGGCGGGCAGGGTGCTCACAGGAGGGTGCAGCTGTGGGAGCCCAGGGCCCAGCGGACCAGCTCCTGCATGCTGTGGGAATAGGGAGGGTAGCGGATGTTGTTGAGCTCCTCTAGGCCAGCGGGGCAGAGCAGGCAGGCGCGGTGGTGGGAGAAGGTGTCGAAGGTGAACTTGCCGTGGTACCGGCCCATGCCGCTGTGGCCTGTGTGGGCGCAGAGAGCGAGGGCCTGAGCCAGGTCACCCACGCAGCCTCAGCAGCAGCCCGCTGCCTAGCCAGGGGCACACAGCTGGCAGGGAGCTCAGAGAGAGCCAGGCCATTCACTGAGACATTTTACAGAGAGGGAAACTGAGGCCTTGAGAGGCCCAGGGCCCGGATCAAGGTTGAACAGTGAGTGAAGGGACTTCCTGGGTCTGGGGTTCCAAACCCAAGCTTCGCTGGGGGTGGAAATGGGCAGGGACTCACCGACGCCCCCCAGGGGCAGGGACGGCAGAGTCATGTAGATGAAGCCGTCATTGCCTCCAAAGCTGCCACTGCTGGTCCGCTCCAACATCTGGTTCACAACCTGCCGCGGAGTGGGAGGGGGCAGTGGGCTCCAGGCATGGGAAGAGGGCTTGAGCCCCACCCATTCCACAGCAGAGGTGGAGGAGGCCCACCTCATCCTCGCCTGTCCCTCCACCCTCTGGCAAGCAATCATCTCTGCTCTACCCATCTTGTGGGGTCAGCACCCTCAGTGAGGGTCAGGGTGCTGCGAGTGTCGGGGTGCCATGGGGGTGATTACCACCATGGTGCAAAGACCAGGAAACCCTGCAGGACCGCAGGGAGCCAGTGGCCTTGAGTTGTGTCATGAGGTTAGGACGCTGCAGTAGGGGGTGCAGGCCCCACCTCGACCCGCTGGGTTCTGGCTGTCAGGTCTTGGCTCTGCCGGGTCCCTGACCTCCACTCAGGGCCTCTGCTGGCCCGTGCAGAACCTTGCACAGTCCAGATGCAGGCTGCTCCCTCCTGGACAGAGGGCGGGCCCACCACGTGCCTGGTGGGTTTGGACCATACCCCTTCTGCCAGGCATCCTCGCCGGATGCAGTCTTACCAGGTGGCCTAGATATAGTTACCCTTGAGGTATCTGCTGCCCCAAAGCCCTCCTGAGAAGGGCTGTGAAAGGAGACGGGCCAGTCTGTGTCCCTTTCAGCCCCTCCATTGCCGCCAGCCCGGCCGCGCCCCCACCTGGCTGCTGTTGGAGAAGGCGTACAGGGCCAGGGGCTTCTCCCTCCTGTTGATGAACTCGATGGCCTCGTCCATGCCCTGCACGTTCATGATGGGTAGGATGGGCCCGAAGATCTCCTCCTGCATCACCGGCTCCGTCTCCTGCACATCCACCAGCACCGTGGGGGCTGCCGGGCACCAGAGATGGCTCAGCCCCGGGGCCACAGTCAGGACAGCCCCCAGGGGTGGGGGTAGCAGTGGGGACATGGCCAAGAGCAATGGCTCCAGGCCAGGATCCCTGGGTCTGACTTCCCAGAGCTCCAGGATTTGGGGTGTCTAGGGAAGAAAGTCTCCCCACAGCCCCCAGAAGGGACCCTAGGGCTTCCCCAGCCTGCCCTGGGCCTGTGGGGCCCAGAGAATCCCCCCACCTTGGTCGCACAGTCAGGGGTGATGGGACCTCAGAACCTTGGAGTTCATTAGGCAACAGCGTCCAAGAATGTTGGAGCCACAGTGTCCTGTGAGCTGCTGAGCTGTTTGGCCCAGGAGACCGGGGGCTCAGGGTGGGGCCATCGGAGTTTGGAACCCAGGGACCGTGGGCTCAGAGAATCTGAGGTCGTGGCCCTTCAGGACAGCCGGTGATGAGATGGGAGTTCATCTGAGCATGGTGGGCCCTGAAGCCCGGGGTCTGAGCTCAGTACAGGACCAGAGTTTGGCCTCATGGGGCCACAGGCTCAGAAGCACAGAGACAGATTAGTGGCACCGGAGCTGTGGCTCCAGGTCAAGCTCTGTCAGTGGGGCCAGGTTTCAGGTGCGGGCCCAGATTCCTGGCCCAGCTTGGGCACTCCAGTGAGGAGGGGTCTCGGCCCACGTGGGATTGTGGCGGGGACAGCGGGACTCACCGATGTAGCGATCGCACTCGTCGCTCTGGCCCCCGATGGCCATGCGGCCACAGCCCAGCAGTGCCCGCAGCCGCTGGAACTGTTTCTGGTTGATGATGCGGCCCAGATTTGGGGAGCTCTGGGGGTCGTCGCCATAGAAACGGGTGATGGCGCTCTGCAGGGCGGGCAGCAGCCTCTCCTGCATCTCAGGGCTACACAGGAGGTAGTCAGGGGCCACGCAGGTCTGGCCGGCGTTGAAGTAGCGGAACCAGGCCACGCGGTTGGCCACGATCTGGGGGTCGCAGTCGTCGTCCACATAGCAGGGGTTCTTGCCCCCTAGCTCCAGGGTGACGGGCGTCAGGTGCTTGGCTGCAGCCGTCATGACAATCTTGCCCACGCGAGGGCTCCCTGGGAGTGGAAGGAAACCAGAGTGGCCATTCAGTGACCTGGACCAGGCTGGGGCCCGCTCCTCCCTGGAGAGGTGGTAGAGTCAGTGGCCTTGCCCACTGTCGACTCTTGCCCACTGTCTTCATAGAAAACCTTCATGGTTTTCTATGTGCCCCCTCGGCTGGCCCCAGCCCCCTCCCTCCACAGCCCTCCCGCCCTCTCCCCTGCTGTTCCCTCTGCATGCTCTGGGACCCTGGCCTGGCCCCCTCACCTGTGAAGAAGATGTAGTCGAACTTGTGCTTCAGCAGCTGCCCCGTCTCCTCAGGCCCGCCCAGCACCACGGCAAAGCAACTCTGCAAGGTGGGACGGGCTGCTCAGGGGCAGGCTCTGGGGCCAGCAGGGCATCCTCAGCCCGCAGCGGGGAGGTGTGGGGGCGCCGGGAGCTGCCGGGACAGGGCCACCCTCACCTGGTCCAGGTACCGTGGCAGCACCTCAGCCAAGACCTTCTCTGTGCCCTGACTGATTTCTGATGGTTTCAGCACCACGCAGTTCCCTGCACGGGCAGATGGGGCCGTCACTGGGGGAGCCAGGGTCCCCGCACCCACCCAGGGTCTGGGCTGGGAGGGCACATGAGGCCGAGGGTGTTGCATAGGCAGGATTCTGGGGGCCTCTTTGGGAAGGGCTGCTGGGCAGGGAGGGTATGGAATTCAGAATCCCTCCTCACCTGCGGCGAGGGCGCCCACCAGGGGCACCAGGGTGAGGTTAATGGGGTAGTTCCAGGGTGCGATGATGAGGACCAGGCCAAAGGGCTCCTTCCGGACGAAGGCTGAGTCCAGCTTTGTGAACTGGGGCACAGGGCAGACATGAGAGCCTGCCAAGGGCCACCCCAAACCCACCCACCTCACACTTGTGGCCTCAGCTCCCTGTTCAGTGGAGTCCCAGGAGAGACGAGAAAGTCAGTGACTTGCCCGGGCTCAGGGGCAGGATGCAGCCTGGGTCAGAGCTGCCCAGTGCTCTGCCCTGCCCTCCCGCTGTGGCCAGCATGGCTCACCAAGTTTGTGGACGCTGGCGTGTCCTTCATCCAGGCCTGCAGGTTCTTGAGAGCGAGGTTGATCTCATTCTGGCAAATGATGAGCTCAGATATGTCTGAATCGAAGGCTGACTGTGGTGGAGGTGGAATGCCGAGTGGTCAGGCCCAGAGCTGGCCCAGGAGGGGTCTAGGACCTGAGGAGGGCACACGCAGGCACCACCCCCACCAGATACATGGAGACAGCTCCTATGGGAGGCGCTGCAGTCCCCTGGGAACTGCACATGGCTGCAATTCTGATCTGGAACTTTCTGGCTGTGTGGCCTTGGCAAGCAAGTGACTTTAACCCCTGAGTGCCTCAGTTTCCTCATTTGCAACATGGTGCCAGCCATTGAGCCTGCATCGCAGAGTGGCCGTGAGTGTTATGAGTGAAGGTCAGGTGACTGTCACAGGGAGGGGTCTGTTGAACAGAATAAAACTAGGGACAGAGCCAGTCACTGGGGGCACGGACGCTCCTGAAGGACCGGGATGATGCTCCAGCCCCTGCCTGCACCCACCCTCCACGGCCCACCTTGTGCAGGTCCTGGGCCAGCGCGTCGTGCAGAAGCTGCTTGTTTTCTTGAAGGAAGCGGCCGAGAGCCTGGAGTTGCTCAGCCCGGAACGCGGCCGGCCGAGTGCACCCCGAGTGGAAGGCCTCCCTCAGTCGCCGCAGCGTGTCCTCAAAGGGGTCCGTCCTGCCGGAGGGTGCAGCATGAACTGCGTAGCCAGGGCTGCCCATCCTTCAAGGGCACCCTCCAGCCACCCCAGCGTCTGCATACCCTTGTCCCAGCTGCACCCATGGGAGTTCACAGGCACCCCCCACCTCACACACACACAGAATGACCCCACAGGCACCCCCCACCTGACAGACACACAGAATGACCCCACGGGGGCTGGGGCTGCCTGCACCCCCTCCGCTCACCTGCCTCCCAGGCGCACCCATGAGGGAGGGCCCTGGGCTTGACATCCCCCACTCCAAGGAGGGATTTCCCATCTCGGTGCACTGGAAGTCCAGCATACTCCATACCTCGGGTGACCCCTTTGCCCGCCATCCCAGCTCTTCCCTGCTCTTCCCCTCCTTGTACACACATACCCACCCACATTGGCACCTGGCCACCCCTTCACCCAGACCACCCAGATGGAACAGGGTCTCCCCTGGATCTTCCTCCCTTCTGGGACTAAACGAGGAACTCAGAGGGGTCTTTGCATCAGAAATCACAGAGCTTTGGGGTGGCAGATGGGGAAACTGAAGCCATAGGCATGCCCTAGCACTGAGGAGGGTTTGGCACCTGCTCTGGGGAGGGGGGTGGCACTCAGCTGGTCCTGGAAGGAAGCAGAAGTGGAGGAGAGAGCTCCGGGACTGGCATCCATGGGCACAAGTGGCAGGTGGGGGTGGGTTGGCAGAGAGGAGACTGCCCCAGGGCATGAACCTCTCTGGGCTTTAGCCAGAGGGCCCAGGGGAAGCCCAGCGGGATCTGGAGAGGAGAGATCAGGACAGGGTCGGGGAGGTCCCAGGGGACACTCAGGAGGATTGCCAGGCCCCGGCAAGGGCTCTGAGCACCCCAACCCAGGGACTGAAGAATGCCTTGCAAATCCTGTGTCTGTGTATCCGTGTGTCTGCCTGTCTTTGTGTCTTTGTATATCTTTGTGTGTCTATGTGTGTGTCTCTGTGCGTATAGGTGTCTGTCTTTGTGTGTATGGGTGTCTGTGTGTGTGTATGGGTGTCAGGGTGTTTTTGTGCCTGTGTATATGGCTATCTGTGTGTCTTTGGGTGTCTGTGTGTCTTTGTATGGGTGTCTATGTCTTCATGTATATGGGGGTGTGTGTCTTTGTGTGTAAAAGTGTCTGGGTGTCTGAATGTCTGTATGTATGGGTGTCTTGTGTGTCTTTGTGTGTATGGGTGTTGGTGTGTCTATGTGTACATATAGGTATCTATGTATCTGTGTGTGTCTGTGTGCATGAGTGTGTGTCTGGGTATCTGTATGTGTGTATGGGTGTCTGTGTGTCTGTGTGTGTATATGGGTGTCTGTGTGTCTGTGGGTGTCTGTGTGTCTGTGTATATGAGGGTGCCTGTGTGTCTGTGTGTGTGTGTGTATGGGTGTGTGTGTGTGTGTATGGGTATCTGTGTGGCTGTGTGTGTATGGGTGTCTGTGTGTGTGTATGGGTATCTCTGTGGCTGTGTGTATGGGTGTCTGTGCATCTGTGGGTGTCCGTGTGTGTGTATGGGTGTCTGTGTGTCTGTGGGTGTCTCTGTGTCTATGTGTGTATGGGTGTCTGTGTGTGTATAGATGTCTGTGTGTCTGTGTGTCCGTGTCTGTGTGTATATGGGTGTCTGTGTGTCTATGTGTGTATAGGTGTCTGTGTGTGTATATGGGTGTTCATCTGTGGGTATCTGTGTGTCTATGTGTGTATAGGTGTCTGTGAGTGTGTGTATGGGTGTCTGTGTGTCTGTGGGTGTCTGTGTGTCTGTGTGTATGGATGTCTGTGTGTCTGTGTGTATAGGTGTCTGTGTGTCTGTGTCTGTATGTCTGTTTCTGTGTGGGTGGGTGTGTCTGTGTGTGTCTGTGTGTCTGTATGTGTAGATGGGTGTCTGTGTGTCTGTGGGTGTGTGTGTGCCTGTGTGTGCATGGGTGTCTGTGTGTGTATGAATGTCTGTCTGTGTCTGTGAGTGTATGGGTGTCTGTGGGTGTCTGTGTGTGTCTGTGTGTGCATGGGTTTCTGTGTGTGTATGGATGTCTGTGTCTATGGTATCTGTGCATCTGTGGGTGTCTGTGTGTGTGTGTCTGGATGTCTGTGAGTGTCCATGTGTGTCTGTATATGGGTGTCTGTGAGTGTCTGTGTGCCTGTGCGTGTATATGGGTGTCTGTGTGTTTATGGATGTCTGTGTGTCTGTGTGTATATGGGTGTCTGTGTGTCTGTGAGTGTCTGTGTGTCTCTGTGTGTATGGGTGTCTGTGGCTGTGTGTGTATGGGTGTCTGTGTGTATATGGTGTCTGTGCATCTGTGGGTGTCTGTGTGGCTGTGTGTATGGGTGTCTGTGGCTGTGTGTCTGTGTCTGTATGGGTGTCTGTGTGTGTGAGTGTCTGTGTGTGTGTTTCTGTGTGTGTATGAATGTGTGTCTGTGGGTGTCTGTGTGTCTGTGGCTGTGTGTGTGTGTGTGTGTGCATGTATGGGTGTCTGTGTTTGGATGTGTGTCTGTGTGTATACAGGTGTCTGTGTGTCTTTGGGTGTCTGTGTGTCTGTGTATGGGTGTCTGTGGCTGTGTGTCTGTGTGTGTATGAGTGTCTGTGTGTGTCTGCATATCTGAGTGTGTATGGATGTCTGTGTGTCTGTGGGTGTCTGTGTGTCTGTGTGTGTATGGGTGTCTGTGTCTGTGTGTTTGTGTGTGTATGGGTGTCTATGTGTATGAGTGTGTGTGTGTATCTGTGTGTGTATGGATGTCTGTGTGTCTGTGGGTGTCTGTGTATGAGTGTCTGTGTGTCTGTGACTGTGTGGGTGTCTGTGTGTCTGTGTGTGTATGCGTGTCTGTGTGTATATGGGTGTCTGTGTGTCTGTGCGTATGTGGGTGCCAGTGCATCTGTGGGTGTCTGTGTGTCTGTGTGTGTATGGCTGTCTGTGGCTGTGTGTCTGTGTGTGTATGGGTGTCTATGTGTATGAGTGTCTGTGTGTGTGTATCTGTGTGTGTATAGATGTCTGTGTGTCTGTGGGTGTCTGTGTATGAGTGTCTGTGTGTCTGTGGCTGTGTGGGTGTCTGTGTATCTGTGTGTGTATGGATGTCTGTGTGTCTGTGTGTATATGAGTGTCTGTGTGTCTGTGCGTGTGTGGGACCCTGTGCATCTGTGGGTGTCTGTGTGTCTGTGTGTGTATGGCTGTCTGTGGCTGTGTGTCTGTGTGTGTATGGGTGTCTATGTGTATGAGTGTCTGTGTGTGTGTATCTGTGTGTGTATAGATGTCTGTGTGTCTGTGGGTGTCTGTGTATGAGTGTCTGTGTGTCTGTGGCTGTGTGGGTGTCTGTGTATCTGTGTGTGTATGGATGTCTGTGTGTGTGTATATGGGTGTCTGTGTGTCTGTGCGTGTGTGGGTTCCTGAGCATCTGTGGGTGTCTATGTGTCTGTGTGTATATGGGTGTCCGTGTGTATGGGTGTCTGTGGATCTGTGGGTGTCTGTGTGTTTGTGTGTCTGTGTGTGTGTTTGGGTGTCTGTGTGTCTGTGTGTGTATGCGTGTCTGTGTGTGTGTGTGTGTGTGCCTGTATGTCTCTATGTGTATGGGTGTCTGTGTGTCTGTGGGTGTCTGTGGCTGTGTGCCCGTGGGTGTCTGTGTGTGTGTCTGTGGGTGTCTGTGTGTCTGTGTGTGTGTGTAGGTGTCTCTGGATGTTTGTGTGTCTGTGTGTGAATGTCTGTGTGTGTGTCTGTGTGTTTGTGTGGACGTGGATGTGTCTGTGTGTGTATCTGTGTGTCTGTGTGTGTGTGTGTCTGTGTGTGTGTCTGTCTGTATGTGTGTGTATGTATGTCTGTGTCTATGCGTGTCATGTGTGTATCTGGGTGTGGATCTGTGCTACCTCAGCCTCGGCAGCAGGTCACAGGGCTATGCCCAGGGCTGCTGCCTCAGACCCGCATTGGTGAGGCAGGGGCGGCGAGTGGCAAGCTGAGCCTTAGCATCCGAGGTGGGTGCCCTGGAGGCTGGTGGCCTCATCTGCACTTGCACTGCTTCAATCCCCAATACACATCCAGATCCCAGCCCTGGTGCCCCTGGTCGTCTGTCCATAAATCTGCCTTCTCCCTTAGCCTGGGAGCTCCTCAAAGGGAGGACGGGGTCTGTCCCCATCCCTGGGGCTTCTGGGGAACAGGATTCTTCAGCACTCCGGAGTGCTTCCCAGGAGCCTGCCACAGGGGAAAGTGAGGCTCAGAAGACACCAGCGCCCACCTCCCTCTCCCGAGCAAGCCCCTGCTCATGGCCCCATCACCCTGCAGTGCTAGCCCCTTAGTGGGCTCACCCCCAAACCCACATGCCATGGCCAAATATCCCTTTCCCTCCATGCCTCTGGTCTCCACCAATGTACCCCACCAGGTAAAACCTGCACTTTACCTGGAGCCCCCAGCTGGCCCTCGCCCTGTGGCCCCACGTACCCCAGTGTGGGCTCTGCTCCCGGGCCCTTCACCGCACTTCCACCCTCTTCCTTGGACATGCTGCCTCCCGACGTGCCAGCTCTGCTCCCACCTCCTGTCCTCAGCCCTCCTCGGCTGACTGCGAACCTCCCAGAGCCTGGTGCCCATGCCTGGCAATGGGCTGATGCTCAGGATTACCCAACAGGCGTGGGGCAGGGCTGCACCTCCTAATTCCCACACCTACACTTTTCTCACTGCCAGGACCTACAACGGCTCTGTATCTGCCCTGCTCATCCAGGGCCCTGCCCCCGGGAGCCACACTGCACAGCTGGCTCGGGAACAGGTTGCTCAACTCCAGGTTGCCTGAAACTTTGCTGTGTTTTTACTGGAATGGGCTAGCAGGGAATTACCTCATCAGGAAAAACGTCCCCCAGGAGAAAGTCACAGGATGAAAATATCAGCAGGACCCTGGTGGCAAATGCTGCCTCCTCCAGGAAGCCCTCAGAGCCCCCAGCCACAGTGGTCCCATGCCCCCCATGGCCCCACCAAGGGTCTCTATGCTAAATCTTCATCTCCCTCCTCTCCTCCTCCCCACTCTTCTGGGTGCGCAGGTCAAGATGAGCAACTGTGGCTCTATTTCCACACTAAACGTGCCCAGCTGGCATACTCAGGGCAGAGGAAGGGGCGGAGACCTTTGCTGAGAGACCCTCGATGGGTGGCAGCACCTGGAGCTCTAGGAAGGGGCACTGTTTATTGGTTTGTTTATTTATTTACTTTGTAACCCCGCGTGAGTTACTTAACCTCTCTGAGGCTTTTGGAAGTAACAGTAACACCTAATTGCCATGGTTCTTCAGAGGGTCACAGTGGGAGACGTGAGAATGGAAAAGGAAGATCACAACTCCTGGCACAGAATCAGTGCCCCTCAGTGTTGCCTGCTACTGTTTCCACAAGTATTTGCTGAGCACCTTCCAGGTTCCAGGGAGCAGAATGAGCTCAGGCCCTGCCATGGTCTTTCATGGATGGCCTGATCCTGTCCCCACCCCACCTTCCCCCGAGCTGGGACCAAGGACACACCCCGCTGAGGTCTGTAGAGAGTCTCTTGGCAGAGGGTGCAGGCCCTGATAGGCAGGAGGAACGTCTGAGATAACCCTTGATTGTGACTGAAGCCAGCCTGGCAGGGGCCACAGCCCGCTACCAAGCCCTGGACCTGGAGTCTTCAGTAGCTAAAGATGTGAATACCAATGTGACACTAGGAAGGGACCTCCGGGGTGAGTCAAGGGGATACGGGGCAAGTCTAGGGCCCGTCTAAGAGCAGCAGATGGGTTCTGGCCACGAGGGAGGCCCACTGCCTCCAAACCACTGAACTGTACGCTGTAAATGGGTGAGTTGTATAGGATATGAATTCTGTCCCAATTAGGTGTTTGGTTTGATTTTGTTAAACTGAGCTGACAAGAAGCCTGCATAGACTGTAAATAAATTAAAATATGCTCAACTGAATGGCAATTGTAAAAACGTAAAGGAGGCCAGGTGCGGTGGCTTTAGCGTGTAATCCCAGCACTTTGGGAGGCCGACGCTGGCAGATCACTTGAGATCACTTGAGGTCAGGAGTTTGAGACCAGCCTGGCTGACATGAGGAAACTCTGTCTCTACTAAAAAAAAACCAAAAATTAGCCGGGTGTGTTGGCACATGCCTGTAATCCCAACTACTGGGGAGGCTGAGGCAGGAGAATGACTTGAACCTGGGAGGCAGAGGTCATAGTGAGTTGAGATCACACCATTGCACTCCAGGCTGGACGATGAAGTGAGACTCTATCTCGAAAAAAAACAATAATAAATAAAATAAATTCTAAAATTGTAGGAGGAGCCACCCAAATTGACTGTTATTGCTTAACATCTGCAAGTTGGCTGAACATGGCTGGGTTAAGACTCTCTAGCCCTAAACATGGACAGGATGGTGCTGCCCCTATTTGTAAGAAGGTAACCCCTCAAAATGAAACTTCAGGGCACCAAAGGCCACAAGACTGCACCAGACCCAGTCAACAGCGGCCCCGTGTGGCAGCAAGCAGAGCAGCAGCCAGTTGGTTCTTGTCAGCCACGCAAGGGACGGGTGTGGAAGCAGGATTGCCTGATCCTGGAACATTCAGGAAGGGAAGGCCCAGAGAGAGATACTTGGATGACCTGCCAACAGGCATCCAAGAGGGGAGACGGAAGGAGGGCAGGGCAGGGCAAGACCGGAACATCCTTTGATTAGTCCCTTTTCCCCGGGCTGAGGTCCCCTGGGTTCCAGTCTCCGGGGTCTGCCACCTGCCAGCACTGCAGACCCCGGGAACCCCCTCCCCTGCCCTGCCAGAGGACAGAGGGAGACCTGGCCAAGGAGGGTGGTGCCCTGTGCTTCCTCCATGCCACGCCCCCCACCTGCTTCCCCTCCCACCTAGGCCTGACCCCCTAACCTGCCTCTCTCGCCCCCCAGCTGCAGTACCCCGAGCTGTCCTGCCAGGTCTTCCTGTACCAGCGGTCCGGGGAGGAGAGCTACAGTCTGGACTCCGTGGCCAAAAATGGACTGGGTAAGCCGGGGCCTCCTGAGAAGTGGGCGGGACCAGGAGGGCTGGGGGTGGGGCCATGCACCAGGGGGCGGGGCCTCTGCAAGGAGTTCATGGGTCCTATTCCTTGCTTCCTGGTCTCCAGCTCTGGAGCTGGGCCCCCAGCCACAGGGTGTGCTGCGGGCTGACATTTTCTCGAGGATGAGGGCCCTGGTGGCCACAGTTCTGGACTTCATTGAACTCTTCAACGAGGGTGAGACCCCGGGGACTTGTGGGAAACAGCTTTCAGGAAGAGAAGGCCTGGCTCAGGAGCAGCAGATCCAGGCCCACATGCAGGCTGGGATCCAGCCCTGAGGTCCCCCCACGGCCCACTCTGTCCCCTATCCTGGAGGGAGGGTTTGGCTCACACACCCAGCCTCCCACACAGGCACAGCCTTTCCCACCTTTGAGATGGAAGCCTATAGACCTGTAGGCATCATGGACTTCCCTGACACTGAGGCTGGGAACCTGGCAGGCACCGTGCATCCTCAGCTTCAGGTGTGTGTGTGTTTGTGGGGCGGTGATTGCTGTGGCCACAGCCTTAGGGAAGAGGGTTGTCAAGGAAAACTGAGCCCCAGAGGGTGCAGCCAAGCCTCCCACGAGCTCACCAGAACCTCAGGTTCAGGAGCAGGATGGGAGGCTGGGCTCCACGGTCCCACTCCCCTGGCCCTGCTGCCTTCCCTGGAACCCCACACTTTCCTAGCACAAGAGGCCACATAGCTCCTGTGGAGAGCATGAGGGAGACAGCCCTACCTTGGCTGTAAAAGGCAGAAGGAGGGGCTGTGGAGCAGGCATGACCCAATTCACCTGCTTGGAGGTGCAAATACAGAACTGTCTTCTGATTTTGAATTGATTCCCTGAGCATCCCTGCCCTCCTTCCCTCTCCCCTCTGGGGCAGTATGCTCGGCCGAGGCCACCTGCAGATGGCGGCACAGGTGCAAGGCAAAGACGTCGTGGGAGGACTCTGCGATGAAGCAGGTGCCCATGTTGGCCGTGCTGGTGTGCAGGTCAAGGACAAAGTCAAAGGCCTGGCCCGAGGCCTTGGGTCCCAGCAGCTGGTTCAGCTCTCGGGCTCTCGTCACCTCGTATGGGTCATCCGGGGTAGGCCTGGAACTGCGGGAAATGGGAATGGGGGACGCCCACCCCACAGTCTCAGTCAGTCTTCAGTGGTTTAAGTGGGGAGGGGCAAGGGCCCCGCAGGAGCCACTCTGAGCAACTCAAGGCTTGTCCCTCTGCCGTTGTGGCTGTGCTCGCCCCTGCTCATGGCCCTCTTGGCTCTGCACTTCCCGGTCATGTCCAAGCCCTCAGTCTGGCCTGCCCTCCCGCCTGCCTACCCACTCACCTGCCTCTCATGCCCTCACTCCAGCCACACTGCCTAAGCAGCATGCTGGTCTCATCCCCAGGCCTGTGTTCGTGCTGGGCCCTCCACTGGAAACTCCCTCTTACTTTCTCTTCCCCTGGCTAGTTTTACTCAGCCTTTGGGGCTTGGCTGAGATACCACTGCCTCCAGGAAGCCTTCCCTGACTGCTCTCGGCCAGGTTAGCTGCTTTGTGTAGCCCCCGGGCCTGCCTTTAGCCACCTGGGTTATGGTTGCCCAGTTCTTCCTGTGTCCCCATTAAGCAGGAAGCCAATACCTTGGTCCTATTCCCCCTTCTCTCCCCTGAGCTGGCCAGAGCCTGGTCTGGAGATGGGGCTCAGTGACTATTCTTTGGAAGGAGGCACGAACAGTGGTCAGGGCACATGACAAGTAAACATGGCCTGTGGGGTGAATCTGAAGGAAGCACTGGGTCTGGGATTCCCAGAGGAGGTCCTGACACAACTTGCAGTCAGGAAGGGCTTCTTGGAAGAGGTGACATCAATCTGGGTTTCTCTACATATTCAGTTTGTCCCCATGGAGGAATGGGTCACACAGGTAGAGGGGAAGCAGGAGTGAAGCCAGGGAGGGCCCTGCTGGTGGCTGGAGGGGCGGTGTGCGGTGGGGACTCGCTGCCCAACTGCCTGTGCCAACCTGGTGGCAAGAGAACTCACTTGAGGAAGGTGCTGGTGAAGGTGCGGTTGAGGTCGCGGTCCACGTAGCGGCGGCAGGCCGTGGTGGCTGCGGGGTTGGCCAGTACCGGCACTGCGGAGAAGCTGGGTCTCTGCAGCTCTGCCGGGGCCAGCAGCCAGTGCCACACCAGGTAGACGCCGGACATCTCATTGCCGTGTTTGCCCCCGGCCACCGCCACGTGGCGCAGGGGCTCCTGGGGCACGGGCAGTGAGCACATGCTGGCATGGGGCGGCACCTAGGGGTGGGCATACTCAGGAGACCGCGGCCCCAAGGCAGAGCCCCAGGCTCAGAGTGGGGATGGCGGTGGGAGGGCTGAGGAGTCCCAACCTCACAGGGCAGCCGCCTACCTGGAGGTGTGGCCGGCTGGGGGTGTCTCAGCTCTGTCCCACCTGCACCCCGGTGGCCCTTTCTCTGATGAGACAATTCTCCTGCTCCTTTGGAGAGAACAAATTTCTTTTTCCTAAACTGAGAAGCGGGGCCCAGTTATTCAGGTAGACGGGTTCACCGAGGCACACTCCCTACAGGGAAAGGGTTCTGCCCCTTTTTATAGTCAGGGAAACTGAGGCTCAGTGTGGGGAGTGGAAAGAAGCGTCACCAGAGTTCGCAGTCGTGTGTCTGGGTTCTAGGCAACTGCTGCCCTTCCTGCCTCTCCCATATGCTCTTCTGAGCTGGTGTGGGGGTCTTAGGGCAGGGGGCACTTACCTGCTGATGTGCAGCTGGGCTTCCCGGGGTACCCTGGCTGGTGTCTAACTGGCAGACAGGCTGGTATTTCTGGGCCTGAAGATCCACAGACGGGAAGTGTTTGTGTCAAGTCGGCAGAGAGCAGGGGGCGGATGGGACGGGCTGAGGTCCACGCAGCCAAAGGTTGGAGTGCCAGGGTCAGCTCCACAGGCACTGCCCCACCCTCCCCTCTCCGCTGCTTGGGCTGCCACGACCCATTGAGCCCAGGCCCTGCTGGCAAGTTCCTGCCCCTGCCCTTTGCTCCTCTAACACTACTAAGAGGGGCACCTGGGTGGCCACCAGGGTGACAAGTTGTCCTTCCTTCACCACCTCGGCCCCCAGAGGGCTCTGGTCACTCGTGAGTGGTTCTTACCCACAGGTGCCATGTGGAGCCCCAGTTTTACAGCTCTTTGTTGCTTTAAGCAAAATTTCAAAATGTCAGATTCGATAACCCAGTCATTTTCCAGGACAGCATAACTCAGAGGACTCAGTTTGCTCTGTTTTAGAAACGACCCTCAGGCTCATTTTATAGATGTGAAAACTGAGGTTCAGATGGATGCCCACAGGCACACAGAGCCGCCCTAGAGACATGAAGGCCGGGCCACACAGAGCCGTAGTGGCAGGCTGCTGGTGGCACTCAGGGCCCTGGAGGTGGGTTGCAGGTGGCACTCAGGGCATCCAACCTGGCTCCACCCATCCAGCTACCTCTCAAGAGCAAGGAGGGGAAGGATGAAGGTGAGGTCCCCTGCACTCAGCCCCAGGGCTTGTCCCTCCCACCAGGCTCAGCTGTCTGCTGGGAGAAGCTGAGGCCAGTCCAGAGGTCACTGGGGCGTGAGGCAAGCCGCTTCGCCAGGGCCTGCTGTATGCCAGGCACTGGGACCCTCAACTGGAGCCTCCCCCAGGCATCAGTCCCAGGCCTTCTTCACCGCCACACGGGGTCTCCCCAGGACAGCCCAGCCCTGCTGCAGATGCCAGGCTCACCAGCCTGGGGGGGCTCTGGGTGGCTAGGACCCTCTAGGCTAACCCCTCTCGGAAGCTGCCCAGATCACACTCAACTCTGTGTGGCCTGGGCTCTCCTGCACCCACACTCAGGGCTCTGCAAGCTCAGAGCACGGGGATTGTGGGGCAGGGGACTTGTCGTCCTGGCTCCCATCAGGGCAGCTGGGTCCTTGATGAGGTGCCAAGAGGGGCAGATGGAGCGTGAGGCTGAGCACCCAGCAGGCCAGGGCTACCTAAGAGCCCCTCCAGAGGCCACCACTCCTGGCATCTGGAGCCTCAGCAAAAGGAGGGCAGAGACTGCCATTAGGGGGCCATGCCATGCCATCCACTCCGGCCCAGCCCTGGGGGCAGCTGTCACTGACTCCGTTTTCCAGGTGTGGACTGAAGAAGCTCCGGGGCTTGAGCAACTTGACTGAGTCCCTGGCAGGTGGCAGGAGAGGGAGTCAGCAGAGGAGCCTGCTGGCCTGGGTCTGGTCCCTCGTTGCTTGGGGTAGGGGGCTCATGGCACCCCCCACGCTGCTTTATGAGTCCCAGGCCATGGTCTTTCTTGGTAGCCTCCCTTCACCCCCCGCAAAGGCTGCGATCCTGCCAACTTGGTGTGGGGCCTCTCAGGAAGGAAGGGCCTGCTCAGCAGACCTAGCTATTATGGGGGCTACTGGGGGCCAGGGTGCTTCCTGCCAAGAGGTGCTGGTCCCCCAACTCCAGGGAGGACAGGAGGAGGGGTGCTGGAAGGTTTCACTTCCCTTAGCCGGGTTTCAGCTTCTGCTTTTCAGTGTGTATTTATGGAACAGCACGGGGTCCAAGAGCCCCTGCAGGAGCCCTCAGAAACAGCAGCCCCAGTCCCGACAGTGTGTGTGCACGTGCGTGCACGTGCGTGCATGTGTGTGCACCTGTGTGCGCATGCATGTGCATGAGAGCATTGTGTACCTGTGTGTGCGTGGGAGCATGTGTGCACGTGTGTGAGAGCGCAGGTGTGTAAGTGTGTGAGCATGTATGTGTGTGTGTGCATTCTGTGCACACTTGTGACCTGGCTCCGACCCTGCCTCCCTGACAGGCTGTGTGACCTGGAGAGATCCAGTGCCCTCTCTGGGCCTTGGCTCCTCCCTGTGAAATTCCCGACCAAGGGCAGTTGAAAGGAATGAGGAATGAAGGGCAGGCGCAAGCTTGACAATGGGCAAATGCAGACCCCAGCACGAGTGAGGGCAGAGGATGGTGGCATCATGAGCGCAATCACTGGAGCCACTTTCCTCACTGCAGCTGGGGAAACTGAGACCCAGAGAGGGGTCAGAGCTGTGGCGTTCCCCCGCGGCAGCGTCACCTCATTGCTGGCTGCAGTCGGAGCACGCCTCATGACCTGATGCTTTTCTTTCCTGTTCTTTTCTTTCTTTTCTCTTTTTTTGAGATGGAGTCTTGCTCTGCTGAGCAGGCTGGAGTGCAGTGGTGCAATGTCAGCTCACTGCAACCTCTGCTTCCCGGGTTCAAGTGATTCTCCTGCCCCAGCCTCCTGAGTAGCTAGGATTACAGGTACCCGGGACTGCACCCAGCTCATTTTTGTATTTTTAGTAGAGACAGGGTTTCACCATCTTGGCCAGGCTGGTCTTGAACTCCTGACCTCGTGATCCCCCTGCCTTGGCCTCCCAAAGTGCTGCGATTAATAGGAGTGAGCCACCGCACCCGGCCACTACGCTATGCTTATAAAAGTTGCCACAGCCCTCAGCTCGGGGACACACTGCTTCGGGAGCTGTCTCGGTGTTCTCCTTACTTGTTGCAAGAAATAAATCTCCTGCTAAATCGTCCTGAAGCAACTGAGCCCACCCATTGTATGGGTAACAAAACTCTGGCCATCAGATTGGGCCGACTGGGGTTCTGGTCCTAACTCCCTGAGGCTCCCTAGGGCGAAGCAGTGGGCAGTGGCACCTCCCGCAGGGGAACCCACCCACGTGGCCCGAGAGGGTGGAGGGTGACTCCCTGGGATCTGCTTGGCGCCTGGCCCGCGGGGCCATCGCTCGGCACTACCCCCAAAGTGCAGAAGCGGTGGCCTGGACCTTTGGCTGGGTCGTTGCTGCTCCCTCAGGGAAGAACGCGGACGTTGCCTGTGGGTTGACGAGGTGGGTAAATTCCCGGGCCCGCAGTGGGATCTCTGGACTTCGGCTTGGTGCAGCTCCGGTTTTGGGTTCTGTTTCTGGCTCTTGGTGCTCTGGGGGATTGAGAGACACCTGCCAGGCCAAGGGCAGCCTGCATCTGGGTAGACAACAGTGGGACTGGCTTTGGGAATTAGTTCTTTTTAGAGAGACAGATTTTTTCACAGGAGGCTGAGCTGCGTCCCCCAGAGCCCCTTGCCACACACCGGGTCATCAGAAGCAGGAGCTCTGCCATTTGAGGCAAAAAGTACTGTTTTCAGATGCCGTTTTTATTATATCATCACACAAAGCAGGCAAGGCTGTATACACGTGCACCTGTTTACAAATCTGCTGTCCTGGGTACAAAGGCTAGACGGAAATATGCAGAAAAATACCTGTTGAAATATCGGGGCTTTCTTCATTATTTTGTGAGATACTCTACAAAACATTACAGTGAGGTAGGACTATTTTAGCGCTAGAGAATCTGATAAAACGAATTTGTTCAAGAGCTTCTTTGTCAGCTGGGTGCAGTGGCTCACACCTGTACTCCCAACATCTTGGGAGGCCGAGGGCGACAGATCGCTTGAGCCTATGAGTTCAAGATCACCCTGGGAAACATAGGGAGACCCTGTCTCTATCAAAAAAGTCAAAAATCAGGGTGGACGCAGTGGCTCACACCTGTAATCTCAGCACTTTGGGAGGCCGAGGCAGTGGATCACCTGGGGTCAGGAGTTTGAGACCAGCCTGGCCAACATAGCAAAACCCCATCTCTACTAAAAATACAAAAATTAGCCGGACTTGGTGGCACGTGCCTGTGATCCCAGCTAGTCAGGAGGCTGAGGCAGGGGAATCTCTTGATCCTGGGAGGCAGAGGTTACACTGAGCTGACCATTGCACTGCAGCGTGGGTGACATGATCAAAACTCTGTCTCAAAAACCAATGAGTTGCGTGGTGACACACACCTGTGGCCCCAGCTACTCAGCAGGCTGAGGCAGGAGGATCACCTGAGCACAGGGAGTCGGAGGTTGCAGTGAGCCATTGTCATACCGCTGCATTCCAGGCTAGACGACAGAGTGAGACCTTATCACAAAAGAAAAAAACAGAGCTGCTTTGTCAATATCCTTTGTGGGTGTGCACATAGTTCCACAGTACGTCTTCGACCCGAGGAGATGAGTGTGTGTCAGTCTGAAGACCCTGGAGAGAATCTGCAAGGCTTGGCACTGTCACTAATAACGATCTGCTTCCTTACGTTATGACTGATATGACCAGCGCTGGCCTGTTCTGTCTCATTAAGGGGAGATTTGAAGACCTTATTCATGAAAACAGCATTAGCACTTTGCAGAAGGAAGCCCTGGGAACAGATGTCTGCATGAAGCACCTTTATTCTGTGAGAACTGGTAGTTCTTAATGCCCATCTCCTGCAACTGGCCGAAGTCTCCATTCAGGTCCACGCCATAGTGTTCCGCTGCTAAACTCTAAGCTCGCCCCGTAAAGCCTGTGCTGAGCCTGGAGTTGGCGTCAGCCCCGACCTTTCTGATTGATCAGGTGTGCATGATGATAAATGAGCTTCACTTCCGTGAGGGAGAAGCAATGAGCCATCCATCTAAAGGTTCTGTTTGGCGTGAACCACACACCACACAGCAGTTTCTGCTCATTCACCCTCCGTCACATAATGAATCAGTAAAGTCTTCATCACGAAGGAATGCGTCAGGGTGAACGGCGGCTTCTGGCTGCTGCTGTAGTTTTGGAAGGGTTAGATGTTCTGAGGAAAGTATGGTTTCTAGAGGCAAGCAATTCTGAAGGTCTTGTGCAGTGGGGTTGTTTGGTTGGTTGGTTGTTTTTGAGACAAGGTCTGGCTCCATCACCCAGGCTGGAGTGCAGTGGCCTGATCTTGGCTCACTGCGACCTCCAACTTCCAGGTTCAGTCCAGCAGTCCTCCCGCCTCAGCCTCCCGCAGAGCCGAACTACAAGCATGCACCTGGCCAATTTTTGTATTTCCTTTTTAGAGATGGGGTCTTGCTGTGTTGTCCAGGCTGGTCTCAAACTCCTGACCTCGTACTCTGCCCACCTCCGCCTCCCAAAGTGCTGGGATTACAGGAGTGAGCCACTGCACCCAGCCAGGGAAACATATTTTTCTAACAATTAAAAAATGGATCTTCTCCATAAAAATACCAATATGGTATAGGCAATTCAGATTTTGTGTTTCCTATGTTTTTAATAAAATTGAAAGGTACCAGACAGTCACTGTGGCTCATGTAATTCCAGAACTTTGAAAAGCTGAGGCAAGAAGATATTTGAGACCTGGGCAACATGGCAAGACTATGTCCCTACATAAATATATATAAATAGATATTAACCAGGGGTGGCAGCACATACCTACCCTAGTCCCTGCTACTCAGGAGGCTGAGGTGGGAGGATCACTTGAGCCAGGGAGGTTGAGGCTGCAGTGAGCCAAAATCATGCCACTGCCCTCCAGTCTAGGTGTTGGAGCAAGACCCTATTTCATCAATTTGAAACAGACCCTTTTTCCAAAAAAAGGAAACGATAATTAAAAACAAAAATTTAAGAGTAATAAGGATTTTTAAAAATCCTAATATACAAATATATATAGGAAGTTTCCAAAAGTAATGGGTACTTAATAAGAAAACAATAAGAAAGGTATAAAACATGTTCTTTATTGAGAAAAAAGTAATTTTGTGTAATTTAGAAGTTATTTAAAGGGAGTTTTTAAATACGAACTTAAGAAAGAAATAGAAAAAAGGTAAAAGGAACCCATAAGTAGATGAGAGAGAGAGGTAAAGAAAGCTATGGATGTGAAGCAGTGAGAATAATTTTGTACAGGAAAGAATCCTGTATGGTCAGTGTCTGTCCTAGACTGAAACGACTGCACGTTTAAGACAGAGGAAATACCAGGCAGTCCAAGCATGTCGCAGGTGTCTGAGTAAGTCATGACAAGGCTCGTGAATGGGAACTTACGATGAAAATGTTGGGTGTCACAAGGATGTAAAGGTCCTCTTCAAAAGAACTACAAACCACTGCTCAAGGAAATATGAGAGGACACAAACAGATGGAAAAACAGTCCATGCTCATAGTTAGGAAGGATCAATATTGTGAAAATGGCCATACTGCCCAAAGTAATTTACAGATTCAGCACTATCCCCATCCAACTACCTATGACTCTCTTCACAGAAATGGAAAAAACCACCTTAAACTCCATGTGGAACCAAAATAGAGCCCACATAGCGAAGACAATCCTAAGCAAAAAGAACAAAGCTGGAGGCATCACGCTACCTGACTTCAAACTATACTACAAGCCTACAGTAATCAAAACAGCTTGGTACTGGTACCAAAACAGAGATGTAGACCAATGGAACAGAACAGAGGCCTCGGAAATAACACCACACATCTACAACCATCTGATCTTTGACAAACCTGACAAAAATAAGCAATGGGGGAAAGGATTCCCTGTTGAATAAATGGTGTTGGGAAAACTGGCTAGCCATGTGCAGAAGCTGAAACTAGACTCCTTCCTGACACCTTACACTAAAATTAACTCCAGATGGATTAAAGACTTAAACATAAGACCTAACACTGTAAAAACCCTAGAAGAAAACCTCTGCAAAACCATTCAGGACATAGACAGGCAAGGACTTCATGACTAAAACACCAAAAGCACTGGCAACAAAAGCCAAAATAGACAAATGGGATCTAATTAAACTGCAGAGCTTCTGTACAGCAAAAGAAACAGTCATCAGAGTGAACCCACAACCAACAGAATGGGAAAAAATTTTACAATCTACCCATCTGACAAAGGGCTAATATCCAGAATCTACAAAGAACTAAAACAGATTTACAAAAAAAAAACAAACAAGCCCATTCAAAAGTGGGCGAAGGACATGAAAAGACACTTTTCAAAAGAAGACATACATAAGGCCAACAAACATATGAAAAAATGCTCATCATCACTGGTCATTAGAGAAATGCAAATCAAAACTACATTGAGATACCATCTCACGCCAGTTAGAACGGCGATCATTAAAAAATCTGGAGACAACAGATGCTGGAGAGGATGTGGAGAAATAGGAACACTTTTACACTGTGGGTGGGAGTGTAAATTATGGAAGACAGTGTGGCAATTCCTTAAGGACCTAGAAATAGAAATTCCATTTGACACCGCAATCCCACTACTGGGTATATATCCAAAGGATTATAAATCGTTCTATTATAAAGACACATGCACACGTATGCTCATTGCGGCACTGTTTACAATAGCAAAGACCTGGAACCAACCCAAATGCCCATTGATGATAGACTGGACAGGGAAAATGTGGCACATATACACCATGGAATACTATGCAGCCATAAAAAATGATGAGTTATTGTCCTCTGTAGGGACATGGTTGAATCTGGAAACCATCATTCTCAGCAAACTGACACAAGAACAGAAATCAAACACCGCATATTCTCTCTCACTCATAGGTGGGTGTTGAACAATGAGAACACATGGACACAGGGAGGGGAGCATCACACACTGGGGCCTATTGCGGGGGGACTAGGGAAGCGACAGTGGGGGGTAGAGAGATTGGGGAGGAATAACAGAGGGAGAAATGCCGGTTATAGGTGATGGCGGATGGAAGCAGCAAACCACGTTGCCATGTATGTACCTACGCAACAATCCTGCATGATCTGCACATGTAACCCAGAACCTAAAATACGATAACAAATATATATTTCTTCTTTTAAAAAAGAACATGTTGGCTATAATTAGATGAAATTATTTGTAACAGGTTTTTTTGTTTGTTTGTTTTTATTTTTGTTTTTTTTTCTTTTTTTTTGAGATGGAGTCTCACTCGTTCGCCCAGGCTGGAGTGCAGTGGTGCAATCTTGGCTCACTGCAACTTCCATCTCCAGGGTTCAAGCCATTCTCCTGCCTCAGCCTCCCGAGTAGCCGGGATTACAGGTGCGTGCCACCACACCCAGCTCATTTTTCTATTTTTGGTAGAGAAGGGATTTCACCATGTTAGTCAGACTGGTTTTGAACTCCTGATCTTGTGATCCACCCACCTCAGCCTCCCAAAGTGTTGGGATGTTGGAATTAGAAGCGTGAGCCACCGCGCCCCGGCACTGTGCCAGTGTAGATTCATTCTGTGTTCTCAGTTTTTCTTAATGCGGCTGAGTTGTTTCATGTCACCAGGACTTCCTGTGGTATTACTAATGTATTCCCTGCTTACTGGCCTAGGAAACACAGGTTGCTTAGGGAGACTGAGCTTTAAAGGTTTTCCCATGCATGGAACTTTCCGTATTGCTTTTAAAGTCTTTTGTTTGTTTGTTCTGAGACGGAGTCTTGCTCTGTCGTCCAGGCTGGAGTGCAGTGGCGCTATCTCGGCTCACCGAAGCCTCCGACTCCTGGATACAAGCAATTCTCCTGCCTCAGCCTCCCGAGTAGCTGGGATTACAGGTGCCCGCCACCATGACCAGCTAATTTTTGTATTTTTAGTAGAGATGGGGTTTTACCATGTTGGTCCAGGCTGACCACATGATCTGCCACCTCGGCCTCCCAACGTGCTGAGATCACAGCGTGAGCCACCTCGCCCGGCCTTCCTTTTGAAGTCTTTTGATTGTCACTGTGGTTAAATGAGTAACTATTATTTAGCAGTGATCTCTGATTTGGTTGAAGAAAGTCATTCCAACTTTCTGACATCTTTAGATCGAAGGTTTTCCCAGGATCCAAATCCTAAATTAAGCCATCTGGCCTAAAATCAACTTTGAGATTCTTCCAGAAGGGCCTCCTGGAGTGCCTCAAAGTTTGTGTATCGCATCTTGTGGAGAGATTAAATGACCGGGCTTATTCGGTGAGTAACACGGGAAGCATTGCCAGACAGAAATGGTGTTTAACTTCCCGTAAGTAATGTCTGTGTAAGTGTGTCACTAAAACGTGGGCAATGGTCCGAAGTCCTCAAACTCTGGTGTGCCAGGATACATCCATGACTGTGATCACCGTGTTGGGTGGTTGTATGCTGCGGAAATGCTTAAACCTCCTGTCAATCGTCAGCCGTCTTCAGATCTCGGCCTGGCTGTTCCGGGCTTTGTCACTCACGGTTATTCTTCATTTTTGAGTCATGGTCTCACTCTGTCGCCCAGGCTGGAGTACAGTGCCCCAGCTTTGAGTGGTCCAATCTTTCTGGCCCAAACCAACATATATCTTGTACGTATTGATGGATGCCTTATGTCTCCCTGAAATGTATAAATCCAAGCTGTGACCCGACCACCTTGGGCTTATGTCCTCAGGATCTCCTAAGGGCTGTGTCACGGGCCATGGTCAGATTAAATCTCTTCAAATATTGTACAGAGTCTGACTCTCTGGGTTGACATCTGCAATAACTTGACCAAGTGTCCTTTGTGAACAAAGGTGGAAGGATTCACTTTTTCTCCCTATTTGATTCCCACAAAATTCAGAAACTATTCATGAATATTCTTATTTATATAAGATCAGCCAAAAATTAAAATTAAAATAAATCCCTGCCCTCTGTAAGCTGGATACAATTAGAAACAGTGATTATATTAGCAAGGTTTGGACTGAAATACCGTATTTTAGAAATGTGGGCTGGGCATGGTGGCTCACGCCCGTAATCGCAGCTTGGGAGACCGAGAGAGACGCTTGAGCCAAGGTTTGACAGCAGACTCCGCAACATCGTTCTAAATCTGAGATTTCCTTTAGGATCCAGATGTGTGGAGACCCCATTCTACAAGGTAAGTTCAGCCTCAGAGAGGCAGGCTCTCCAGAATAGATGAGTTTATTTGGGAAGACCAGAGGATCACTGGGAGTGTGAGGACGGACCCCAGCTACACACTGGGGGCCGCAGCCACGGGGACGCTTTTAAAGCAGAAGGCCGTGTTAGCGGCTTTGAAACAAGGTTCATAGGTCACAAGCTGATCGCAGGAGTTAGAGACGGCCGTGCTAGGGAAGCGTCTGCAGTTCACGGGGAATGCTACAGGCTCAGGACGTGCTCTCCATATGCCCTGCGTCTCATCTAAGTGCAGGAGTGTCTTGTGAGAAATCCTGTTGCGGGCATGTGTGTGAGGGCTTCCTTGTGACCTCCCCGACTCCATTTTGTTAGCATTTGACGTAAGTGACTCCATTTTGGTTCCAGCAACTTTCACATAAGGAAACTGAGGCTCAGAGAAGTCAAGGGACTTGCCACAGGCCCCAGTAACGCTGCGCAGTGGAGTGAGGCCGACCCCAGCTTTCCCAGTGGACGCAGCAGCTGCAGGTGAGTGCAGGGTGCAGTGTGAGCCAGGGAGTGGTGCAGAGACCGGTGTGAGATGTGGGAGGGTCCCTGGGGGAGGCGGTGCCGGTGCGGCTGGGATGGGGCAGAGGTGGACCTGTGCGTGCCTAGAGGAGAGAACTCCACGCTCTGAACCCTTCAGCGCTGCTGCCCCTAAGAAGGCAGGGCACTGGCCGGGCACAGTGACTCACGCCTGTAATCCCAGAAGTTTTGGAGGCCGAGGCGGGTGGATCACGAGGTCAAGAGATCGAGACCACCCTGGTCAACATGGTGAAACCCCGTCTCTACTAAAAATACAAAAAATTAGCTGGGCATGGTGGCGCATGCCTGTAGTCCCAGCAACTCGGGAGGCTGAGGCAGGAGAATTACCTGAACCCAGGAGGCGGAGTTTGCGGTGACCCAAGATCGCGCCATTGCACTCCAGCCTGGGTAACAAGAGCGAAACTCCATCTCAAAAAAAAAAAGGCAGGGCACTGTCCTTCCCGGGGTAAAGCTATCACAGGACTGGGCCTGGCCAACCGTGACTGAGAGAGCAAAGGGCTGGAATTGGGGAGGGTGGGGTGAGTGGGGACACTTGGCACGTTTTGCGGCCTCTTGGCCTCTCTCGAACGAATGGCGTCCCCCAGATAGAAGCAGGACCTTGTTTTCAATCCCGGCAGCCAGGATGCAGTCATGTGACAGCTCCACCAACCTCAGGCTGGGGGACCCCACGGTCTGGAGGATCAATGTGAGTTGAGGGGCACAGAGCCCCTCAGGGCTAGACTCAGGTTTCTCTGTGCGACCCGTTGGAGGCGGGCAGGGTGCTCACAGGAGGGTGCAGCTGTGGGAGCCCAGGGCCCAGCGGACCAGCTCCTGCATGCTGTGGGAATAGGGAGGGTAGCGGATGTTGTTGAGCTCCTCTAGGCCAGCGGGGCAGAGCAGGCAGGCGCGGTGGTGGGAGAAGGTGTCGAAGGTGAACTTGCCGTGGTACCGGCCCGTCCCGCTGTGGCCTGTGTGGGCGCAGAGAGCGAGGGCCTGAGCCAGGTCACCCACGCAGCCTCAGCAGCAGCCCGCTGCCTAGCCAGGGGCACACAGCTGGCAGGGAGCTCAGAGAGAGCCAGGCCATTCACTGAGACATTTTACAGAGAGGGAAACTGAGGCCTTGAGAGGCCCAGGGCCCGGATCAAGGTTGAACAGTGAGTGAAGGGACTTCCTGGGTCTGGGGTTCCAAACCCAAGCTTCGCTGGGGGTGGAAATGGGCAGGGACTCACCGACGCCCCCCAGGGGCAGGGACGGCAGAGTCATGTAGATGAAGCCGTCATTGCCTCCAAAGCTGCCACTGCTGGTCCGCTCCAACATCTGGTTCACAACCTGCCGCGGAGTGGGAGGAGGGCAGTGGGCTCCAGGCATGGGAAGAGGGCTTGAGCCCCACCCATTCCACAGCAGAGGTGGAGGAGGCCCACCTCATCCTCGCCTGTCCCTCCACCCTCTATCAGGCAATCATCTCCGCTCTACCCATCTTGCAGGGGGTGGTGGGGTCAGCACCCTCAGTGAGGGTCAGGGTGCTGCGAGTGTCGGGGTGCCATGGGGGTGATTACCACCATGGTGCAAAGACCAGGAAACCGTGCAGGACCGCAGGGAGCCAGTGGCCTTGAGTTGTGTCATGAGGTTAGGATGCTGCAGTAGGGGGTGCAGGCCCCACCACAACCCGCTGGGTTCTGGCTGCCAGGCCCCGGCTCTGCCCGGTCCCTGACCTCCACTCAGGGCCTCTGCTGGCCCGTGCAGAACCTTGCACAGTCCAGATGCAGGCTGCTCCCTCCTGGACAGAGGGCGGGCCCACCACGTGCCTGGTGGGTTTGGACCATACCCCTTCTGCCAGGCATCCTCGCCGGATGCAGTGTTACCAGGTGGCCTAGATATAGTTACCCTTGAGGCATCTGCTGTCCCAAAGCCCTCCTGAGAAGGGCTGTGAAAGGAGATGGGCCAGTCTGTGTCCCTTTCAGCCCCTCCATTGCCGCCAGCCCGGCCGCGCCCCCACCTGGCTGCTGTTGGAGAAGGCGTACAGGGCCAGGGGCTTCTCCCTCCGGTTGATGAACTCGATGGCCTCGTCCATGCCCTGCACATTCATGATGGGTAGGATGGGCCCGAAGATCTCCTCCTGCATCACCGGCTCCATCTCCTGCACATCCACCAGCACCGTGGGGGCTGCCGGGCACCAGAGATGGCTCAGCCCCGGGGCCACAGTCAGGACAGCCCCCAGGGGTGGGCGTAGCAGTGGGGACATGGCCAAGAGCAATGGCTCCAGGCCCGGATCCCTGGGTCTGACTTCCCTGGGCTCCAGGATTTGGGGTGTCTAGGGAAGAAAGTCTCCCCACAGCCCCCAGAAGGGACCCTAGGGCTTCCCCAGCCTGCCCCGGGCCTGTGGGGCCCAGAGAATCCCCCCACCTTGGTCCCACAGTCAGGGGTGATGGGACCTCAGAACCTTGGAGTTCATGAGGCAACAGCGTCCAAGAATGTTGGAGCCGCAGTGTCCTGTGAGCTGCTGAGCTGTTCGGCCCAGGAGACCGGGGGCTCAGGGTGGGGCCATCGGATTTTGGAACCCGGGGATCATGGGCTCAGAGAATCTGAGGTCGTGGCCCTTCAGGACAGCCGGTGGTGAGATGGGAGTTCATCTGAGCACGGTGCGCCCTGAAGCCCGGGGTCTGAGCTCAGTACAGGACCAGAGTTTGGCCTCATGGGGCCACAGGCTCAGAAGCACAGAGACAGATTAGTGGCACCGGAGCTGTGGCTCCAGGTCAAGCTCTGTCAGTGGGGCCAGGTTTCAGGTGCGGGCCCAGATTCATGGCCCAGCTAGGGCACTCCAGTGAGGAGGGGTCTCGGCCCACGTGGGCTGTGGCGGGGACAGCGGGACTCACCGATGTAGCGATCGCACTCGTCGCTCTGGCCCCCGATGGCCACGCGGCCACAGCCCAGCAGTGCCCGCAGCCGCTGGAACTGTTTCTGGTTGATGATGCGGCCCAGATTTGGGGAGCTCTGGGGGTCGTCGCCATAGAAACGGGTGATGGCGCTCTGCAGGGCGGGCAGCAGCCTCTCCTGCATCTCAGGGCTACACAGGAGGTAGTCAGGGGCCACGCAGGTCTGGCCGGCGTTGAAGTAGCGGAACCAGGCCACACGGTTGGCCACGATCTGGGGGTCGCAGTTGTCGTCCACATAGCAGGGGTTCTTGCCCCCTAGCTCCAGGGTGACGGGCGTCAGGTGCTTGGCTGCAGCCGTCATGACAATCTTGCCCACGCGAGGGCTCCCTGGGAGTGGAAGGAAACCAGAGTGGCCATTCAGTGACCTGGACCAGGCTGGGGCCCGCTCCTCCCTGGAGAGGTGGTAGAGTCAGTGGCCTTGCCCACTGTCGACTCTTGCCCACTGTCTTCATAGAAAACCTTCATGGTTTTCTATGTGCCCCCTCGGCTGGCCCCAGCCCCCTCCCTCCACAGCCCTCCCGCCCTCTCCCCTGCTGTTCCCTCTGCATGCTCTGGGACCCTGGCCTGGCCCCCTCACCTGTGAAGAAGATGTAGTCGAACTTGTGCTTCAGCAGCTGCCCCGTCTCCTCAGGCCCGCCCAGCACCACGGCAAAGCAACTCTGCAAGGTGGGACGGGCTGCTCAGGGGCAGGCTCTGGGGCCAGCAGGGCATCCTCAGCCCGCAGCGGGGAGGTGTGGGGGCGCCGGGAGCTGCCGGGACAGGGCCACCCTCACCTGGTCCAGGTACCGTGGCAGCACCTCAGCCAAGATCTTCTCTGTGCCCTGACTGATTTCTGATGGTTTCAGCACCACGCAGTTCCCTGCACGGGCAGATGGGGCCGTCACTGGGGGAGCCAGGGTCCCCGCACCCACCCAGGGTCTGGGCTGGGAGGGCACATGAGGCCGAGGGTGTTGCATAGGCAGGATTCTGGGGGCCTCTTTGGGAAGGGCTGCTGGGCAGGGAGGGTATGGAATTCAGAACCCCTCCTCACCTGCGGCGAGAGCGCCCACCAAGGGCACCAGGGTGAGGTTAATGGGGTAGTTCCAGGGTGCGATGATGAGGACCAGGCCAAAGGGCTCCTTCCGGACGAAGGCTGAGTCCAGCTTTGTGAACTGGGGCACAGGGCAGACATGAGAGCCTGCCAAGGGCCACCCCAAACCCACCCACCTCACACTTGTGGCCTCAGCTCCCTGTGCAATGGAGTCCCAGGAGAGACGAGAAAGTCAGTGACTTGCCCGGGCTCAGGGGCAGGAAACGGCCTTGGTCAGAGCTGCCCAGTGCTCTACCCTGCCCTCCCGCTGTGGCCAGCATGGCTCACCAAGTTAGTGGACGCTGGCGTGTCCTTCATCCAGGCCTGCAGGTTCTTGAGAGCGAGGTTGATCTCATTCTGGCAAATGATGAGCTCAGATATGTCTGAATCGAAGGCTGACTGTGGTGGAGGTGGAATGCCGAGTGGTCAGGCCCAGAGCTGGCCCAGGAGGGGTCTAGGACCTGAGGAGGGCACACGCAGGCACCACCCCCACCAGATACATGGAGACAGCTCCTATGGGAGGCGCTGCAGTCCCCTGGGAACTGCACATGGCTGCAATTCTGATCTGGAACTTTCTGGCTGTGTGGCCTTGGCAAGCAAGTGACTTTAACCCCTGAGTGCCTCAGTTTCCCCATTTGCAACATGGGGCCAGCCATCGAGCCTGCATCGCAGAGTGGCCGTGAGTGTTGTGAGTGAAGGTCAGGTGACTGTCACAGGGAGGGGTCTGTTGATCAGAATAAAACTAGGGACAGAGCCAGTCACTGGGGGCACGGACGCTCCTGAAGGACCGGGATGATGCTCCAGCCCCTGCCTGCACCCACCCTCCACGGCCCACCTTGTGCAGGTCCTGGGCCAGCGCGTCGTGCAGAAGCTGCTTATTTTCTTGAAGGAAGCGGCCGAGAGCCTGGAGTTGCTCAGCCCGGAACGCGGCCGGCCGAGTGCACCCCGAGTGGAAGGCCTCCCTCAGTCGCCGCAGCGTGTCCTCAAATGGGTCCGTTCTGCCGGAGGGTGCAGCATGAACTGCGTAGCCAGGGCTGCCCATCCTTCATGGGCACCCTCCAGCCACCCCAGCGTCTGCACACCCTTGCCCCAGCTGCACCCATGGGAGTTCACAGGCACCCCCCACCTCACACACACACAGAATGACCCCACGGGGGCTGGGGCTGCCTGCACCCACTCCGCTCACCTGCCTCCCAGGTGCACCCATGAGGGAGGGCCCTGGGCTTGACCTCCCCCACTCCAAGGAGGGATTTCCCGTCTCGGTGCACTGGAAGTCCAGCATACTCCATACCTCGGGTGACCCCTTTGCCCGCCATCCCAGCTCTTCCCTGCTCTTCCCCTCCTTGTACACACATACCCACCCACATTGGCACCTGGCCACTCCTTCACCCAGACCACCCAGATGGAACAGGGTCTCCCCTGGATCTTCCTCCCTTCTGGGACTAAACGAGGAACTCGGAGGGGTCTTTGCGTCAGAAATCACAGAGCTTTGAGGTGGCAGATGGGGAAACTGAAGCCATAGGCATGCCCTAGCACTGAGGAGGGTTTGGCACCTGCTCTGGGGAGGGGGGGTGGCACTCAGCTGGTCCTGGAAGGAAGCAGAAGTGGAGGAGAGAGCTCCGGGACTGGCATCCATGGGCACAAGTGGCAGGTGGGGGTGGGTTGGCAGAGAGGAGACTGCCCCAGGGCGTGAACCTCTCTGGGCTTTAGCCAGAGGGCCCAGGGGAAGCCCAGCGGGATCTGGAGAGGAGAGATCAGGACGGGGTGGGGGAGGGCCCAGGGGACACTCAGGACGATTGCCAGGCCCCGGCAAGGGCTCTGAGCACCCCAACCCAGGGACTGAAGAATGCCTTGCAAATCCTGTGTCTGTGTATCCGTGTGTCTGCCTGTCTTTGTGTCTTTGTATATCTTTGTCTATGTGTGTGTCTCTGTGCGTATAGGTGTCTGTCTTTGTGTGTATGGGTGTCTGTGTATGTGTATGGGTGTCAGGGTGTTTTTGTGCCTGTGTATATGGCTATCTGTGTGTCTTTGGGTGTCTGTGTGTCTTTGTATGGGTGTCTATGTCTTCATGTATATGGGTGTGTGTGTCTTTGTGTGTAAAAGTGTCTGGGTGTCTGAATGTCTGTGTGTATGGGTGTCTTGTGTGTCTTTGTGTGTATGGGTGTTGGTGTGTCTATGTGTATATATAGGTATCTATGTATCTGTGTGTGTCTGTGTGCATGAGTGTGTGTCTGGGTATCTGTGTGTGTGTATGGGTGTCTGTGTGTCTGTGTGTGTATATGGGTGTCTGTGTGTCTGTGGGTGTCTGTGTGTCTGTGTATATGAGGGTGCCTGTGTGTGTGTGTGTGTATGGGTGTCTGTGTGTGTATGGGTATCTGTGTGGCTGTGTGTGTATGGGTGTCTGTGTGTCTGCATGTGTGTGTCTGGGTATTTGTGTGTGTGTGTGTGTGTGAATGGGTGTGTGTGTGTATGAATGTGTGTGTGTATGGGTATCCGTGTGTCTGTGTGTGTATGGGTGTCTGTGTGTCTGTGTATATGTTGGTGTCTGTGTGTCTGTGTGTGTGTATGGGTGTCTGTGTGTGTGTGTGTATGGGTATCTGTGTGGCTGTGTGTGTATGGGTGTCTGTGTGTCTGCATGTGTGTGTCTGGGTATTTGTGTGTGTGTGTGAATGGGTGTGTGTGTGTATGAATGTGTGTGTTTGTATGGGTATCTGTGTGTCTGTGTGTATGGGTGTCTGTCTGCGTGTGTGTGTGTGTATGGGTGTCTGTGTGTGTGTATATGGGTGTCTGTGTGTGTGTATGGGTATCTGTGTGGCTGTGTGTGTATGGGTGTCTGTGTGTGTGTATGGGTATCTGTGTGGCTGTGTGTGTATGGGTGTCTGTGCATCTGTGGGTGTCCGTGTGTGTGTATGGGTGTCTGTGTGTCTGTGGGTGTCTCTGTGTCTATGTGTGTATGGGTGTCTGTGTGTGTATAGATGTCTGTGTGTCTGTGTGTCCGTGTCTGTGTGTATATGGGTGTCTGTGTGTCTATGTGTGTATAGGTGTCTGTGCGTCTGTGAGTGTCCAGGTGTCTGTGTGTGTATATGGGTGTTCACCTGTGGGTATCTGTGTGTCTATGTGTGTATAGGTGTCTGTGAGTGTGTGTATGGGTGTCTGTGTGTCTGTGGGTGTCTGTGTGTCTGTGTGTATGGATGTCTGTGTGTATGGGTGTCTGTGTGTCTGTGTCTGTATGTCTGTTTCTGTGTGGGTGTGTGTGTCTGTGTGTGTCTGTGTGTCTGTATGTGTAGATGGGTGTCTGTGTGTCTGTGGGTGTGTGTGTGCCTGTGTGTGCATGGGTGTCTGTGTGTGTATGAATGTCTGTGTCTGTGCGTGTATGGGTGTCTGTGGGTGTCTGTGTGTGTGTGCATGGGTGTTTGTGGGTGTCTGTGTGTGTCTGTGTGTGCATGGGTTTCTGTGTGTGTATGGATGTCTGTGTGTCTATGGTATCTGTGGGTGTCTGTGTGTCTGTGTGTCTATGGGTGTCTGTGTGTGTGTGTCTGGATGTCTGTGAGTGTCCATGTGTGTCTGTATATGGGTGTCTGTGTGCCTCTGCGTGTATATGGGTGTCTGTGTGTTTATGGATGTCTGTGTGTCTGTGTGTATATGGGTGTCTGTGTGTCTGTGAGTGTCTGTGTGTCTCTGTGTGTATGGGTGTCTGTGGCTGTCTGTGTGTGTATGGGTGTCTGTGTGTATATGGTGTCTGTGCATCTGTGGGTGTCTGTGTGGCTGTGTGTATGGGTGTCTGTGGCTGTGTGTCTGTGTCTGTATGGGTGTCCGTGTGTGTGAGTGTCTGTGTGTGTGTTTCTGTGTGTGTATGAATGTCTGTGTGTCTGTGGGTGTCTGTGTGTCTGTGACTGTGTGGGTGTCTGTGTGTGCATGTATGGGTGTCTGTGTTTGGATGTGTGTCTGTGTGTATACAGGTGTCTGTGTGTCTTTGGGTGTCTGTGTGTCTGTGTATGGGTGTCTGTGGCTGTGTGTCTGTGTGTGTATGAGTGTCTGTGTGTGTCGTGTATCTGTGTGTGTATGGATGTCTGTGTGTCTGTGGGTGTCTGTGTGTCTGTGTGTGTATAGGTGTCTGTGTCTGTGTGTCTGTGTGTGTATTGTATGGGTGTCTATGTGTATGAGTGTGTGTGTGTATCTGTGTGTGTATGGATGTCTGTGTGTCTGTGGGTGTCTGTGTATGAGTGTGTGTCTGTGACTGTGTGGGTGTCTGTGTGTCTGTGTGTGTATGTGTGTCTGTGTGTATATGGGTGTCTGTGTGTCTGTGCATATGTGGGTGCCTGTGCATCTGTGGGTGTCTGTGTGTCTGTGTGTGTATGGCTGTCTGTGGCTGTGTGTCTGTGTGTGTATGGGTGTCTATGTGTATGAGTGTCTGTGTGTGTGTATCTGTGTGTGTATAGATGTCTGTGTGTCTGTGGGTGTCTGTGTATGAGTGTCTGTGTGTCTGTGGCTGTGTGGGTGTCTGTGTGTGTGTGTATGGATGTCTGTGTGTCTGTGTGTATATGGGTGTCTGTGTTCTGTGCGTGTGTGGGTTCCTGAGCATCTGTGGGTGTCTATGTGTCTGTGTGTGTATGGGTGTCCGTGTGTATGGGTGTCTGTGGATCTGTGGGTGTCTGTGTGTTTGTGTGTCTGTGTGTTTGTGTGTCTGTGTGTCTGTGTGTGTATGCGTGTCTGTGTGTGTGTGTGTGTGTGCCTGTATGTCTCTATGTGTATGGGTGTCTGTGTGTCTGTGGGTGTCTGTGGCTGTGTGCCCGTGGGTGTCTGTGTGTGTGTCTGTGGGTGTCTGTGTGTCTGTGTGTGTGTGTAGGTGTCTCTGGATGTTTGTGTGTCTGTGTGTGTGTCTGTGTGTTTGTGTGGACGTGGATGTGTCTGTGTGTGTATCTGTGTGTCTGTGTGTGTGTGTGTCTGTCTGTGTGTGTGTGTGTATGTCTGTGTCTATGCGTGTCATGTGTGTATCTGGGTGTGGATCTGTGCTACCTCAGCCTCGGCAGCAGGTCACAGGGCTATGCCCAGGGCTGCTGCCTCAGACCCGCATTGGTGAGGCAGGGGCGGCGAGTGGCAAGCTGAGCCTTAGCATCCGAGGTGGGTGCCCTGGAGGCTGGTGGCCTCATCTGCACTTGCACTGCTTCAATCCCCAATTCACATCCAGATCCCAGCCCTGGTGCCCATGGTCATCTGTCCATAAATCTGCCTTCTCCCTTAGCCTGGGAGCTCCTCAAAGGGAGGACGGGGTCTGTCCCCATCCCTGGGGCTTCTGGGGAACAGGATTCTTCAGCACTCCGGAGTGCTTCCCAGGAGCCTGCCACAGGGGAAAGTGAGGCTCAGAAGACACCAGCGCCCACCTCCCTCTCCCGAGCAAGCCCCTGCTCATGGCCCCATCACCCTGCAGTGCTAGCCCCTTAGTGGGCTCACCCCCAAACCCACATGCCATGGCCAAACATCCCTTTCCCTCCATGCCCCTGGTCTCCACCAATGTACCCCACCAGGTAAAACCTGCACTTTACCTGGAGCCCCCAGGTGGCCCTCGCCCTGTGGCCCCACGTACCCCAGTGTGGGCTCTGCTCCCGGGCCCTTCACCGCACTTCCACCCTCTTCCTTGGACATGCTGCCTCCCGACGTGCCGGCTCTGCTCCCACCTCCTGTCCTCAGCCCTCCTGGGCTGACTGCGATCCTCCCAGAGCCTGGTGCCCATGCCTGGCAATGGGCTGATGCTCAGGATTACCCAACAGGCGTGGGGCAGGGCTGCACCTCCTAATTCCCACACCTACACTTTTCTCACTGCCAGGACCTACAACGGCTCTGTATCTGCCCTGCTCATCCAGGGCCCTGCCCCCAGGAGCCACACTGCACAGCTGGCTCGGGAACAGGTTGCTCAACTCCAGGTTGTCTGAAACTTTGCTGTGTTTTTACTGGAATGGGCTAGCAGGGAATTACCTCATCAGGAAAAACGTCCCCCAGGAGAAGGTCACAGGATGAAAATATCAGCAGGACCCTGGTGGCAAATGCTGCCTCCTCCAGGAAGCCCTCAGAGCCCCCAGCCACAGTGGTCCCATGCCCCCCATGGCCCCACCAAGGGTCTCTATGCTAAATCTTCATCTCCCTCCTCTCCTCCTCCCCACTCTTCTGGGTGCGCAGGTCAAGATGAGCAACTGTGGCTCTATTTCCACACTAAACGTGCCCAGCTGGCATACTCAGGGCAGAGGAAGGGGCGGAGACCTTGGCTGAGAGACCCTCGATGGGTGGCAGCACCTGGAGCTCTAGGAAGGGGCACTGTTTATTGGTTTGTTTATTTATTTACTTTGTAACCCCGCGTGAGTTACTTAACCTCTCTGAGGCTTTTGGAAGTAACAGTAACACCTAATTGTCATGGTTCTTCAGAGGGTCACAGTGGGAGACGTGAGAATGGAAAAGGAAGATCACAGCTCCTGGCACAGAATCAGTGCCCCTCAGTGTTGCCTGCTACTGTTTCCACAAGTATTTGCTGAGCACCTTCCAGGTTCCAGGAAGCAGAATGAGCTCAGGCCCTGCCATGGTCTTTCATGGATGGCCTGATCCTGTCCCCACCCCACCATCCCCCGAGCTGGGACCAAGGACACACCCCGCTGAGGTCTGTAGAGAGTCTCTTGGCAGAGGGTGCAGGCCCTGATAGGCAGGAGGAACGTCTGAGATAACCCTTGATTGTGACTGAAGCCAGCCTGGCAGGGGCCACAGCCTGCTACCAAGCCCTGGACCTGGAGTCTTCAGTAGCTAAAGATGTGAATACCAATGTGACACTAGGAAGGGACCTCCGGGGTGAGTCAAGGGGATACGGGGCAGAGTCTAGGGCCCGTCTAAGAGCAGCAGATGGGTTCTGGCCACGAGGGAGGCCCACTGCCTCCAAACTACTGAACTGTACGCTGTAAATGGGTGAGTTGTATAGGATATGAATTCTGCCCCAATTAGGTGTTTGGTTTGATTTTGTTAAACTGAGCTGACAAGAAGCCTGCATAGACTATAAATAAATTAAAATATGTTCAACTGAATGGCAATTGTAAAAACGTAAAGGAGGCCAGGTGCAGTGGCTTTAGCGTGTAATCCCAGCACTTTGGGAGGCCGACGCTGGCAGATCACTTGAGATCACTTGAGGTCAGGAGTTTGAGACCAGCCTGGCTGACATGAGGAAACTCTGTCTCTACTAAAAAAAAAAACAAAAATTAGCCGGGTGTGTTGGCACATGCCTGTAATCCCAACTACTGGGGAGGCTGAGGCAGGAGAATGACTTGAACCTGGGAGGCAGAGGTCATAGTGAGTTGAGATCACACCATTGCACTCCAGCCTGGACGATGAAGTGAGACTCCATCTTGAAAAAAACAATAATAAATAAAATAAATTCTAAAATTGTAGGAGGAGCCACCCAAATTGACTGTTATTGCTTAACATCTGCAAGTTGGCTGAACATGGCTGGGTTAAGACTCTCTAGCCATAAACATGGACAGGATGGTGCTGCCCCTATTTGTAAGAAGGTAACCCCTCAAAATGAAACTTCAGGGCACCAAAGGCCACAAGACTGCACCAGACCCATTCAACAGCGGCCCCGTGTGGCAGCAAGCAGAGCAGCAGCCAGTTGTTCTTGTCAGCCAAGCAAGGGACAGGTGTGGAAGCAGGATTGCCCGATCCTGGAACCTTCAGGAAGGGAAGGCCCAGAGAGAGATACTTGGATGACCTGCCAACAGGCATCCAAGAGGGGAGACGGAAGGAGGGCAGGGCAGGGCAAGACCGGAACCTCCTTTGATTAGTCCCTTTTCCCCGGGCTGAGGTCCCCTGGGTTCCAGTCTCTGGGGTCTGCCACCTGCCAGCACTGCAGGCCCCGGGAACCCCCTCCCCTGCCCTGCCAGAGGACAGAGGGAGACCTGGCCAAGGAGGGTGGTGCCCTGTGCTTCCTCCATGCCACGCCCCCTACCTGCTTCCCCTCCCACCTAGGCCTGGACCCCTAACCTGCCTCTCTCGCCCCCCAGCTGCAGTACCCCCAGCTGTCCTGCCAGGTCTTCCTGTACCAGCGGTCCGGGGAGGAGAGCTACAGTCTGGACTCCGTGGCCAAAATGGACTGGGTAGGCGGGGGCCTCCTGAGAAGTGGGCGGGACCAGGAGGGCTGGGGGTGGGGCCATGCACCAGGGGGCGGGGCCTCTGCAAGGAGTTCATGGGTCCTATTCCTTGCTTCCTGGTCTCCAGCTCTGGAGCTGGGCCCCCAGCCACAGGGTGTGCTGCGGGCTGACATTTTCTCGAGGATGAGGGCCCTGGTGGCCACAGTTCTGGACTTCATTGATCTCTTCAACCAGGGTGAGACCCCGGGGACTTGTGGGAAACAGCTCTCAGGAAGAGAAGGCCTGGCTCAGGAGCAGCGGATCCAGGCCCACATGCAGGCTGGGATCCAGCCCTGATGTCCCCCCACGGCCCACTCTGTCCCCTATCCTGCAGGGAGGGAATGGCTCACACACCCAGCCTCCCACACAGGCACAGCCTTTCCCACCTTTGAGATGGAAGCCTATAGACCTGTGGGCGTCATGGACTTCCCTCGCACAGAGGCTGGGAACCTGGCAGGCACCGTGCATCCTCAGCTTCAGGTGTGTGTGTGTTTGTGGGGCGGTGATTGCTGTGGCCACAGCCTTAAGGAAGAGGGTTGTCAAGGAAAACTGAGCCCCAGAGGGTGCAGCCAAGCCTCCCACGAGCTCACCAGAACCTCAGGTTCAGGAGCAGGATGGGAGGCTGGGCCCCACGGTCCCACTCCCCTGGCCCTGCTGCCTTCCCTGGAACCCCACACTTCCCTAGCACGAGAGGCCACATAGCTCCTGTGGAGAGCATGAGGGAGACAGCCCTACCTTGGCTGTAAAAGGCAGAAGGAGGGGCTGTGGAGCAGGCATGACCCAATTCACCTGCTTGGAGGAGCAAATACAGAACTGTCTTCTGATTTTGAATTGATTCCCTGAGCATCCCTGCCCTCCTTCCCTCTCCCCTCTGGGGCAGTATGCTCGGCCGAGGTCACCTGCAGATGGCGGCACAGGTGCAAGGCAAAGACGTCGTGGGAGGACTCTGCGATGAAGCAGGTGCCCATGTTGGCCGTGCTGGTGTGCAGGTCAAGGACAAAGTCAAAGGCCTGGCCCGAGGCCTTGGGTCCCAGCAGCTGGTTCAGCTCTCGGGCTCTCGTCACCTCGTATGGGTCGTCCGGGGTAGGCCTGGAACTGCGGGAAACGGGAATGGGGGACGCCCACCCCACAGTCTCAGTCAGTCTTCAGTGGTTTAAGTGGGGAGGGGCAAGGGCCCCGCAGGAGCCACTCTGAGCGGCTCAAGGCTTGTCCCTCTGCCGTTGTGGCTGTGCTCGCCCCTGCGCATGGCCCTCTTGGCTCTGCACTTCCCGGTGATGTCCAAGCCCTCAGTCTGGCCTGCCCTCCCGCCTGCCTACCCACTCACCTGCCTCTCATGCCCTCACTCCAGCCACACTGCCTAAGCAGCATGCTGGTCTCACCCCCAGGCCTGTGTTCGTGCTGGGCCCTCCACTGGAAACTCCCTCTTACTTTCTCTTCCCCTGGCTAGTTTTACTCAGCCTTTGGGGCTTGGCTGAGATACCACTGCCTCCAGGAAGCCTTCCCTGACTGCTCTCGGCCAGGTTAGCTGTTTTGTGTAGCCCCCGGGCCTGCCTTTAGCCACCTGGGTTATGGTTGCCCAGTTCTTCCTCTGTGTCCCCATTAAGCAGGAAGCCAATACCTTGGTCCTATTCCCCCTTCTCTCCCCTGAGCTGGCCAGAGCCTGGTCTGGAGATGGGGCTCAGTGACTATTCTTTGGAAGGAGGCACGAACAGTGGTCAGGGCACATGACAAGTAAACATGGCCTGTGGGGTGAATCTGAAGGAAGCACTGGGTCTGGGATTCCCAGAGGAGGTCCTGACACAACTTGCAGTCAGGAAGGGCTTCTTGGAAGAGGTGACATCAATCTGGGTTTCTCTACATATTCAGTTTGTCCCCATGGAGGAATGGGCCACACAGGTAGAGGGGAAGCAGGAGTGAAGGCAGGGAGGGCCCTGCTGGTGGCTGGAGGGGCGGTGTGCGGTGGGGACTCGCTGCCCAACTGCCTGTGCCAACCTGGTGGCAAGAGAACTCACTTGAGGAAGGTGCTGGTGAAGGTGCGGTTGAGGTCGCGGTCCACGTAGCGGCGGCAGGCCGTGGTGGCTGCGGGGTTGGCCAGTACCGGCACTGCGGAGAAGCTGGGTCTCTGCAGCTCTGCCGGGGCCAGCAGCCAGTGCCACACCAGGTAGACGCCGGACATCTCATTGCCGTGTTTGCCCCCGGCCACCGCCACGTGGCGCAGGGGCTCCCAGGGCACGGGCAGTGAGCACATGCTGGCATGGGGCGGCACCTAGGGGTGGGCATACTCAGGAGACCCTGGCCCCAAGGCAGAGCCCCAGGCTCAGAGTGGGGATGGCGGTGGGAGGGCTGAGGAGTCCCAACCCCACAGGGCAGCCGCCTACCTGGAGGTGTGGCCGGTTGGGGGTGTCTCAGCTCTGTCCCACCTGCACCCCGGTGGCCCTTTCTCTGATGAGACAATTCTCCTGCTCCTTTGGAGAGAACAAATTTCTTTTTCCTAAACTGAGAAGCGGGGCCCAGTTATTCAGGTAGACGGGTTCACCGAGGCACACTCCCTACAGGGAAAGGGTTCTGCCCCTTTTTATAGTCAGAGAAACTGAGGCTCAGTGTGGGGAGTGGAAAGAAGCGTCACCAGAGTTCGCAGTCGTGTGTCTGGGTTCTAGGCAACTGCTGCCCTTCCTGCCTCTCCCGTATGCTCCTCTGAGCTGGTGTGGGGGTCTTAGGGCAGGGGGCACTTACCTGCTGATGTGCAGCTGGGCTTCCCGGGGTACCCTGGCTGGTGTCTAACTGGCAGACAGGCTGGTATTTCTGGGCCTGAAGATCCACAGACGGGAAGTGTTTGTGTCAAGTCGGCAGAGAGCAGGGGGCGGATGGGACGGGCTGAGGTCCACGCAGCCAAAGGTTGGAGTGCCAGGGTCAGCTCCACAGGCACTGCCCCACCCTCCCCTCTCCGCTGCTTGGGCTGCCACGGCCCATTGAGCCCAGGCCCTGCTGGCAAGTTCCTGCCCCTGCCCTTTGCTCCTCTAACACTACTAAGAGGTGCACCTGGGTGGCCACCAGGGTGACAAGTTGTCCCTCCTTCACCACCTCGGCCCCCAGAGGGCTCTGATCACTCGTGAGTGGTTCTTACCCACAGGTGCCATGTGGAGCCCCAGTTTTACAGCTCTTTGTTGCTTTAAGCAAAATTTCAAAATGTCAGATTCGATAACCCAGTCATTTTCCAGGACAGCATAACTCAGAGGACTCAGTTTGCTCTGGTTTAGAAACGACCCTCAGGCTCATTTTATAGATGTGAAAACTGAGGTTCAGATGGATGCCCACAGGCACACAGAGCCGCCCTAGAGACATGCAGGCCGGGCCACACAGAGCCGTAGTGGCAGGCTGCTGGTGGCACTCAGAGCCCTGGAGGTGGGTTGCAGGTGGCACTCAGGGCATCCAATCTGGCTCCACCCCTCCAGCTACCTCTCAAGAGCAAGGAGGGGAAGGATGAAGGTGAGGTCCCCTGCACTCAGCCCCAGGGCCTGTCCCTCCCACCAGGCTCAGCTGTCTGCTGGGAGAAGCTGAGGCCAGTCCAGAGGTCACTGGGGCGTGAGGCAAGCCGCTACGCCAGGGCCTGCTGTATGCCAGGCGCTGGGACCCTCAGCTGGAGCCTCCCCCAGGCATCAGTCCCAGGCCTTCTTCACCACCACACGGGGTCTCCCCAGGACAGCCCAGCCCTGCTGCAGATGCCAGGCTCACCAGCCTGGGGGGGCTCTGGGTGGCTAGGACCCTCTAGGCTAACCCCTCTCGGAAGCTGCCCAGATCGCACTCAACTCTGTGTGGCCTGGGCTCTCCTGCACCCACACTCAGGGCTCTGCAAGCTCAGAGCACGGGGATTGTGGGGCAGGGGACTTGTCGTCCTGGCTCCCATCAGGGCAGCTGGGTCCTTGACGAGGTGCCAAGAGGGGCAGATGGAGCGTGAGGCTGAGCACCCAGCAGGCCAGGGCTACCTAAGAGCCCCTCCAGGGGCCACCACTCCTGGCATCTGGAGCCTCAGCAAAAGGAGGGCAGAGACTGCCATTAGGGGGCCGTGCCATGCCATCCACTCCGGCCCAGCCCTGGGGGCAGCTGTCACTGACTCCGTTTTCCAGGTGTGGACTGAAGAAGCTCCGGGGCTTGAGCAACTTGACTGAGTCCCTGGCAGGTGGCAGGAGAGGGAGTCAGCAGAGGAGCCTGCTGGCCTGGGTCTGGTCCCTCGTTGCTTGGGGTAGGGGGCTCATGGCACCCCCCATGCTGCTTTATGAGTCCCAGGCCATGGTCTTTCTTGGTAGCCCCCCTTCACCCCCCCAAAGGCTGCGATCCTGCCAACTTGGTGTGGGGCCTCTCAGGAAGGAAGGGCCTGCTCAGCAGACCTAGCTATTTTGGGGGCTACTGGGGGCCAGGGTGCTTCCTGCCAAGAGGTGCTGGTCGCCCAACTCCAGGGAGGACAGGAGGAGGGGTGCTGGAAGGTTTCACTTCCCTTAGCCGGGTTTCAGCTTCTGCTTTTCAGTGTGTGTTTATGGAACAGCACGGGGTCCAAGAGCCCCTGCAGTAGCCCTCAGAAACAGCAGCCCCAGTCCCGACAGTGTGTGTGCACGTGCGTGCATGTGTGTGCACCTGTGTGCGCATGCATGTGCATGATAGCATCGTGTACCTGTGTGTGCGTGCGAGCATGTGTGCACGTGTGTGAGAGCGCAGGTGTGTATGTGTGTGAGCATGTATGTGTGTGCATGCATTCTGTGCACACTTGTGACCTGGCTCCGACCCTGCCTCCCTGACAGGCTGTGTGACCTGGAGAGATCCAGTGCCCTCTCTGGGCCTTGGCTCCTCCCTGTGAAATTCCCGGCCAAGGGCAGTTGAAAGGAATGAGGAACGAAGGGCAGGCGTAAGCTTGACAATGGGCAAATGCAGACCCCAGCACGAGTGAGGGCAGAGGATGGTGGCATCATGAGCGCAATCACTGGGGCCAGTTTCCTCACTGCAGCTGGGGAAACTGAGACCCAGAGAGGGGTCAGAGCTGTGGCGTTCCCCCGCGGCAGCGTCACCTCATTGCTGGCTGCAGTCGGAGCACGCCTCATGACCTGATGCTTTTCTTTCCTGTTCTTTTCTTTCTTTTCTCTTTTTTTGAGATGGAGTCTTGCTCTGCTGAGCAGGCTGGAGTGCAGTGGTACAATCTCAGCTCACTGCAACCTCTGCTTCCCGGGTTCAAGTGATTCTCCTGCCCCAGCCTCCTGAGTAGCTAGGATTACAGGTACCCGGGACTGCACCCAGCTCATTTTTGTATTTTTAGTAGAGACAGGGTTTCACCATCTTGGCCAGGCTGGTCTTGAACTCCTGACCTCGTGATCCCCCTGCCTTGGCCTCCCAAAGTGCTGCGATTAATAGGAGTGAGCCACCGCACCCGGCCACTACGCTATGCTTATAAAAGTTGCCACAGCCCTCAGCTCGGGGACACACTGCTTCGGGAGCTGTCTCGGTGTTCTCCTTACTTGTTGCAAGAAATACAATCTCCTGCTAAATCGTCCTGAAGCAACTGAGCCCACGCGTTGTGTGGGTAACAAAACTCTGGCCATCAGATTGGGCCGAATGGGGTTCTGGTCCTAACTCCCTGAGGCTCCCTAGGGCGAAGCAGTGGGCAGTGGCACCTCCCGCAGGGGAACCCACCCACGTGGCCCGAGAGGGTGGAGGGTGACTCCCTGGGATCTGCTTGGCGCCTGGCCCACGGGGCCGTCGCTCGGCACTACCCCCAAAGTGCAGAAGCGGCGGCCTGGACCTTTGGCTGGGTCGTTGCTGCTCCCTCAGGGAAGAAAGCGGACGTTGACTGTGGGTTGACGAGGTGGGTAAATTCCCGGGCCCCGCAGTGGGGTCTCTGGACTTCGGCTTGGTGCAGCTCCCGTTTTGGGTTCTGTTTCTGGCTCTTGGTGCTCTGGGGGATTGAGAGACACCTGCCAGGCCAAGGGCAGCCCGCATCTGGGTAGACAGCAGTGGGACTGGTTTTGGGAATTAGTTCTTTTTAGAGAGACAGATTTTTTCACAGGAGGCTGAGCTGCGTCCCCCAGAGCCCCTTGCCACACCCCGGGTCACCAGAAGCAGGAGCTCTGCCATTTGAGGCAAAAAGTACTGTTTTCAGATACCGTTTTTATTATATCATCACACAAAGCAGGCAAGGCTGTATACACGTTCAACTGTTTACAAATCTGCTGTCCTGGGTACAAAGGCTAGAAGGAAATAGACAGAAAAATACCTGTTGAAATATCAGGGCTTTCTTCATTATTTTGTGAGATACTCTACAAAACATTACAGTGAGGTAGGACTATTTTAGCGCTAGAGAATCTGATAAAACGAATTTGTTCAAGAGCTTCTTTGTCAGCTGGGTGCCTTGGCTCACACCTGTACTCCCAGCACCTTGGGAGGCCGAGGGGGACAGATCGCTTGAGCCTAGGAGTTCAAGATCACCCTGGGAAACATAGGGAGACCCTGTCTCTATCAAAAAAGTCAAAAATCAGGGTGGGCGCAGTGGCTCACACCTGTAATCTCAGCACTTTGGGAGGCCGAGGCAGTGGATCACCTGAGGTCAGGAGTTTGAGACCAGCCTAGCCAACATAGCAAAACCCCATCTCTACTAAAAATACAAAAATTAGCCGGACTTGGGGGGCACGTGCCTGTGATCTCAGCTAGTCAGGAGGCTGAGGCAGGAGAATCTCTTGATCCCGGGAGGCAGAGGTTACACTGAGCTGACCATTGCACTCCAGCGTGGGTGACATGATCAAAACTCTGTCTCAAAAAAAAATGAGTTGCGTGGTGACACACACCTGTGGCCCCAGCTACTCAGCAGGCTGAGGCAGGAGGATCACCTGAGCACAGGGAGTCGGAGGTTGCAGTGAGCCATTGTCATACCGCTGCATTCCAGGCTAGACGACAGAGTGAGACCTTATCACAAAAGAAAAAAACAGAGCTGTTTGTCAATATACTTTTGTGGGTGTGCACATAGTTCCACAGTACATCTTTGACCCGAGGAGATGAGTGTGTGTCAGTCTGAAGACCCAGGAGAGAATCTGCAAGGCTTGGCACTGTCACTAATAACGATCTGCTTCCTTACGTTATGACTGATATGACCAGCGCTGGCCTGTTCTGTCTCATTAAGGGGAGATTTGAAGACCTTATTCATGAAAACAGCATTAGCACTTTGCAGAAGGAAGCCCTGGGAACAGATGTCTGCATGAAGCACCTTTATTCTGTGAGAACTGGTATTTCTTAATGCCCATCTCCTGCAACTGGCCGAAGTCTCCATTCAGGTCCATGCCATAGTGTTTCGCTGCTAAACTCTAAGCTCGCCCCGTAAAGCCTGTGCTGAGCCTGGAGTTGGTGTCAGCCACGACCTTTCTGATTGATCAGGTGTGCATGATGATAAATGAGCTTCACTTCCGTGAGGGAGAAGCAATGAGCCATCCATCTAAAGGTTCTGTTTGGCGTGAACCACACACCACACAGCAGTTTCTGCTCATTCACCCTCCGTCACAGAATGAATCAGTAAAGTCTTCATCACGAAGGAATGCGTCAGGGTGAACAGCGGCTTCTGGCTGCTGCTGTAGTTTTGGAAGGGTTAGATGTTCTGAGGAAAGTATGGTTTCTAGAGGCAAGCAATTCTGAAGCTCTTGTGCAGTGGAGTTGTTTGGTTGGTTGGTTGTTTTTGAGACAAGCTCTGGCTCCGTCACCCAGGCTGGAGTGCAGTGGCCTGATCTTGGCTCACTGTGACCTCCAACTTCCAGGTTCAGTCCAGCAGTCCTCCCGCCTCAGCCTCCCGCAGAGCCGAACTACAAGCATGCACCTGGCCAATTTTTGTATTTCCTTTTTAGAGATAGGGTCTTGCTGTGTTGTCCAGGCTGGTCTCAAACTCCTGACCTCGTACTCTGCCCACCTCCGCCTCCCAAAGTGCTGGGATTACAGGAGTGAGCCACTGCACCCAGCCAGGGAAACATATTTTTCTAACAATTAAAAAATGGATCTTCTCCATAAAATACCAATATGGTATAGGCAATTCAAGATTTTGTGTTTCCTTTGTTTTTAATAAAATTGAAAGGTACCGGACAGTCACTGTGGCTCATGCAATTCCAGAACTTTGAAAAGCTGAGGCAGGAAGATATTTGAGACCTGGGCAACACGGCAAGACCATGTCCCTACATATATACATATATATATATTAACCAGGGGTGGCGGCACATGCCTACCCTAGTCCCAGCTACTCAGGAGGCTGAGGTGGGAGGATCACTTGAGCCAGGGAGGTTGAGGCTGCAGTGAGCCAAAATCATGCCACTGCCCTCCAGTCTAGGTGTTGGAGCAAGACCCTGTTTCATCAATTTGAAACAGACCCTTTTTCAAAAAAAAGCAAAGGATAATTAAAAACAAAAATTTAAGAGTAATAAGGGTTTTTAAAAATCCTAATATACAAATCTATAGAGGAAGTTTCCAAAAGTAATGGGTACTTAATAAGAAAACAATAAGAAAGGTATAAAACATGTTCTTTATTGAGAAAAAAGTAATTTTGTGTAATTCAGAAGTTATTTAAAGGGAGTTTTTAAATAAGAACTTAAGAAAGAAATAGAAAAAAGGTAAAAGGAACCCATAAGTAGATGAGAGAGAGATGTAAAGAAAGCTATGGATGTGAAGCAGTGAGAATAATTTTGTACAGGAAAGAATCCTGTATGGTCAGTGTCTGTCCTAGACTGAAACGACTGCACGTTTAAGACAGAGGAAATACCAGGCAGTCCAAGCATGTCGCAGGTGTCTGAGTAAGTCATGACAAGGCTCGTGAATGGGAACTTACAATGAAAATGTCAGGTGTCACAAAGGATGTAAAGGTCCTCTTCAAGGAGAACTACAAACCACTGCTCAAGGAAATATGAGAGGACACAAACAGATGGAAAAACAGTCCATGCTCATAGTTAGGAAGGATCAATATTGTGAAAATGGCCATACTGCCCAAAGTAATTTACAGATTCAGCACTATCCCCATCAAACTACCTATGACTCTCTTCACAGAAATGGAAAACACCACCTTAAACTCCATGTGGAACCAAAAGAGAGCCCACATAGCGAAGACAGTCCTAAGCAAAAAGAACAAAGCTGGAGGCATCACGCTACCTGACTTCAAACTATACTACAAGCCTACAGTAATCAAAACAGCTTGGTACTGGTACCAAAACAGAGATGTAGACCAATGGAACAGAACAGAGGCCTCAGAAATAACACCACACATCTACAACCATCTGATCTTTGACAAACCTGACAAAAATAAGCAATGGGGGAAAGGATTCCCTGTTGAATAAATGGTGTTGGGAAAACTGGCTAGCCATGTGCAGAAGCTGAAACTAGACTCCTTCCTGACACCTTACACTAAAATTAACTCCAGATGGATTAAAGACTTAAACATAAGACCTAACACCGTAAAAACCCTAGAAGAAAACCTCGGCAAAACCATTCAGGACATAGACAGGCAAGGACTTCATGACTAAAACACCAAAAGCACTGGCAACAAAAGCCAAAATAGACAAATGGGATCTAATTAAACTGCAGAGCTTCTGTACAGCAAAAGAAACAGTCATCAGAGTGAACCCACAACCAACAGAATGGGAAAAAATTTTACAATCTACCCATCTGACAAAGGGCTAATATCCAGAATCTACAAAGAACTAAAACAGATTTACAAAAAAAAAAACAAACAAGCCCATTCAAAAGTGGGCGAAGGACATGAAAATACACTTTACAAAAGAAGACATACATGAGGCCAACAAACATATGAAAAAATGCTCATCATCACTGGTCATTAGAGAAATGCAAATCAAAACTACATTGAGATACCATCTCATGCCAGTTAGAACGGCGATCATTAAAAAATCTGGAGACAACAGATGCTGGAGAGGATGTGGAGAAATAGGAACACTTTTACACTGTGGGTGGGAGTGTAAATTATGGAAGACAGTGTGGCGATTCCTCAAGGACCGAGAAATAGAAATTCCATTTGACACAGCAATCTCACTAATGGGTATATATCCAAAGGATTATAAATCGTTCTATTATAAAGTCACATGCACACATATGCTCATTGCGGCACTGTTTACAATAGCAAAGACCTGGAACCAACCCAAATGCCCATTGATGATAGACTGGACAGGGAAAATGGGGCACATATACACCATGGAATACTATGCAGCCATAAAAAATGATGAGTTATTGTCCTTTGTAGGGACATGGTTGAATCTGGAAACCATCATTCTCAGCAAACTGACACAAGAACAGAGGATCAAACACCTCATGTTCTCTCTCACTCATAGGTGGGTGTTGAACAATGAGAACACATGGACACAGGGAGGGGAGCATCACACACTGGGGCCTATTGCGGGGGGACTAGGGAAGCGACAGTGGGGGGTAGAGAGATTGGGGAGGAATAACAGAGGGAGAAATGCCGGTTATAGGGGATGGCGGATGGAAGCAGCTAACCACGTTGCCATGTATGTACCTACGCAACAATCCTGCATGATCTGCACATGTACCCAGAACCTAAAATATGATTACAAACATATATTTCTTCTTTTAAAAAAGAACATGTTGGCTATAATTAGATGAAATTATTTGTAACAGGTTTTTTTGTTTGTTTGTTTTTATTTTTGTTTTTTTCTTTTTTTTGAGATGGAGTCTCTCTCGTTCGCCCAGGCTGGAGTGCAGTGGCGTGATCTTGACTCACTGCAATCTCCACCAGAGTTCAAGCCATTCTCCTGCCTCAGCCTCCCGAGTAGCCGGGATTACAGGTGCGTGCCACCACACCCAGCTCATTTTTCTATTTTTGGTAGAGACGGGATTTCACCATGTTAGTCAGACTGGTTTTGAACTCCTGATCTTGTGATCCACCCACCTCAGCCTCCCAAAGTGTTGGGATGTTGGAATTAGAAGCGTGAGCCACCGCGCCCCGGCACTGTGCCAGTGTAGATTCATTCTGTGTTCTTAGTTTTTCTTAATGCGGCTGAGTTGTTTCATGTCACCAGGACTTCCTGTGGTATTAGTAATGTATTCCCTGCTTACTGGCCTAGGAAACACAGGTTGCTTAGGGAGACTGAGCTTTAAAGGTTTTCCCATGCATGGAACTTTCCGTATCGCTTTTAAAGTCTTTTGTTTGTTTGTTCTGAGACGGAGTCTTGCTCTGTCATCCAGGCTGGAGTGCAGTGGCGCTATCTTGGCTCACCGCAACCTCCGCCTCCTGGGTTCAAGCAATTCTCCTGCCTCAGCCTCCTGAGTAGCTGGGATTACAGGTGCCCGCCACCATGACCAGCTAATTTTTGTATTTTTAGTAGAGACGGGGTTTTACCATGTTGGTCCAGGCTGACCACTTGATCTGCCACCTCGGCCTCCCAACGTGCTGAGATCTCAGCGTGAGCCACCTCGCCCGGCCTTCCTTTTGAAGTCTTTTGATTGTCACTGTGGTTAAATGAGTAACTACTATTTAGCAGTGATCTCTGATTTGGTTGAAGAAAGTCATTCCAACTTTCTGACATCTTTAGATCGAAGGTTTTCCCAGGATCCAAATCCTAAATTAAGCCATCTGGCCTAAAATCAACTTTGAGATTCTTCCAGAAGGGCCTCCTGGAGTGCCTCAAAGTTTGTGTATCTCATCTTGTGGAGAGATTAAATGACCGGGCTTATTTGGTGAGTAACATGGGAAGCATTGCCAGACAGAAATGGTGTTTAACTTCCCGTAAGTAATGTCTGTGTAAGTGTGTCACTAAAACGTGGGCAACGGTCTGAAGTCCTCAAACTCTGGTGTGCCAGGATACATCCATGACTGTGATCACCGTGTTGGGTGGTTGTATGCTGCGGAAATGCTTAAACCTCCTGTCAATCGTCAGCCGTCTTCAGATCGCGGCCTGGCTGTTCCGGGCTTTGTCACTCACGGTTATTCTTCATTTTTGAGTCATGGTCTCACTCTGTCGCCCAGGCTGGAGTACAGTGGCCCCAGCTTTGAGTGGTCCAATCTTTCTGGCCCAAACCAACATATATCTTGTACGTATTGATGGATGCCTTATGTCTCCCTGAAATGTATAAATCCAAGCTGTGACCCGACCACCTTGGGCTTATGTCCTCAGGATCTCCTAAGGGCTGTGTCACGGGCCATGGTCAGATTAAATCTCTTCAAATATTGTACGGAGTCTGACTCTTTGGGTTGACATCTGCAATAACTTGACCAAGTGTCCTTTGTGAACAAAGGTGGAAGGATTCACTTTTTCTCCCTATTTGATTCCCACAAAATTCAGAAACTATTCATGAATATTCTTATTTATATAACATCAGCCAAAAATTAAAATAAAAATAAATCCCTGCCCTCTGTAAGCTGGATACAATTAGAAACAGTGATTATATTAGCAAGGTTTGCACTGAAATACCGTATTTTAGAAATGTGGGCTGGGCATGGTGGCTCACGCCCGTAATCGCAGCTTGGGAGACCGAGAGAGACGCTTGAGCCAAGGTTTGACAGCAGACTCCGCAACATCGTTCTAAATCTGAGATTTCCTTTAGGATCCAGATGTGTGGAGACCCCATTCTACAAGATAAGTTCAACCTCAGAGAGGGAGGCTCTCCAGAACAGATGAGTTTATTTGGGAAGTCCAGAGGATCGCTGGGAGTGTGAGGACGGACCCCAGCTACACACTGGGGGCCGCAGCCACGGGGATGCTTTTAAAGCAGAAGGCCGTGTTAGTGGCTTTGAAACAAGGTTCATAGGTCACAAGCTGATCGCAGGAGTTAGAGACGGCCGTGCTAGGGAAGCGTCTGCTGTTCACGGGGAATGCTACAGGCTCAGGACGTGCTCTCCATATGCCCGGTCCCTGACCTCCACTCAGGGCCTCTGCTGGCCCGTGCAGAACCTTTGCACAGTCCAGGTGCAGGCTTCTCCCTCCTGGACAAAAGGCGGGCCCACCACATGCCTGGTGGGTTTGGACCATACCCCTTCTGCCAGGCATCCTCGCCGGATGCAGTCTTACCAGGTGGCCTAGATATAGTTACCCTTGAGGTATCTGCTGCCCCAAAGCCCTCCTGAGAAGGGCTGTGAAAGGAGACGGGCCAGTCTGTGCCCCTTTCAGCCCCTCCATTGCCGCCAGCCCGGCCGCGCCCCCACCTGGCTGCTGTTGGAGAAGGCGTACAGGGCCAGGGGCTTCTCCCTCCGGTTGATGAACTCGATGGCCTCGTCCATGCCCTGCACGTTCACGATGGGTAGGATGGGCCCGAAGATCTCCTCCTGCATCACCGGCTCCGTCTCCTGCACATCCACCAGCACCGTGGGGGCTGCAGGGCACCAGAGATGGCTCAGCCCCGGGGCCACAGTCAGGACAGCCCCCAGGGGTGGGGGTAGCAGTGGGGACATGGCCAAGAGCCATGGCTCCAGGCCCCGATCCCTGGGTCTGACTTCCCAGGGCTCCAGGATTTGGGGTGTCTAGGGAAGAAAGTCTCCCCACAGCCCCCAGAAGGGACCCTAGGGCTTCCCCAGCCTGCCCAGGGCCTGTGGGGCCCAGAGAATCCCCCCATCTTGGTCCCACAGTCAGGGGTGATGGGACCTCAGAACCTTGGAGTTCATGAGGCAACAGCGTCCAAGAATGTTGGAGCTGCAGTGTCCTGTGAGCTGCTGAGCTGTTCGGCCCAGGAGACCGGGGGCTCAGGGTGGGGCCGTCAGAGTTTGGAACCCGGGGGTCGTGGGCTCGGAGAATCTGAGGTCGTGGCCCTTCAGGACAGCCGGTGGTGAGATGGGAGTTCATCTGAGCACGGTGGGCCCTGGAGCCCGGGGTCTGAGCTCAGTGAATCCAGGGCTGAGGGACCAGAGTTTGGCCTCATGGGGCCACAGGCTCAGAAGCACGGAGACAGATTAGTGGCACCGGAGCTGTGGCTCCAGGTCAGGCTCTGGCGGTGGGGCCAGATTTCAGGTACGGGCCCAGATTCATGGCCCAGCTTGGGCACTCCAGTGAGGAGGGGTCTCGGCCCACGTGGGCTGTGGCGGGGACAGCGGGACTCACCGATGTAGCGATCGCACTCGTCGCTCTGGCCCCCGATGGCCACGCGGCCGCAGCCCAGCAGTGCCCGCAGCCGCTGGAACTGTTTCTGGTTGATGATGCGGCCCAGATTTGGGGAGCTCTGGGGGTCGTCGCCATAGAAACGGGTGATGGCGCTCTGCAGGGCAGGCAGCAGCCTCTCCTGCATCTCAGGGCTACACAAGAGGTAGTCAGGGGCCACGCAGGTCTGGCCGGCGTTGAAGTAGCGGAACCAGGCCACGCGGTTGGCCACGATCTGGGCGTCACAGTCATCGTCCACATAGCAGGGGTTCTTGCCCCCCAGCTCCAGGGTGACGGGCGTCAGGTGCTTGGCGGCGGCAGTCATGACAATCTTGCCCACGCGAGGGCTCCCTGGGCATGGAAGGAAACCAGAGTGGCCATTCAGTGACCTGGACCAGGCCGGGGCCCGCTCCTCCTTGGAGAGGTGGTAGAGTCAGCGGGCTTGCCCACTGTCGACTCTTGTCCACTGTCTTCATAGAAAACCTTCACGGCCCAAGTCCTGGCCTGCTTCCCACCTCTCCTGGCCGGTTCTGCCTCACCCACTGGGACCTGCCTCCAGCCCGGCCACCCCAGGGTCCAATTCCTCCAGTGTGCCCGGGGCCTGGCCTGCACTGGCAGATGGCTTCTGCCAGCTCCAGCTTCCCATGCTGGCCCCAGCCCCCTCCCTCCACAGCCCTCCCGCCCTCTCCCCTGCTGTTCCCTCTGCATGCTCTGGGACCCTGGCCTGGCCCCCTCACCTGTGAAGAAGATGTAGTCGAACTTGTGCTTCAGCAGCTGCCCCGTCTCCTCAGGCCCGCCCAGCACCACTGCAAAGCAGCTCTGCAAGGTGGGACGGGCTGCTCAGGGGCAGGCTCTGGGGCCAGCAGGGCATCCTCAGCCCGCAGCGGGGAGGTGTGGGGGCGCCGGGAGCTGCCGGGACAGGGCCACCCTCACCTGGTCCAGGTACCGCGGCAGCACCTCAGCCAACACCTTCTCTGTGCCCCGACTGATTTCTGATGGTTTCAGCACCACGCAGTTCCCTGCACGGGCAGATGGGGCCGTCACTGGGGGAGCCAGGGTCCCCGCACCCACCCAGGGTCTGGGCTGGGAGGGCACATGAGGCCGAGGGTGTTGCATAGGCAGGATTCTGGGGGCCTCTTTGGGAAGGGCTGCTGGGCAGGGAGGGTATGGAATTCAGAACCCCTCCTCACCTGCGGCGAGAGCGCCCACCAGGGGCACCAGGCTGAGGTTCATGGGTAAGTTCCAGGGTGCGATGATGAGGACCAGGCCAAAGGGCTCCTTCCGGACGAAGGCTGAGTCCAGCTTTGTGAACTGCACAGGGCAGACATGAGAGCCTGCCAAGGGCCACCCCAAACCCACCCACCTCACACTTGTGGCCTCAGCTCCCTGTGCAATGGAGTCCCAGGAGAGACGAGAAAGTCAGTGACTTGCCCGGGCTCAGGGGCAGGAAGCAGCCTGGGTCAGAGCTGCCCAGTGCTCTGCCCTGCCCTCCCGCTGTGGCCAGCATGGCTCACCAAGTTTGTGGACGCTGGCGTGTCCTTCATCCAGGCCTGCAGGTTCTTGAGAGCGAGGTTGATCTCATTCTGGCAAATGATGAGCTCAGATATGTCTGAATCGAAGGCTGACTGTGGTGGAGGTGGAATGCCGAGTGGTCAGGCCCAGAGCTGGCCCAGGAGGGGTCTAGGACCTGAGGAGGGCACACGCAGGCACCACCCCCACCAGATACATGGAGACAGCTCCTATGGGAGGCGCTGCAGTCCCCTGGGAACTGCACATGGCTGCAATTCTGATCTGGAACTTTCTGGCTGTGTGGCCTTGGCAAGGAAGTGACTTTAACCCCTGAGTGCCTCAGTTTCCCCATTTGCAACATGGGGCCAGCCATCGAGCCTGCATCGCAGAGTGGCCGTGAGTGTTATGAGTGAAGGTCAGGTGACTGTCACAGGGAGGGGTCTGTTGAACAGAATAAAACTAGGGACAGAGCCAGTCACTGGGGGCACGGACGCTCCTGAAGGACCGGGATGACGCTCCAGCCCCTGCCTGCACCCACCCTCCACGGCCCACCTTGTGCAGGTCCTGGGCCAGCGCGTCGTGCAGAAGCTGCTTGTTTTCTTGAAGGAAGCGGCCGAGAGCCTGGAGTTGCTCAGCCCGGAACGCGGCCGGCCGAGTGCACCCCGAGTGGAAGGCCTCCCTCAGTCGCCGCAGCGTGTCCTCAAAGGGGTCCGTCCTGCCGGAGGGTGCAGCATAAACTGCGTAGCCAGGGCTGCCCATCCTTCATGGGCACCCTCCAGCCACCCCAGCGTCTGCACACCCTTGTCCCAGCTGCACCCATGGGAGTTCACAGGCACCCCCCACCTCACACACACACAGAATGACCCCACAGGCACCCCCCACCTCACACACACACAGAATGACCCCACGGGGGCTGGGGCTGCCTGCACCCCCTCCGCTCACCTGCCTCCCAGGCGCACCCTTGAGGGAGGGCCCTGGGCTTGACCTCCCCCACTCCAAGGAGGGATTTCCCGTCTCGGTGCACTGGAAGTCCAGCATACTCCATACCTCGGGTGACCCCTTTGCCCGCCATGCCAGCTCTTCCCTGCTCTTCCCCTCCTTGTACACACATACCCACCCACATTGGCACCTGGTCACCCCTTCACCCAGACCACCCAGATGGAACAGGGTCTCCCCTGGATCTTCCTCCCTTCTGGGACTAAACAAGGAACTCGGAGGGGTCTTTGCGTCAGAAATCACAGAGCTTTGGGGTGGCAGATGGGGAAACTGAAGCCATAGGCATGCCCTAGCACTGAGGAGGGTTTGGCACCTGCTCTGTGGAGGGGGGTGGCACTCAGTTGGTCCTGGAAGGAAGCAGAAGCGGAGGAGAGAGCTCCGGGGCTGGCATCCATGGGCACAAGTGGCAGGTGGGGATAGGTTGGCAGAGAGGAGACTGCCCCAGGGCGTGAACCTCTCTGGGCTTTAGCCAGAGGGCCCAGGGGAAGCCCAGCGGCATCTGGAGAGGAGAGATCAGGACAGGGTCGGGGAGGTCCCAGGGGACACTCAGGAGGATTGCCAGGCCCCGGCAAGGGCTCTGAGCACCCCAACCCAGAGACTGAAGAATGCCTTGCAAATCCTGTGTCTGTGTATCCGTGTGTCTGCTTGTCTTTGTGTCTTTGTATATCTTTGTGTGTCTATGTGTGTGTCTCTGTGCATATGGGTGTCTGTCTTTGTGTATGTTTGCATGTATGGGTGTCTGTGTGTGTGTGTGTGTATGAGTGTCAGGGTGTTTGTGTGTCTGTGTATATGGCTATCTGTGTGTCTTTGGGTTTCTGTGTGTCTTTGTATGGATATCTGTGTCTTCATGTATCTGGGTGTCTGTGTGTGTCTTTATGTGTATAAGTATCTGGGTGTCTGAATGTGTATATGGGTGTCGGTGTGTCTATTTGTTATATAGGTATCTATGTGTCTGTGTATGAGTGTGTGTCTGGGTATCTGTGTGTGTGTGTATAGGTGTCTGTGTGTGTGTGTATGGGTATCTGTGTGGCTGTGTGTGTAGAAGTGTCTGTATGTATATATGGGTGTCTCTGCATCTGTGGGTGTCTGTGTGTATGTGGGTGTCTGTGTGTGTATGGGTGTCTGTGTGTGTGTGTGTGTCTGGGTATATGTGTGTGTGTATGGGTGTCTGTGTGTGTGTGTATGGGTATCTGTGTGGCTGTGTATGGGTATCTGTGTGGCTGTCTGTGTAGAAGTGTCTGTGTGTATATATGGGTGTCTCTGCATCTGTGGGTGTCTGTGTCTGTGTGTATGTGGGTGTCTGTGTGTGTATGGGTGTCTGTGTGTGTGTGTGTGTCTGGGTATATGTGTGTGTGTATGGGTGTCTGTGTGTGTGTGTGTATGGGTATCTGTGTGGCTGTGTATGGGTGTCTGTGTGTCTGTGTGTGTATACGGGTGTCTGTGCATCTGTGGGTGTCCGTTTGTGTGTGTATGGGTGTCTGTGTGTCTGTGTGTGTGTGTGTATATGGGTGTCTGTGTGTCTATGTGTGTATGGGCGTCTGTCTGTGTATAGGTGTCTGTGTGTCTGTGAATGTCCATGTCTGTATATATGGGTGTCTGTGTGTCTATGTATGTATGTGTGTCTATGTGTGTATAGGTGTCTGTACGTCTCAGAGTGTCCATGTGTCTGTGTGTGTATATGGATATCTGTGCATCTGTGGGTGTCTGTGTGTATGTATGTGTCTGTGCATCTGTGGGTGTTTGTGTGCCTATGTGTGTATGGGTGTCTGTGAGTGTGTGTATGGGTGTCTGTGTGTCTGTATCTGTATGTGTCTGTGTGGGTGTCTGTGTCTGTGGGCATCTGTGTGTCTGTGTGTGTATGGGTGTCTGTGTGTCTGTGTCTGTGTGTCTGTCTGTGTGGGTGTCTGTATGTCTGTGCGTGTATGGGTGTCTCTGTGTCTGTGTGTCTGGGTGTCTGTGAGTGTCCGCGTGTCTGTGTGTGTATATGGGTGTCTGTGAGTGTCTGTGTGTCTGTGTGTGCATGGGTGTCTTTGTGTCTATGTGTGCATGGGTGTCTGTATGTGTATGGATGTCCGTGTGTCTGTGTGTATGAGTGTCTGTATGGGTGTCTGTGTGTCTGTGTGTCTATGGTGTCTGTGCATCTGTGGGTGTCTGTGTGTGTATGGGTGTCTGTGTGTCTGTGTCTGTGTGTCTGTGCGTGTATATGGGTGTCTGTATGTGTATGGATGTCTGTGTGTCTGTGTGTATATGGGTGTCTGTGTGTCTGTGGGTGTCTGTGTGTCTGTGTGTATGTGGTGTCTGTGCATCTGTGGGTGTCTGTGTGTCTGTGTGTATACGGTGTCTGTGCATCTGTGGGTGTCTGTGTGTATGGGTGTCTATGTGCGTATGGATGTCTGTGTGTCTGTGTGTATATGGGTGTGTGGGTGTCTGTGTGTCTGTGTGTGTATGGGTGTCTGTGGCTGTGTGGCTGTGTGTGTATGGGTGTCTGTGTGTATGAGTGTCTGTGTGTGTGTGTATGGATGTCTGTGTGTCTGTGCATGTGTGGGTGTCTGTGGGTCTGTGAGTGTCTGTGTGTCTGTGCATGTATATGGGTGTCTGTGTGTGTATGGATGTCTGTGTGTCTGTGTGTATATGGGTGTCTGTGTGTCTGTGTGTATGTGGTGTCTGTGCATCTGTGGGTGTCTGTGTGTCTGTGTGTATACAGTGCCTGTGCATCTGTGAGTGTCTGTGTGTCTGTGTGTATGGGTGTCTGTGTGTGTATGGATGTCTGTGTGTCTGTGTGTATATGGGTGTGTGGGTGTCTGTGTGTCTGTGTGTGTATGGGTGTCTGTGGCTGTGTGGCTGTGTGTGTATGGGTGTCTGTGTGTATGAGTGTCTGTGTGTGTGTGTATAGATGTCTGTGTGTGCATGTGTGGGTGTCTGTGTGTGTATGGATGTCTGTGGGTCTGTGTGTATATGGGTGTCTGTGTGTGTACTGGTGTCTGTGTCTGTGTGGGTGTCTGTGTGTATGGGTGTCTGTGGATCTGTGGGTGTCTGTGTGTTTGTGTGTCTGTGTGTGTGTTTGGGTGTCTGTGTGTCTGTCTGTGTATGGGTGTCTCTGTGTGTGTGTGTGCCTGTATGTCTGTGGGTGTCTGTGTCTGTGTGTGCATGGGTGTCTGTATGTTTGTGTGTCTGTGAGTGTGTGTATGGGTGTCTGTGTGTTTGTGTATGTGTGTAGGTGTCTGTGGATGTTTGTGTGTCTGTGCATGAGTGTCTGTGTGTGTGTGTGTCTGTGGATGTGTCTGTGTGTGTATCTGTGTGTCTGTGTGTGTATGGGTGTCTGAGCCTTTATGTGTGTGTGGGTGTCTGCATGTCTGTATGTTTATCTGTGGGTGTCTGTGTGTCTGTGGATGTCTGTGTGTGTGTCTGTCGGGGGGTGTCTGTGTGTCTGTGTGGGGGGGTGTCTGTGTGTTTGTGTGTGGGTGGGTGTCTGTGTCTATGCGTGTCATGTGTGTATCTGGGTGTGGATCTGTGCTACCTCAGCCTCGGCAGCAGGTCACAGGGCTATGCCCAGGGCTGCTGCCTCAGACCCGCATTGGTGAGGCAGGGGCGGCGAGTGGCAAGCTGAGCCTTAGCATCCGAGGTGGGTGCCCTGGAGGCTGGTGGCCTCATCTGCACTTGCACTGCTTCAATCCCCAATTCACCTCCTGATCCCAGCCCTGGTGCCCCTGGTCGTCTGTCCATAAATCTGCCTTCTCCCTTAGCCTGGGAGCTCCTCAAAGGGAGGACGGGGTCTGTCCCCATCCCTGGGGCTTCTGGGGAACAGGATTCTTCAGCACTCCGGAGTGCTTCCCAGGAGCCTGCCACAGGGGAAAGTGAGGCTCAGAAGACACCAGCGCCCACCTCCCTCTCCCGAGCAAGCCCCTGCTCATGGCCCCATCACCCTGCAGTGCTAGCCCCTTAGTGGGCTCACCCCCAAACCCACATGCCATGGCCAAACATCCCTTTCCCTCCATGCCTCTGGTCTCCACCAATGTACCCCACCAGGTAAAACCTGCACTTTACCTGGAGCCCCCAGCTGGCCCTCGCCCTGTGGCCCCACGTACCCCAGTGTGGGCTCTGCTCCCGGGCTCTTCACCGCACTTCCACCCTCTTCCTTGGACATGCTGCCTCCCGATGTGCCGGCTCTGCTCCCACCTCCTGTCCTCAGCCCTCCTGGGCTGACTGCGATCCTCCCAGAGTCCGGTGCCCACGCCTGGCAATGGGCTGATGCTCAGGATTACCCAACAGGCGTGGGGCAGGGCTGCACCTCCTAATTCCCACACCTACACTTTTCTCACTGCCAGGACCTACAACGGCTCTGTATCTGCCCTGCTCATCCAGGGCCCTGCCCCCGGGAGCCACACTGCACAACCGGCTTGGGAACAGGTTGGTCAACTCCAGGTTGTCTGAAACTTTGCTGTGTTTTTACTGGAATGGGCTAGCAGGGAATTGCCTCATCAGGAAAAACGTCCCCCAGAGGAAGGTCACAGGATGAAAATATCAGCAGGACCCTGGTGGCAGATGCTGCCTCCTCTAGGAAGCCCTCAGAGCCCCCAGCCACAGTGGTCCCATGCCCCCCATGGCCCCACCAAGGGTCTCTATGCTATATCTTCATCTCCCTCCTCTCCTCCTCCCCACTCTTCTGGGTGCGCAGGTCAAGATGAGCAACTGTGGCTCTATTTCCACACTAAATGTGCCCAGCTGGCATACTCAGGGCAGAGGAAGGGGCGGAGACCTTTGCTGAGAGACCCTCGATGGGCGGCAGCACCTGGAGCTCTAGGAAGGGGCACTGTTTATTGGTTTGTTTATTTATTTACTTTGCAACCCCAGGTGAGTTACTTAACCTCTCTGAGGTTTTTGGAAGTAACAGTAACACCTAATTGTCATGGTTCTTCAGAGGGTCACAGTGGGAGACATGAGAATGGAAAAGGAAGATCACAGCTCCTGGCACAGAATCAGTGCCCCTCAGTGTTGCCTTCTACTGTTTCCACACGTATTTGCCGAGCACCTTCCAGGTTCCAGGGAGCAGAATGAGCTCAGGCCCTGCCATGGTCTTTCATGGATGACCTGATCCTGTCCCCACCCCACCTTCCCCCGAGCTGGGACCAAGGACACACCCCGCTGAGGTCTGTAGAGAGTCTCTTGGCAGAGGGTGCAGGCCCTGATAGGCAGGAGGAACGTCTGAGATAACCCTTGATTGTGACTGAAGCCAGCCTGGCAGGGGCCACAGCCTGCTACCAAGCCCTGGACCTGGCGTCTTCAGTAGCTAAAGATGTGAATACCAATGTGACACTAGGAAGGGACCTCCGGGGTGAGTCAAGGGGATACGGGGCAGAGTCTAGGGCCCGTCTAAGAGCAGCACATGGGTTCTGGCCACGAGGGAGGCCCACTGCCTCCAAACCACTGAACTGTACGCTGTAAATGGGTGAGTTGTATAGGATATGAATTCTGTCCCAATTAGGTGTTTGGTTTGATTTTGTTAAACTGAGCTGACAAGAAGCCTGCATAGACTATAAATAAATTAAAATATGCTCAACTGAATGGCAATTGTAAAAACGTAAAGGAGGCCAGGTGCGGTGGCTTTAGCCAACAATCCCAGCACTTTGGGAGGCCGACGCTGGCGGATCACTTGAGGTCAGGAGTTTGAGACCAACCTAGCCAACATGATAAAACCCAATCTCTACTAAAAATACGAAAAATTAGCCAGGCGTGGTGGCATGTGCCTGTAATCCCAGCTACTCAGGAGGCTGAAGCAGGAGAATCACTTGAACCTGGGAGGCGGAGGTTGAAGTGAGCTGAGATCACACCACTGCACTCCAGCCTGGGCGACACAGCAAAACTCTGTCTCAAAAAAAAAAAAACCAAAATGTAAAATAAAACCATTGTAGACACTCTGTCATGCACTGTGTAGCATCCTCAGGTGTGGGTGGGCTCTCTCTGCAGTGCCGGGGAGGAGCCATTTTAGTTTGCTTGTTTTGTCTTTGGTTTTTTGAAAGTACAGAGAGTTATTGCAAAGCAAAAAGTCCACACTCAAGAAAGCGGTTATGGTTGAATTCAGAGCAGATGCATATGCCAAGGGAACTGGGCTGCTACTTTCATGGATTTCTTTCACCAAGGGATGGAGGATGCATGAAGCTTCCTGGAAAAAGGTGGGGATTTCTCAGAATTGTGTTGCCACCCGCTTTTACGCCAAATATAAGAGCTCCTGGAAATGTCACGGTGCTGGAGGGTGTGTGATTTAGGGTGTCAGTGAGCACATAACAAGTTCGTAAGTGAGACCTAGATCACATCCAGCGCCGTGTTGGATTCGGTCATTCTTAGCTGGGACCACAGCCTGGTTGTTCAGGGCCTATCAGCCCGTAGCTCTAGTCATGTGAAACCACTGCCTGGAATGTTCTGTTCTGCAGCCACTCGGCATTATTCCTGTCTCCTTTTCCTCTCCTCAGAGGTTGCCATCCCTTGTTCTTCAGGGTGATGCAGGAGGAGGCCAGTCTTCTGCACCCACTTCCTGCGGACTGGGAGCATTGGCCCTGTCCAGTGACGACACGGAAATCTCTGGCTGCCTGGTCTAAGGGGTCCCAAGGATGGGTCATCAGAAGAGTCTGAATCAGAGACAAGGATTGGTTGAAATGCTTGCCTGACCATTTTGATGTGCAACTGTTGCAACTTGGAAGACACAACCTTTACAAGGAGGTTAAACAAGCAAGGACCAAAGATTAGTGGTAATACCGTAGCTATTAAGGATTAGTGGTAATACGGTAGCTACTAAAGATTAGTGGTAATACGGTAGTAGCTATTAAAGATTAGTGGTAATACGGTAGCTACTAAAGATTAGTGGTAATACGGTAGTAGCTATTAAAGATTAGTGGTAATACGGTAGCTATTAGAGGTCCCAGAAAGATAGGAACTAAGTGACACTTTGTAGGTATTCTTTGAGGGAGTCTCAGATGGTTTGAGCAGTGGGTTATTAAAATTGTGTGGCCAGGTAGCCTGCTGGTGAATCTTCTGAACTTGCAGTTACGCTAATCACGAGTTGTTGATGTCAGAACAACTGGTGTGCTTTCTTACTGCACAAAGCCCTCCTTGCTCAACTAGAAGATAAGCCAGGGCCTATAAACCAAAAATAAAATTCTAAGGCCCCTCCCCGACACCGCAACCATCCGAACGGGCCCCTCCTCTCAGCCAAAGGCACTCTCAAGTTAAGCTGAAAAATGGTTCAGGCCATGAAGCTCGCCACGCCTCATTACATCCTCCTCCGTTTTGGAATTACTGATAGAACAGACTCTTAAGTCTGATAAGAAACATTTCCAAGCTATTTTCGCTGAAGTCTGCTACCAGGAGGCTTCGTCCACATAATAAAACCTTGATCTCCACATCCCCTTATCGCAGCCCAGACCTTCCTTTCTATTGATGCCTCTTTCAACCAACGGCCAATCAGAAAATCCCTGAATCTGCCTATGACTTGGAAGCCCCCGCTTCCAGTTGTCCTCCCTTTCTGGACCAAACCAACATGCATCTTACATGTATTGATCGATGCCTCATGTCTCCCTAAAATGTATGAAACCAAGCTGTGGCCTGAGCACCGTAGACGTACGTTCCCAGGATCTCCTTAGGCCGTATCATGTGCCATGGTCACTCATCTGGCTCAGAATAAATCTCTTCAAATGTTTTACAGAGTTTGACTCTTTTGGTAGACAGCAATTTGGCATCTAACCTGGGGCCTCAGAGGAGACTCAGGACCCCAAAGGAATTGCCCATACTCGGAGCTAAGGCACCAGCAGGGGCTCATGGACAGCCTCCCTGACCTTGAGCTTCTCCAGTGGAACCAGTGAGTCCTCCCCAGCTCGGACGTCCCTTTAGTTGATGGCCCTTGGTTTATTCTGAGGTGCTTTTTTTTTTCCTCCTAAGAAATGGTTGTTTACAATCCTAATTCTAGTGTGAAAGTTCATTCTGAAGGTCTTCTGTTTTCTTCCAAAATTAAGCTTAATTGAGGAACTGAGCCGTCGTTTTCTAGATGAATGAGGCTGAACTTCTCCAGCTCTGAAGAGAAGGCGTTTTGCTCCTTCTAGCCAAAAGGTGCACCTGAGTGACCGGGAGCCAAGTGGGAGTGTCTTGCGGGGCTTAATCAGAGGAACTGAGATGTGTATGAGGGCAGAGACAACTCAGTGGTAAACTGTGGAGTCCCACCCACAACCAGCACACAGCAACCCACCGCACTAAACCCTAGGCCACTGCTCAGCTCCACCTTTTAAGTTAAAAAAAAAAAAAGGAGGGAGGCCAGGTGCGGTAGCTCATGCCTGTAATCCCAGCACTTTGGGAGGCTGAGGTGGGCAGATCACAAGGTCAGGAGATGGAGACCATCCTGGCCAACATGGTGAAACCCCATCTCTACTAAAAATACAAAAATAATCATCTAGGCATGGTGGTGCACGCCTATAGTCCTAACTACTCGGGAGGCTAAGGTGGGAGGATCGCTTGAGCCCAGGAGTTCTGGGCTGTAGTGTGCTATGCCGATCGGGTGTCCACACTAAGTTTGGCATCAATATGGGGACCTCCCGGGAGCAGGGGACCACCAGGTTGCCTAAGGAGGGGTGAACCAGCCCAGGTAGGAAACAGAGCAGGTCAAAACTCTGGTCCTGATCAGTAGTGGGATCGTGCCTGTGAATAGCCACTGCACTCCAGCGTGGGCAACATAGAGACCCCGTCTCTTTAAAAAAAAAAAAAAGTATTCATAAATTAAATAACTCCAAATGCTTCTCAAGTTCACTTGACTTACTCATTTCCTGTCTGCCCTGATTGCCACGACTTTTTTTTTTTTTTTTTTTTTTTTTTTGAGTCTTGCTCTGTCACCCAGGCTGGATAGCACGATCTCTGCTCACCGCAGCCTTCACATCCCAGGTTCAAGTGATTCTCCTGCCTCAGTCTCCCAAGTAGATGAAATTGCAGGCACCCACCACCATGCCAGGCTAATCCTTGTATTTTTAGTAGAGATGCGGTTTCACCACGTTGGCCAGACTGGCTTCAAACTCCTGATCTCAAATGACCTGCCCGCTTCAGCCTCCCAAAGTGCTGGGATTACAGGCATGAGCCACCATGCCTGGCCTCCCTAACCCTAATGTAACATTATATACATTTCTGTAACAGTAGGATTAGAGACAAGTTCTGTTTAGAAATAACTCCAAGAACTGCTTTTACTTTTTATTTTCATATTGAAAATCAGATTCACTTTAGCCTCAAAGAGCATGTTTATGTAAAATTACATAAGCCCTGGAAACAAGCTGCACTTTTTCTAAATGGGAAATGGGATAAGCAGAATCTTTAATAAATAAGCTGGCTTTGAAATTATTGGTGAAGCAATATTAGAAACGTCTTGAGACTCGTCAGCAATTTTGTTTGCATTTATTGATCAAGTGGTTTTGTACTTATCCCTGCAGAATGCTACAAGGTGTCCAAATTTGCCGAAAGGATTATAAAACGAGAAGCC